AGGAAATAAGAACTATAAGGAATGACATCTCGGTTGTCTATGACAGTGCCAGATAAAAGGCAGGTGCATCCATTGTTTGGCCTAGCATATTGTGGGTATCCATCTTTGCTATATAGTGTTTTAGGAACAAAATCCTTGTGATAATGCTTGGAACATTTACCATCTACCATACAAAGTGCATGAGGCTTTTCTGGACCATAGTGACTATAAATCATGAATTTTGTAATGGTATTATAAAGCATAGGATAAGTATCCCTATCTGGAATCTAAGCAGATACTATTCTGTCCACATGTTAGGCATTGCAGATCTTGTGATTACCATCAAGAAAAATTAGCAAATACATGTGAGGTAGGCCATATTTCTGGAATTTGATTGTATAGGCCATGCCAGCTAATGTTCTAAATAGGCCATTCTTAATCTCCTCAAGCAAGGCATTCTTCTTTTGGTTAAAGACCTGTGCCACAATATCTGGCCTATCTGCAGCTGTTTGTCACTTTGGTGAGTTATTTGGATCATTACTAATAGGATAATCTAGCTCTAAAAGAGCCTGTTGGATCTCAGGCTAGTCTGGATTGGCAGTCATTGTCAAAAACAGATCAGGTTTCCAATAATGCCAACAAATTGCCATGTAGTCTTGGAAAAGCTGGTATATGTGGCATGTGCTACTTGAATATATTAAAGGAAGAATGATACAGGTTCCTTATTAAACCAGATCTAGATTAACATTTGCATTGTTTACTGCATTATGAATGCCTTGGTAAGTATCTGCTCGGATATCCTTTTAATGAATCTGAACCCAATGGAGGTTGCTTGTCTCAATTGATGCCCATGCATCCACAACATACTATTGAAATAGCCTTCTATAGTGAAAGATGGTGTCTGGCTCGAGAATCCAAGGGTGAAGCTGGTATGCATAATAACATTGCTGACTGACCTAAGGGCTATATATTGTTTGATCTGGATCTCTTATGACTGGAATTTTTGTATGCCAGCCTTGTTTGCCATGGGAAAACATAAGAATATAGTGTAATGGGGAATAGACTGGATTGAGGTAACTGATTCTTTGCAAATGTCCACCATGTAGCCATACTATGATATTCTGATGTTCACATGTGACTTTTTCATCACTTCTAGGAATGACTGCCACTACCTCATACACTAAAGGCATGTTGTACCTACAATGGTCCATGTTTGGCTCTATAATAATCCATGCAGGAATATTTGCCTGTTCATCTGGTGGCTTGTTATGTAGAATCTTATAGGCCTATTTGTAAAGAGGCACATATGGATTAAATTTATGAAGCATAGCCTAAAGTTTTGTTAAGATAGTATGGTCCAAGTTAAGGTTACATAAACTCTGAGTGGCCAAAGCAGCTTGAGGGTCATAAATATATAACTGTGCATATAATAGTTGTTGTCCATTATCAAGAAGGAAGCTACCCATCCGATGTAAAAGTGCACCATAAAGACAGAAAGAATATGGCTTGCTTTTATTCAAAAGGTTCTCATTCAGTTATAATGCCACTGAAGTAAATTTAAATGCTGAATTATACTGCCAAATCTATGTACAAAAGTTATGTGACCTAGTAGAAGGATCCATTAATAGCTTCCACAAAGTATTGGGTGGTTCTGGAAGTAATAGCAGGCTAATTTTACCTTGTAAACAGCATATCCCAAATCTAGGATTTATAATGCTAGACTTGACCAAATATTTTCCTTTAAAGTGCAAGGCATTGCAGTAAGCACATCAGAAATTCATAGGTCCTATAGAGTGCTTTTCTGCAGGTTCTTGGTATGGCTAACAACCAAGAGGGAAATTTTGAGGAACAGCATTATCTCTAGAAACATTGTCATCTAAATTTGGATGAGGAAGATGCTGTAATGGAGTAGGAGGTATATCTTGATCAATGTCTGGATGCAGAACCTGATGTTCTGGAGCAGGGCCATTCACATTGATACCTAAGTCAAGAGGGGCTTGGACATTAGACTGCATTCTACTGGTGCTCTGAGCCAAAGCCAGTACATCACCCATAACATATATTCCTTGATTGGGCACTTTAGCTTGATCCACACCTCTAGATGGCTCTAGGAAAGAGGGCTCTGCCCTAGCCAAGTTTCATCTTCAGAAACATTTAGTAAATGAAGTACATAAGTTGTCCTTTACTCTTTGTATGTAATCCACATGTGGTGTATGGCTTATCCAATAAACAGCCTGGCAGACATGATGAGCAACACTATGCCATGGTAGACCAGGATATATATCAAAGGGCAAAGGATAGTATATCATTGAAGGCCCAGCTATAGGCTGCACATCCAGTTGAGGGGGCTAATACAAATTATGGTAATAGGATGAAGAGTGCTGCCAAAATCCTGTATTTTTACCTATCAAAGCTTGACCAAAAATATTGAAGCCATTTATAGGTGTTAGATTGACTTGTTGCCCATTTATGCAAAAAGGTTTATAGGAGGAGCCATTACTATAGACTGCTGAAACACATCATCAACTGGCCTTGTAATGATATGTGATGGCCCAGCAATAGGCATATTAAAGATTGGCTGAGGGATGGGCTCTCTTTGTTCTTCTTCAACATGCCTGCGCTGGATTGTAGGAGAAGTCATTTGAAGATGTTGAAGGTATTTATGCTCTTGCTCAGCCTGACTATTGTGCTCAGGTATTTGAGGTGATCTATTGAATTTATGTATTAGCATCATGCCTTTGTAAGATCTTATTTAAAACCCAAACTCACAGGCTCAAAGTTGTTTGATTTCCTTTATTTTGCTCAGCACTAGTTGGCCAATCCATATACATATCCTTATCATCAAACTCCTCAGGATGTCTAGCAAAATTTAGATCAGAATTATGCTCCTATAATATTTTGGCAACTTTATAACTGATTAGCTCAAAGCCATATTATTTCCTTGTTGTGTTACTTGGCCAGCATTGTTCAGTTGTTTAGGCATGGTCACAGAAGGATTCCTACAATCAAAATTGAAGGGTGAGCCTTAAAATCATCTAAAAGGAGTAGCAAAATCATAGCCCACATTTTTGTTTTCATAGTTTGTGAAGTGTAGAAAAGGTTTTTCTCCCCTTAATTGAGTCAAGTAGCAATAGCTTATGCTTGGGCAATTTTTTCGCAATTTTATGCAATTTTATGAGCAGGGGACAGTGAATAGCAAGCAGAGTTATTTGGTCTTTTTTGGTAGCATTTTGCTTTAGATATGAATAAAGGTGTCCACTATATCGTGCTTTACCTTTGGCAAAATCCTTTTTTGCACTTTCTCACTTGACTTTGCACTTTTGCACTTTTGTTCACTTCCTAGCCTAGTCCAGGTTCTCTTATGCTGGTATAGGTTCTCTCATGCCCTCACACTTCATGCTTGGATTCTCACATGGTTTTCATGTGTTGTCATGTGAGATACTGCCTTTCTATTCTTTTTATATCCTAAAAAATCCTTATAGGTGCTTGGTGCATTCTTTATGCTTATGAGATCAACAATACATTTGTAAGAACCCACAAAAAAGGGCTTGACCAGGAATTGAACCTAGGACCTAAATCTATGGGGATGGTTCAATTCTTAGGAAGCTTTATTGCCTTTTTTACCTACTGTCCCATAGTTTTCCAGCCTGCCTTTCTCAACCCTAACCATAAAGTGATTTTATTATTAAATGTTCCATATTGCATGTGATTCTGTTAAGTAAGTGAGTTTGCTACTGTCAGTTGATTCTTGCTCTTGTCATCATCACTTTTCTCTGTGCTGCCTGTGTCCCTGCTTGTAGTGGATGCTGTCAAGTCACCTTAAGCTGTGGCAAGCACTTCTGTTGTTTCTCTTTGTACTGCCTGTATTGCTGTTACTAGCCAACACTATCAAGTCACTTTGAGGTGTGACAACAAGTACTGTCGACGTCGTTGTATTCTAGCAGCTGGCCAACACCAGTGCCGTCATGGCAATAGATCTGCCAGATTCGCGTGATGATTCTCCTCCAGTGCATGAAAATGCTATTGGATCTATGGTGCAACCCTGCCCTACTGTCCATCCCTGATGTAGCGAGCACTCATTGGTGCATGGATCACCAAGGCACATGCCTTCACCACATTTAGAATTTGGTTCCCATTCTCAGCCAGGTCCCACTTGCAATTTAGGGCATAGTGTTTTCTATTTCCTCCTCCACTGTGTATCTGGATCCACATCTGCGCAGGAGAATATATCAGGATGTGTGTGCTTATGATCTCCACTGCTGCTCCTCTCCTTGCTGCCCACATTTGGATCTGCACATACAAGGGCAGATCATCGAGGTATGCTCCAATGTCATGCTTTCCTCCTTAATTTTTTTAAACCGGCTCCTTGCAGGTCGTTTTCTTCTGTAGTTCTATTGCCACCCAAGTGCAGCGCACATCCTTGGCAGTCCTTTGAGGATGAGGACCATCTGCCGGTCAGGATCTGTCTCTCATTGTCTCACTCATGTCACATCACCCATTCGGATAAAAGCCCTTGCAGATACATGCAAACCTTCATCGTCTCTCCCATGCCTCTCAAATCTGACTCACTCCTCGAGGCAGCTTGTGCTCATATATCTGTCTCCCTGCAGGCTGCTGCTCATATAGTCAATTGATCGGCTATCTCTGCTATAAATGCCCGTGGACCATCTTAGCTTAGCAACGATGATCACAATTCTGCTGTCCCTGCTGCTGCCCTCCCCTTGAATGAGGAGACCCATGCCTATGCCACGTGATACGATGTTCTTTTGGCCAAGGTGGGCCGTGCACCCCATCTTAGTGCCTCTGGTAAACCTCTTGCCCCTGATCCTAGTGTGTATGTGGCTTGGCACCAGATAGCATCCAATGTGGTTAGCAAGAGAAGGTTCTCTGCCAGCATGACTCTACTTGCTGAACAAGGAGGCAAGACCATGTAGGCACTTATCGATGAGATTGTCATAAAATCTCTAGAGCTTAAGAACAACGAAAATCCTGGTACATGCAAGCATCGCTTGCAGACGCTAATGCTGTGGGATGAGTTCACCGATAACATTGGAATCCCATCCCATCAACGATGGCTTCCTGCCGTAGTCAAGACTTATGCTTGCGTGTTTTTGCGCCTATGGGTAAGTCCTCTTGCAATGTTGCCTTGCCTTCTTGTGTCTCACCCTATCCCAACAAAACAGGTGATGATGGTCCCTGGAAGAAATGGACCTATGATTGCATCTGTGACCCTCATTGGTTGGGCATATGCTCTATTTTATTGCATTTATGAATACACCCATGATGAAGGCAGTGTTAAACAGGGAGTCGAGACATTGATCAAGGGCAGCCTCTACCGGGATATCCAGGACAAAGTCAAATCAAGTTTGTTATTGTCCTCATACATTGCTCCTCTTGCTGACATCATATTGTTCCCTGCATACAGTCGTCAAGGAGTTCAATCTGCCTCGCACACGCCAAAAGCCGATGTACTATGGGCGTCCAGAGAGTTGCATACTGCTTCAAGAGGCCATGCGCAGCAGCGTCTTGTCTGGCCATCCTGTCAAGATACAGGATGCCGCAATTATAGTCATGTCTATGTATCTGGGTGTTTGCCTAGGAAGTCTTGCTGTGCCCTATAAAAAGTGGCTAAAGGAATGCAGGGTCAGCACGCAACACATAAAACACTATCTAAAGCCACTAACCTATCCATAAATAGTACATGGTCTGCAGTGACTTGACCATCCATTGTATCAAGGATAGCTCAATGAGCTTTTGCATTAAGGCCAACATTCGAAACATAAAGGTAAGTTTCCTTTCTTGTTTGCTATCACAATCATCATAGCTGGTGTTGTGTTCAAGGGGTGGGTGGTCAGTGCCTATTCTAAATTTATGACATTTGTATTCAAGCTGGTCACCAAGGCACACAACATTGTATTTGAGCTATAGCTGTGGCTCATTGCCCATCTCTGGTGCTATGGTACATTCAAACCAAAGGTCTATCTCTTATACCTTTTTCTTACTCAATTTACTCATTATATGCTAGACACTGTATGAGATCATATTTGGCTATAAAGATAAGCTAGAGGTCATCCCTAAAATGCATAATGAACTACTATAATAAGGCACTCCTATATTTTCCTGACTAATTGCTTATCACACAGTCTTTATAGTTTTATCAAAGCTAATAAGAGTAAGAGACATCTTCTAAACATGGAGCCTTTCCTTGTATCCTGCTTGAGCATGTTAATTTCTAGACTTGCAAGAAATACAGATCTTTAACTATCTAGCCTGGATGCCTTTTACAAGGAAGCTAGAAATATTGTGAGTGCTATTATAAGGCTTCTAGATGGTTATATATATATATATATATATTTATATCATCAACATATAGTTTGGTATCGCTTAGGGCAATATTTTTACATGGATAATGCTTAGTCATTATAAAAATGGGAGCACCTTTGATATACATTACTGTTATAGCACTAGTGATATGTCTATTATTAGCATAATCAACTAGGAACTCAAAAAGGCCCTAAGTGATATATAATTAGTGTGTATACCTTTTATTGCCAAGAAGTAACCTTTTTTTTTTAATATGTGCATTTTCTACCTAGTATTAAGAGCTAGCTCGTAACATACAACTAATAATCACATGATTAATAGCATATGCTCTAAGACCTTGCCCAAACCCTGATCTAGGGTTTGACCATTAGAGATAACCCATATCTGGTGACCAGCCCTTTGACTTCACCAATGGATAACCATCTTTATTTATTCTTGATCCTTATTCTTAATTATGATTGTTTACTTATTCCTAATCCTTACCAATTACTATCTCTATATGGAGCTCTGATAACTATGCATAGTCATCATCTTGACAGATCTTGATTATTAATTGCTCTTTCTTTGATACTCTAATAGTTTGACTCACTTACTTCTCTTTCTATTGGCTGGATATTTGTTTACCTTTCAAAGCATAGACCTTTTTTTAATCTTACTCTGAACTAGTTGATAGTATATATAGAATAAGCTAGAGACCTGTCTTGCTAGCTTGTTTACCTTTGTTACCTACTACCTATTCTTTCGATAACACAAGTCTAAGCCTTTACTATTAAAGCTAGGCCTTGATAGTCAATAGAACTATTGTTATAACATTGGTTTAACTTGTACTTGTGCTTCTTTCTATTATTATCCTCAACTGTTCAGTTGATATATTAATACTGGCTAAGTTCTATATAGGACTAGTAGTATTTTATCTAGACTTTAATAGGCAGCATACCTATTATTATTTAGGCTCCCACTAGGTTGTATCTCCTTATCTATGAAACAATCTTTGTTACTACTTGGAATCACAACACATTTATAAAACCCTTATCTATTTTAATATACATATTAAGATAGCTGCTGGTATCTTTATTAGACATACTTGGATTTGGCACATTCTCTTAGTAACTCAGGTGCCTCCTAATATATTATATGTAAAGACCAGGTTTTAATACCTAGGCCATGCTCTGTCTGTATAAGTGCATATTATATGCTATAGGATGCTTTCTCAATTGTAAGGTAACAGAGCGTACCAATAAAAAGGCCTTAGTGATCTTATAGGACTACATAGCAACAAAAAAGAATATATGGTCTATAAAGATAACAGTCCCTACTGAGACAATGATAGCAGTTAATATATGCTGCCTTTTTTTTACAATAATTTATAAAGTACTGAGTTGACCATGACTACCATAGAATTATCCTGATATGCTTATGTATAACCCAGATATTCAATGCCAAGTGGAAAGAAATGCTCACCATAGTAACAACTATCCTATATGTAAAAAGTTCAAAATGCCTTCTTTTTCAAAAGTATGCTGTGGATAGGTATAGCCTCCCAAAAATAATCAGAAACCTATTAATACAAGTAGTCAATGTGCCAAGATTTAGAGAGATGGGTTTATCCAGACTATTTATATCTCTTTCTTAGCTTAGCAACCAGTTAAGAAAGCTCTAGTCTAATTAAAGCAATATTAAGCTCGAGGCTTATCATATATACCAATGCACTAAAAAGGGTTCTCTAGACTATTTGGATTATGAGACTCTAATAAATAAAAATAATGGATTGTTTTTGAGCTTATAAGAGGAATTTGGAATTGCTATCTGCTTTATCTTTAAGGAGATAAAGCAGATAATCTTCAAGGATTTCATGATGATTAGAGGGAAGAGGATAGTCTTTTCCTATCCAATAGATAACTCTAGGTAGTACCCAACTAAGGACTTGAAAGGCTACAAGTCCTTATATAGTATAGAGACTAGAGAATAACTAAGGAGTAGAGACAAGTCTAGTGCTTTGTTAGACAATATAGTAATGCTCAGATCTAGTAGAGTTTATGAAGTATGAGCTTAGAAAGATAAGCCAGATACTAGGCATAGTATAGAGATCAAGTAGTATATAAAGTGAACAAGCTAAGTATTAGGACCATGTCCTAACATGTGCTTCACACATAGATAGAAGGAAGGTCAGGTATTTTATATTGGACTTAGATATTAACAACTAAGACTATGACTTGACACATGTCTAGGCACATGACTCAAGGCATGGTTATGAGCTACATCAGGGAAAAGCTCCATATTAAATTAACCATAGTTAAGCATAAATATGGATATATTTTTACTAATTACCATTAAGGATTTTTAGCTTACCCACCTCTAATCCTGAAATTATAAGATCTAATTAGAGCTAATTAAAGCTAATATATTATGTGGATTTTAGGACAAATATCAACCAACCCACTCCTATGGTTTCTCTACTACTACTATACCTTCAATCATAGAGTATGTATAGAGCTTACTAATCAAATTAAAGTCACACCTTATTATAAACTTGCCCATCACTAGAATTGAACTAATAACCTTATGCATATACACCCCAGACTAGTACTCTAAACTACTAAGCTACAAGGTGTAAATTATTTACCTGGTAACTTAAATATGAATATAAATAAGGCAATCTCAACATTTCTAATTTTCTTACACATTTATCTTCTATCTGTTCTATATATAAAAAGGTCAATAAATGCCCTAAAAATCAAGGCTAATATTTGAATTTGGATACTAGACAATGATATAGTAAACTAATAAAAAATAAAGAATACAGTAAAAATAAGATTGTAGCACTTATACAATTTGGATTTGAAATGTGTACAATTATAATTGGATTGTAAATTCCAATGGGACTATAATAGTATAGACAATGTCACCTTTACTTGCAGATTTGATTATAAAGTTGATTATGGATAATATATTCTAATTAGCTCAAATTAGTATTTTGAATAATTAGATCTAAATTAAAAGAGGAGGTTTTTCTAGATGTATGTATATGACTTAGACTTAGACTATGCATCTTGATTGATTACTATTTACATGCTGATACATAAATGCCTATAATATTATGACTCATCCTTCTTTCGTCTAACTATATGGCTGTTAGGACCGCGTCCTAACACATGCTTGGCACGTGGACAGAAGGGAGGGTCAGGTGTCTCTTTGAACTTGGATGTTGGACTTAGATGATTAACAACTAGGACTGTGACTTAACATGCATCTAGGCACATGACTCAGAACATGGTCATGAGCTACACACATGACTCAGACTCAGACTGATTACCATTTACATGCTGACACATAAATGCTTATGTTACTATGATCCCCTCTGTATTATGGTTACTAATGTCAATCATAATCAAGTTCCATTGGAACATTGCTGTGGACAAACATTTGATATACTTACTATGTATGGTTACATTGAAGAGCCGTGGAGTCTGGACTGACAACTGCAGATTACTTAGCATGGGCCTTATGTCTGCCCTGGCTCTGAGAGCATGTACTATATATAGGGGAGCTAAGCTTCTTAAAAGATTAGGTCATTCACTTTGTACACATCTTGATCTCTGCACTGCACCCAGCATCTGGCCCCTTCAGCCCATGCCTCGTGAACTTTGCCAGACCCATAGAACCATACTCAGTCTGAAAAAGCACTGGACTCATCTCTTCACTCTTACTATCCTCTACCACCTAAAACATATCAAGGACTCACTGCCTATTGAGTCATCCATTGGGATCCCTCTGTAAGTCATTTGTTGCATTGGAAAAGACTTGTTTATACCAGACAAACAATGACACCTTGTTAACCAGCACCTCCTCCACCTATTCAAGGACAAGATCAATAGTGATCAGGAATTCCTAAATCAAGCCCAAAGACAATTGGTCATCTTTATATATTAGGCTGTCACTGTTACGATTAGCCTAGGGAACCCCTCTTAGTGCACAAGGTGCATGAGATAAGCCTAGTGGCTTAACAGTGGCTTAGTGATCAGTATCTAATACTTGTTAATGTAGACAGACATTTGATGTAGTCACTATATTAGGTTACATTACAGACTGTAGAGTTTAGATCACAATCAAGACTTTTAGAAATCCTGATTGAGGATAACATATCTCAATCATTTACTATACTTACAGTCTAGAAGCATAGACCTGATCAAGATCTGGCCCTAAATAGTTTGTACTATAAATAGTTGAGATGAACTCCTTAAAGGCTTAGCTTGTTTACTTTGTATATAACTTGATCTCTGCACTATGCCTGGCATTTGGCTACCTTTCCAGCTTATGCATTGCAAACTCTGCCAAATCCAAAGTATTATACTTAGTCTGATAAAGCACTGGACTTGTCTCAAAGCCTTACTCACTCTTATTATGCTATCACATACCAAGGACTTGCCACCTATTGAGTCCTTTCTAGAAATCCATCAAAAGTCATCTATTGGGTTGGAAAAGACAGTCTCATTATAGACACCTATCAGTCCTTTATTAAGAAACACCTTCTCCAACTCTTTGAAGACAAGATTAATCATAAAGAGTTCTTTCTTGTATAAGCACAACCAAGAGCTATCTTATTTATCTATTGGACAGTTACTATTCAGATAGCCTAGGGACCTCTCCCACATGATTTTAGAGCATATAATAAACCTAGTGGTTTAATATTAAGCTTTTTAGAAGCTTATCTTGGCTATAAGTATATACACTATTTAGGATAGGATCAAGATCTAGTCTGTGTATCTAAAAGCTGATCTACTCTAATAGGTATCAAGGCATAAAAGTAATCAGGTAAACAATTGAGATTAGTATATTATGACCTACAGTGTATTTATATATAGTAATTGTCTGTTTGTATCAGAGAAAAATCAAAATTAGGAACTAATCAAGAATATTAATTAAATGAAATCATAAGTAAGTGTTTTTGCCAAAGCATGTGAATATATATGAGTAAGTATTTATATGTTAGCATATCAATAGTCAAGAGCTCAATATTATATCATGTTTGAGTCACTTGACTAGCCCACCTTCTCATATGCTTTACATATATTAGGATATGGCTCTAATAAGCAAGTTATGCAAAATATTACTCTATTTATACAAAGCAAGAGTGAGAAAGGCCTATAACAAGGCATTGGCTACTAACAAGTCCCACTGTGCTGTCAACATATATAACACTGCTATAAAAGATAGTGAGAAGCTATCATATTTGCTTGCCTATACTCTTTATACTAATTCATTGTCTCTTGCTCTAGTTGCTTCTTCAAGCAAAATACCTATAAGTATTAGTTATTATAAACTGCTTGTTCAATAACCCCAAGAGTAGTAGGTTCTTCTCTAGGTCATATGATAAGGAGAAGTGAAACAATGGCCTTAACTATATAAAGGTATAAAAGTGGATGGTAATTGGAGAGCACAGTTGGGAAACTATTATGAATCTGCTTATCTACTGTAATTTTACCATGGTTTATATAGGGATATGTTAGACCCTTCTCAAGTCAATATCTTATGTTCCTGCCATATTTGATACTTGGTCCGTGCTCTTACTTGTACATATTTATAGCAATTGTATGCAGCATAGAAGCCTCAGGCTATCCATCTTTGTCCAATCTAGAAACTACTGTCATTAGTCTTTTTTGATTTAAGCACATTAGTCTGATCAATCCTTAAGAAGTCTAAACCTCTATATTTCTAATCCTTATTGTGTTGTTATTTGTTGTGGCCTAGGATTTTCTTATCTTGAACAGCCATTTATGACAGAAACTGTACTAAACAAATGTAGATAGTATGAAGACTGTCTAAGGACAAAGATAATAGACCAAAGATCCCTAGCCTATTCTATAGGCCTTTTATACTACTTTGAGAAACTGTGAGAATGCTATGTATATCCTCCAAGCATTTTCCAAGTCATAGCCCTTTCTTAGCTACTACTCTTGTGCCTTTTTAATTGTCTTCTTTTGACTAAGAGTACAATGGCATGTGTTTTCTATATGAGCATTTGTATATAAGCCTATGTTGGCCATCCATATCTATTCTGTAATACTTGACCAGTGATAATGGATTCCACTAAGAGTCAATAACTAAGGATGTTACTTTATACCATAATATATACTCCATGATTGAAGCCATCTAGTAACCATGATGATTGTTATCAGAATAGACAGCTGAAGAGGCCCAATAGACCAGATTATAACACTAGTCAATTAGCAGCAGTCACTCTTTAGTCTGAACAAAACACATAATCAGGTACAATTAGGTACAGGAGTAACCATAGCTATACATATTCTGTATAGGCCTCTCTTATCCTATCTTTGCTTCTACTATATCCCAAAAAATCCTTATAAGTGCTTGGTGCATTCTCTGTGCTTGTGAGATCAACAATACATTTGTGAGAACCTACAAAAAAGGGCTTGACCGGGAATTGAACCCGGGACCTCCTCCACCTGCTATTCACGTGATTTAACGCCCTAAGAAGGAATCATACTACTAGACCATCAAGCCGATGTTCGTGGAGCGCCCATGGAAATTATCATGTCAATTTCATACCGGCCAGTATGTTCGCCCGCCAGCTTCCGCCACTTCTGCCGCCACCTCTTCCCCCCAGAATCCTGTTCAGCCGGTCCCGTAGCTCAGTCCATTTTCTGTTTTCTCATTTGGTATGTCAAACTTTCGTGCAGTCGCTCAATTTGATTACAGACTTCTGTTCTTACAAGCTTGAAGCCCATTGACTCGAGAGGCACACCGTTTCCAAATCTTCGTATACCTTGAGCTGCTTGTAAGTACAGCTTTCAGTTGTGGATGGACGTTCTCATTCGGAACAGGAGGGATTTCTGCGCGCCGTTTTCTTTGAGCAGACAATATTATTCTCTTTCTTGCTGCCACGTTCAACGGTCGCCGTTCATCATCTCTATTCATGAAATGTCCAACAATGTGCACTCCTACAAAGCCTCCAAGGAGGCCTTCGTATCAGGAATGACGGGGTCGACTGTAACCCACATAAATTTGCTGTCCGCGGCAGCCCTGGTATGTCGTACTTGTGTCATGTTTGAGCCTAGCTCATCGCTGCGATGACCTTGAATAGTCCTCCATCGCATTCTACTCCTGCCTACGTTCTCGCCTCTGTCTACACAGCTCTCAAAATTTCGCATCCGAGTTCCTGCTCCTTGTCGCTCCTCTCTTACTTTCCGTAACCCTCTTTGCCAATGCCCCCGGCGCTCTCTCCGTTCTCCTCCTCTTTCCCACAGTGTTGTTGCTCCTAGTGCCGCTGCGTGAATCCGGCACCCCGCTCCCTTCGAGCGCCGACATGTCGCCACGCACACCGTTGGTGCATATTTGGCCCCCATCCACCACTAGCACGTCACTGTTGCTCGCGCCGCTACCGGCGCTCAGCACATATCGCGCACACATGATGCTGATAACCATCCTGTCTATCCTTGCCGTCGACTTTCCCGTCTTCCCTCGCATCCTGGCCAAATGCGAGACTTATGGCGTTTCCCTGGTGCGTTGCTTCTTCAATCTCAACTGTTTTTGCCTGCTATCGCGTCGCTCACAGAGGAATAGATGGACATGGGCGTGGGCTCCTTCGTATTCTCCCAAGGCGTCGTATCCGCGATTCCTCTACTCAAAGATCCATCATACCTCACGTCTCCACTGATACCCAAAACGACGCGCACGCTTCGCAAAACCCTCCCCGTCATCCTCCTCGGACTGGTACGAGTCCTGCTTATCAAAGGCACCGAGTATCCCGTAAAGTATTTCCACTCATCATGCCGCTCACCTCACATCATGATTGTCCCCGCCTGTTGCAGGAACACGTCACGGAATACGGCGTCCACTGGAACTTCTTCTTGACTCTCGGCTTCATTCCCGTCCTCCAAGTGCTTCTGCACCCTATCATCGTGCACGCGCCCATCTCAATGATCGGTGTGCTGGTTGCTCTGGGTGAGTACCATACGTTCGCTCGACCATAAAGTGAAAATGCGCTCGTGCTGACGTTGATCGGCGCTAAGCACACCAGTGCGCCCTTTCTCTCGGACTGAGCTCGTACGTCCTGGACGCGCCACGCACAGGACTGATCAGCGCCAACAAAGAAGGCATCGTCTCTCTCATTGGTATGTCAATTTCGCCGTCTGTGACCCTAAAACTTCTGATCATGTCCTGAACTCAGGGTACCTTGCCATCCACCTCCTCGGACTCTCGACGGGCACGTTCTTGCTCCCACCCTCTCCATCGCACTTCCGCCGCCGCCAACAGTCCAATAAGCGCACCAAGCGCCGCGACAGCAACGCTGCGTCCCAGGGCGCAAACGAGGCCGAAAAACTGACAGCGTTCAATACGGCCCGCAGGGAGAACGACAAGACGGCGACTGTGCTGTTCTCCTATACTGCCATCTGGTGGGCCCTGCTAGGAGCGTGCATGCTCATCGGGGTCGGCGGCGGCGTTTCGCGTAGGATGGTGAGCGGCTCGTTTCCCGGCTCTGCGCTTCCTACAGTTGCAAATGCTGACGCCCGCTGTCCTTCAGGTCAATTTGCCTTATATCGCGTGGGTTGCGGCGTACAACACGTCTTTCATCCTCGGCTATCTGTTGCTCGACCTCTATTTTTTCCCGTCGCCGCTGTCCCGATCGATGTACTCGCCCACGTCGAAGCTCAAGATGCAGGACACCAGTCGCCTACCAACGCTCCAGCAGGAGCGGCCGCAGACAGCCCCTCCATTGCTAGAGGCTATCAACCGGAACGGGCTGGCATTGTTCCTTTTGGTGCGCGCTTCGCGCTGTTGTGTTGTTGCGTGTATCGGGATACTGATGCATTGGCTGCGATGCACGATTTGCAGGCCAACCTCGCGACGGGCGTCATCAATATGAGTATGGCTACGATGTATGCATCGGATGCGACGGCGATGATCGTGCTCACGCTGTATGCATTGGGTGTATGTGGGGCTGCGTGGGCGACGCGGGATCGCCGGCTCTTGAAACTGTAAAGGACGCGTCTACAGCGTATCGATCGACCTTGGGTTGTTCTTGCGGATATGATATCGCTAACCATGGAACATCCTGTAACATACTGCTTGCGAGCACGATGTTCACTCAGGAGAGGCTGTACGGCTCATTTCAAGGCTTCCATATTACCCATACGCAGTATAGGTCCGGGCATGATAACACTGATGCTTCTGGGGCAGTGTTTGAACGCAATCGACCAGGACTGACTTGAAGTAGTTGTATCACTGTCGAGCGAGTAAGAGAGAACCGAAACTACTGCTCTGCTGCTAGTTGTAGTAGATAGCCGCAGAGCGCTGTGGAACGGCGGCCAGCCTGGATAGGTTACTGCAGTTCCCGTGAGCCGCCTGCGTGGCGATCGGCAGCCGCCCTTGCTCCTTCCGATGACATGCAAACCTTCAACTTGACCACTCTGTCTCAGCGACGGGATACGTGAATACCACACTTCCATTGGCTTAGCTCATGTTGTCTTACGTTCTGTCCTCAAATCATCGGTGACACCAGTCCTAGTTGGTTTGCATGGATCATGCAATTCAAGGACAGCACTGTCAATTGCAGCGATGATTCTCGACGATTGAGGCATCTCAACATCTGCAAGCTCACCTGCACGACCTGTTAACAGTGAGCGCTTTCTGTGACGGACATCTGTTAATGGCATGACGTTAGCGCCCTGCGATCTATCTCTCGAGTGCGGATTTCTACATGGGTTCCGGGCATCGTGTCAACATCCCCGAGTCACGCGCAAACACATCCAGTGCTGTGCAAGTATCAGGAGTATCGCCATTTGTCGCTCACAGTCAGCGTGGCCCCTTCCTCATATCCTAGACCACACCATGTACGATCCTTGGAATATTGCAGCTTCTGTGATCCTCACCATCGTCATATACATCGTCCTCAACGCGCTGCAGCCTGTCCCGACGCGTCTGCCACCGGGTCCTGGATCGAATACCAACCCACGGGAGGCGCTCAAGCAGGCGGCAGAGAGCAATAAAGGGGCATGGACTGTGTTTAATCATTGGACCAGGGTTTATGGTACGCTCGGGGACGAGTAGAGATCACCATGCATTTCGTGTTAACGGCGATCTAGGTCCAGTATTTGCGTTTTATCTGGGAAGGACGCCTGTGATTGGTGCGCACATATACGCCTTCCCTGGTTGTGCTCGTCATGAATATCTGCATTCCTTTTAGTGCTCAACAGGGCCTATGATGCATGGGACCTCCTCGAGAGGCGCGGTGACATTTACTCCAGCCGACCAAGGCTGGTCATGGCGTGTGTGGCCCACCGTTTTTTTCCCCGTTGTTCCGTCCGCCAAACGCTGTCGTTCTGAATTCGCAGTCATGAGATACTGTCCGGCGGCATGCGCGGTTTGAGCATGCCCTACGGTACACATTGGCGCAAATGGCGCAAGGTATGATCCCTCGCTTTCAAGCAGTCGTTTGCTTGTGCAACAACTGTCAAATACTCAATTATTTCTCATGGACTTCGTTTTATCGCAGATCCAGCATGCGGGTATGGGGTCTCGAGCCGCGAGAGCATATCGCGAGCACCAGACATTGGAGTCTACACTCGTCCTGTGCGACCTTGCGAAAGACCCGGGAAACTATGCAAAGTCCATTCAGCGGTCAGTGTCTTTTCCTTTTGATCCTCTCATGCATCAGTCTTGCTCTTTTGCACCCTCTTCGCAATGCGCCATCGCAAGGAATCCTGACTTGCACGTTGATTTCTATATGAAGATTCGCGACGTCTGTGGTGCTCAGCATCAGCTATGGCCGCCGTGCGCAGAGCTTGGAAAGTGAAGTCGTGCAGGCAAATTATGATGCCCTATTAGGTGCGCGGATAGCGTGTTGGAGCATTTGAGGTTCATTTCGAGCTTACCCTAAGAGTTGTAGAGTTCCAAAAGTAAGCACATCGCTTCACACATGATCACCATGCGTAAGATCGACCTGAAAGACCTGCCTTGGCTGAAATGTAACGCAGAGCAAGGTAAGCACCTCTTCGTGTGAGTTTGAATACTTGCCTTCTCTGAACATTATTGTCGTCTTTGTCGATGTTGTGTCTTCACAGCACGGCTGGGAGGTACATTGTTGAATCGGCGAGTTGACTTTCTCAAAAATGTACAGCCCCATTCCTGATCTTCTCTTTACAGTGGCCTATCCTACTCTGGCTCCCGGTATGTTGTCATTGCCTTCCACGTAAGAATACATCAACCACACATCTCACGCGCTTGTAGCGCTTTCTTCAATGGTTCCGCCCTCCCTTCGACCGTACCCGCGCGAGAGACACTGCGCTCTATCTCTCCCTTCTTAGATCCGCTCGTGCGCGCGCAGTTGTCGGCGAGGGAAAACCCTGCATGGCTGCGAGTGCGGGAGAGACCATACAACACGAGGGACTCGGATTGAACGAAACCGAGGTAGCATACGCGGTGTCGGCACCGTTTGGAGCAGGAATTGATACCGTGAGTGGCCCTGTTTTGATGAAGTACTCATCAGTATCTTCGAACTGAATGGATTGCGCCGGCCGCATAGACCGCTTCAAGTGTAGAATACTTCTTGCGTATGCTCCCTTTCATCGGGATGATAACTTGAGCATAACACGTCCATATTGACACAGTCGCGGCTTTGCGTCATCCCATGGCGACGAGAAAGGCTCAGGCTGAGATAGATCGTGCCGTCGGGCGCGCGCGACTCCCGACCTTCGCGGATGCGGATGCAGGAAATCTGCCTTATCTGACTGCATTCATCAAGGAGGTCGAGAGGTGCACCCCGTCTCCCGCTTTCGTACTCGCTGTGCTCATGCCCGATAAAACCTAGGTGGCGCCCTGTTGTACCGCTTGCTGTACCACACGCATTGACGCGCGACGACGTGTATGCAGGCTACGGGCTTCCGCGAGGTTCGACCGTATTCGCGAATATTCAGTGCGTGCTTTGCTTTCGACCTCGGGCACACGGGGTTGACTTCCGCTCACATAGCGCCATGACACGTGACCCCAAGCTCTTCCCGAAGCCAGAGGTCTTCCACCCAGAGCGTTTTTTGCCCACTCTCGTGCCTTACGCTGGCGATGGTGGAGTCGGAAAGGAGAAAAACGCGATGAGAGAATACTTGGACCCTCATTTGAAGGACTTCACACTGCCGTTCGGATTTGGGCGTCGGATGTGCCCTGGCATGCACGTCGCATCGCAGTCGATGTTCATCCTCGCAGCACGGTGCGTGTTTAACCTGCTTCTCTACGGTCCTGTTCGGCGAAGTTCATCATTATGAATGCCTTCTTCGTAGCATCTTGTGGACCTTTGACATTCTCCCACACCCAGACGATGCAGCGAATCCAAATATTCTGGAGAGGACGAGCGCGCTGGACGATGAGATCAGTCTTGGCCTCGTGCGTGCGCCGGCGCCATTCCGGTTTGAACTGCGCGTGCGACACCCGGACGCGCTGAAGATGGTGGAGGCCGAAGCGGCCGAAGCTGAGCTGCGTTTGATGGAATGGGATTGAAGATGCTCTGAATGGTAAGTGGTGTATGATGGAATAATCGCCGAGTGGTTAAATCGGGTGTATTTTCATTGGTTGTATGTGAAAGAAGATCTCGATGTTATATCTCACGCATAACATCCCCTTGCGTTTATGGTGCGAGCTATCTTACAACTTGATTCATCAGGTTCAGTGGTATTCTGCTAGAGGCCCGGTTATTACTTTTCGCCTTAGAAGTCGAGTAGACGCCCACTGACGTTTGACTCAAATCTGTGGATTACAGACTTATTGTCGATCTCCACGGACGGGGCTGCGGTCTTCAACCGAGCTACCCACCCATATATTTCGTCAAAACAAGGGGGACCTATCCATGTCTACATTTTGAAATGAAGTTGTTCATTTGCGTATCGACAAAAGCAGTACAAAAGTGTGGTCATGCTCCATGCTGGGAGCAAGATTCGAAGTCTCGAGTCCAACTTAATTATGTAATTATGCTCGGTATCCACTGAGCCAGCACAATGACGTCGATGTCGCAGCTTGATGAGTTGCCGCATGCTCGACGCAACAAGCGCCATGATGGCGCTGCCGCCGTCACCTTATGTTCCAAATCCCATCAGCAGTATCCTATCTGCCCTCATGGTCTGCCTTGTGGTCAAGTCATCGCGCGACTAACCCGCCATTTACATTATGTAAACTGTTCTCGACGACGGGGCCATCGCGCTCCAACAATGTCGATGTCGCGCACGCGCGCTTCCTCGCAGAGTCGGGCGCGTCGTCAAAATGGAAGAATGGTGACGGACAAACGACGATGGGAGGGCTGGATGGGCCAGCAGATACTCTGGAGGGCCTTGGGAAGGGGAGAGGTATGTCATTCGCGATGCCGATATCCTTGTTCGCCATTAATACGTGTTTTTTTTCATCAGGAAAGCTCTCGCCCACATCATCTCACCTGTTCATGCTCATCCTTCCTTTGGGTGAGATCAGCCTGAAATTACGGAACTCAAGAGGCAACGAGCACAAGAGAGATCACTACGTGACAAAATTCCCCCCACCGACTGTTTTCCTACTGCATCCGTCCCAACCTTTGACCCACGTTAGCAAGCTTATCGTGTCATCGTTCCCCCCTGCTCGTCCCGAAGTTTCTTTTCGCAGCTCGGCGGCAAACGGTCACCACATGCAATGGTCCGAAGCGACTGACATCGGTGACTTCATACGCAGTGCTGCGCGCGCGACCGAGTTTGACATCCACATCACTATACCTGTTCACAAATATTCTGGCGATAGTGATGAGAAGGATGATACAGAGGACGTATTCGACGAGACTGTGATCACAGTCGAAGTACCCACGTTTGCGGATCGGACGCGCTTCTTGAGACGCAGGTTGGAGATTATCACCAGAGAGTTAAAGGACATGGAGGGTCTGAAGAAGGAGTGCGACCATGAAGCACACAGAGGTGCGCGGAGGATGGCAGTTGGTGGGTTTGGGCTGCTTGTCGTATATTGGGGCGGGGTCGCGCGGCTCACTTTTTGGGATTATGGCTGGTGAGCATACGTTTATCTTTCCTCGTGCGCGGTAGAGGTGAATACCAGATTTGTTTATTGTAGGGATGTCATGGAACCGATTACGTACCTCTCTGGTCTCTCGTCCGTCATCTGCGGCTACCTCTGGTGAGTTTATGTATCCCATTTTCCGACGCTCACCCAACTGATATCTCGCATCGTATTCGAGGTTCCTCTACCAAGGCCGTGAAGTGTCGTACTCGTCGGTTCTCGACCGCTCCATCTCAGCGCGCCGCGAGGCACTGTATAAAGCCCGTGGACTCGACATCGATCACTGGGGCGACCTTGTCGCGGAGGCACGCGTGCTGCGACGTGATATCGGACGGATCGCGCAAGACTATGATCATGATTTGGGGCGCGGTGGGGAAAAAAATCGGGAGTCTCAAGGCGACGAACGGGTGGGAAGGGGCATGCAATTGGACAGGGTGAATGAATCGAGGGACGATGGTGACGAAGTGACTGGATGGACCCGGCGATGATGCGTTGTGGACAGGAAGATGATAATACGTGAGTCCTTGACGAAGACAGCATGGACTCAAATTAGCTTGGACCAGAGGTGGATTCAAGTTGGACGAAAGCAGTGTGCTTGCCCCCGATCGATGCGGCGGTAGTTAGGAATCAAACACACACCGACATCTGTCGCCTGTGAAGGGACACTCATCGCCTCCGAAAGCATGCGCAGATTTGGCGTTGCTTTCCCATTTCCGCTCGGGAGAGGCGCGGAACGTACGCAACGCGCGACGCATGTGTAGCAGGTCGATCATTCCCTACACTGATCTACGATCGCGTATCTCATGGTGAGTCCTTGTTCGCCGTGGCATAGCAAATTAGTTTCTCAAGGTAAGAATACTATTCCCAACTAAGTCAAACAAAATCCTCTGTTTTCGTGACCTTCGTCTGATGATCAGGCTAGAGTCCTACCTCACCTTTCACATTCGCACATACTTCCTCCTCGTGTTTTGGAAAGCGTTTGCCTTGCTTTCTCCACACCCATTCGGCAAAGCCGGAGGACACTTTATTGTCTCCTTTTGGATGCTTGCAACTTCGACCTTTCGTGTATCACTGAATCGTCTCTATGTCATAGTTGGGCATCTACGCCTGGCTCCGGGCCTTCAGCAATTGCATCCGGACACATTCTTCAACCACCCTCTACGGTTAGAACATCACACGATAACGAACGCGTTCACTTCGTGGACATATATACGAAGGCCGCGATCTGATCCCGATACCATTGAGGCTCCGAGACATGCGCAAGACGAGCGGCATTCAAATCCTGTTGGTGGAAGGCTGCTTGTATGCGGCTCCGCCAGCCAAAGTCTTGCTGCTTCTTCCATACATTCAGAATGAATGCTGTTCCTGCAACGTGCAATGCGCCGTGTTCCTATATCTGCATCCGGTGCGTGTTCACTCTCCTATGTGTGAAACCAGCATTATGCAGGTAGAATCGGAGATGGTTGATCAAAGACTCCTTGCTCTAATGTTGCTATGTAGTATCCTATGAGCCACGTTCCACCCAATTGTAATCCTTCTTTTCAACCCTCACTATGGTCATGCATGGTCAATGTTGGGACCGCCTGTGCTCCAGCTCCTCAACTTTCTCATCGGCCCTTTTCGACCTAACCCACTGCGTAGCTGCCCTGTACCCTGCCACAGGTACGGAGGCATCGCTCGTATCTTCTAACCCTTTATAGCAGGTTTCGGTGCAGCCTTCTGCATGGCATATGCTCATGTATGTGCTGAGAAATTCCGGCTTGTGGAACCCGAATGGACAACTAACACGTCGGTTAAAAGGGTCCGCTAGGTCACCGCCCGTCCTCATCCACCCCCTCTATCTCCAGCCATACCTATCCAGCCTCTCGAACATCTGAGGTCTCGAACCGTGCTTCCCTCTCGAACTGCTACCGGATTTTCTAGAATGATGGATGTTGCCATCGATAAAGGCTCTGACACCCTCGACGCCCTGCCATCCGATAACATCCATCCGTCAGATGAGCATTGGTATTCGCGTCTTGATGACATTGGTCAGGCTTTCATAACTATACCCCGGGGTATGACTCTCACAATGCTCTAAGCCGAAGCGCTCCTGCAAGAAAATATGCTCGAGCCAATGCTTTCAGAGATCTCAAGTTCGACCAGCAACAACAGGGCGGTCCAAATTGCCAAACGATACTTTTCAAGGTACTCTCCTCATATCATGGAAGCGTTGGACATTGTTGCAGATGCACATCCTGCTGTAAAAGGTGAGCTTCTCCCTCTTATTTATGGCCTGCATCTTACTTTTGCAACAGTTGTGGTCATCGCCTTTCGGGCAGTTTTCAATCTTGTGAAAAGACTGCATGAAAATCTCGACAAAATCACAATCTTATTTGGTGCCATGCAGGATATGATGATCTCAATTCTGCGGTGTGCATGCTTTCGTTCAGTGTGCGGCGCTTCTCTAACCAGTATCTGCAGTCTCAAATACGTCCGCGACCAACCTTTGACTATCAACAGCGGCCACGCTGCAGCGAATTCCATCAAAGCCCGTAGCAAAGTTGCAGCCGACGACATTTACAGATGCTTTCAGGACTGCGACACGTACTTGCGATTGACCTCGTTCGAGCGAGTGTTTCGCAGCTCAGCGTGGGAATCCAAACTTGCTAAATATGTCGATATATTTCAAGAGCACCGTGCAAAGTTCCAACACCTGCTACTCGTGTTCACCACAACTGAAGCTACCAGAATATCGGACAAAATCGATAGGCTCATCGATAAGTCAGTCATCTCAGTTCGATGCACTCTGATGTGATGACCGACGTTCATTCCCCAGAGTCACAGAGGGGTTTAAGAAGCTCACAAGTCCAGAGCAAGTCCAGCTTCTAGACAAAATCAAGGCACATGGTGGTCCTGAGTCATATCAACATGACGATGGTGCACTGCGCGATCTCATTGAAGATTGGATCCAAAATTCGCCAACCAAGGCAGACTATCGAACTAGTTTCGAGGATCTCAAGAAGGGCCTTTTCGAGGACATCAAGGCCACTGTCGAGAGAAATGCCAATCACGTTGAAGCCAAACTAACACTTCAGCGCAAGCAACTCGAAAGGATCGACGAACAGACAGCTTTGATGGCCGCAGCACTCAAGGGACTAGGTGGCAAGATATTTGACCCAGTAATTACACCATTATGGTTTGTATCCGCACAACTGACTTTACGTTCATGTAGGACATTCAAACCATATGGAACACTATGGTAAGGGTTGTTTGCATGCTAAATTGGTATAACATTCATAGTTGCGGATTAGCAATGGAGAGGCAACAGTGTGAAGGCGACGGAATTCATTCTAGCTTTACGAGATCATTTTTTCGATAAATCTTTCTCTCAAGGCAATCACTTCGCGGCCGATATGCGTGGACATCCAGATGCTTGGGCTGTCAACCACATCAATGTCAAAAGATTACAGCCTATAATGGAGGCATTTGATGACGATGCATCGGGATTGATCACCATAGCGGAAATCAATCGATTCACTTCGTCTCCTACTCGTCCGCAGACTTGGAAGTGCGTGGGTTTACTTCGGATGATTCTGAGCTTACATCTCATGACCGTGCAGATTACCCCACTGGATTGCTTTTTGGGCCGTTGGTGAGTAGAAATTCATTGCCTTGGTTGTCTGACTGACGAAACAATATTAGGGTGGAAAATGTCTTCGAGACATTACAAGGACAAGATCGTGAACATCATTGACGATATGACCCACATCTTGCCAACTATCCTTCCTGTGAACCGCCAATCCGTCAATATGTATCAACAATCCCTTTGGGAAATGGTCTATCCTCTAATCGCTGCTCCTGGACTCAACGATTCCGACACATTCGACGGATGCAACCCAGAAGTGTTCAAGCAATTTACTGACAGCGAAAAACAGAGACTTCAGGCCAATTTAGCTGCCTTGCAGTACGTCATAGACGGTCCTGAAATGCTCCCACTGGTTACTGGGCATGGGCGAATAGAGAACGTAGGCGGCGTCTGTCTTACATCCACATGCTCACAATGATCATGCAAATCCAGACACTTTTCCCTCTGTTGTATCTTGTCATCGCGCACTATCACCAGATCATCAAGTTAGCCAATAAACAAGTTGTTTCTGACAAGGAATTAGCCTGCGGTACAAGAAGTATCACAGGTATTATGTCTGCAGTCAAACTTCGTGTCGACTTGCTGTGCGGTGAGCTTGTTTCAATCGAGATCGTCTACTGTGAGACTGATTTGACGTAGACAGCTGGCTGCTGCAGCAGGCAATGGATCCGAGGGAACGTTTCAGACATTTTGCTTGTGGCATTGTCAGTATGTTTTTTTCGGTATGCCTTTTACATATATTGAAGTCCCACAGTTCCAGTGTATCAATGACAGCGCGAAGATACCGGAAATTAAATTTATCAAGGATATATCGAGCACTAGAAGCCTATTTTCCGGAAGTCAGGCGAAGGATAATTGGTCTGTCCCGCCAGACGAGCTAGCGCTTGCCCGGCAGCTGTACAGCAATACCACAATTTCTGGCGGCTCTAGCCCGCCTCAGGCAGGATCAGACCTCGACGATATGTATGTGAACCTTTCATATGAAGTATTGTCAAGCTCAATCCTTCTAGATGCGGTATCTGGCACTGTCTCGCATATGACAAACGTGGTATGGCATTTGACATCAACGGTTCTAGTCGCGTAGGAATCACTTCAATGATAACCATACAACTGAGGCTCGGAACAGGTCCAGGAGAAATCAAAGGTAGCGGGTGGACAAACCCCGGTTTCTTCCCGGTGCATGCTTCCGCAGAATGGGATAGTGAGAGGAGGCACTTAGCCGTGAATTTCAAGCTGTCTTTTCCCTCTCCGTGGAAAACATCCTTCTTCACGGGACAATTCATCCCTGATACTCAAACAATATCTGGGATATGGGGTTATTCTCCTGAACTATCCGAATCATCACCTTCTTTGGGAGGGTCTGCCGTCTACAAGCGGATGGCTCCTGAATCCTTTCGATTCTATCCTAGCCCGCACGATCTGGTGACTCGTAGAGCGCGAGCTAGGTGGATCTTCGCCACACAGGCTGTTTTGGATGCCGTTCGAAGAGAATCATGGACCTGGTCGTACTTCAAAGGTCGTCGCGACAACCGACAAAGGTACATCTCCCTCTACATCGACTGGGAGACTTTTCGGAAACGGGATAATTTTGACGAGCTGGGCAAATGCGCACGGGAGTTTATTTCTACCGATGCGTGCTTCTATACCTTCAGAGCACGCTATATCCGAGACACAATGTTTGTGCATGTGTAAGTTCTGCTATCTTTATTCCGATTCTTGCTCTGAACCACGATCGTACAGAAATCACAAGTGCGACTGTTGTGGAGGGCGAATCACCGAAGCTTGCACAATTTGCTTAGATTGCAAGACCAAGGAGTCAGAGCCCTTCAATTATATCGCTCTCTGCCAGTCGAAGGCTTGCATCAATTCATGTGTCACCATGACGCAGCGTCCAGACCTAGTTGGCTCGCATGAACCGACTCACCGTGTCGTCAAAATTCGTGCTTTCATCCCTGGACCTGTTTTACCGCTGCTCTTTGCAAGCGCAGAAGATTCTTGGAAGAAAATCGAGATGTTTTGCATGAACGCAGAAGGGGGACAACCCCGATCGTTGGAAAATTCAGATGGGCCACCTTCAAGGCCAGCTTGTCGTTTTTGCCGGCGACCATTCGATCTTACATTCTGGTACTGTGTCGACTGCCATGGTTTGTGTCTGTCCCAATTTCCATACCACATCTGACAGCATTGATTAGATGATTTATTCATTTGCGACTCCTGTGATTCTACCATCGACCTCACCCTTGTCTATGCGGACAAGAAATTCGATAAGCCATACTCGTCGGACTGCCAAGAGGCTTCTCGCTATGCGAGGCTTTTCAGTACCCGTCACTATCATAAGTCAACACACTCTATCATTCGTTGTCAAATGGGGCCCAAATCCGAAGACTTGCTTGTTGCCATCCACGATCGCGTAACCAATCTAGAGACCACTATCCACCGCCAAACTAATCTCTATGTTGTGGTCGGGTGGTTGCTTTTTGCCTTGGTATTAGAAACTTTCTTCTTCATGACATGGGTGCAAAAAGTTTCTCTGTTTTCGAATGTTTCTGTCATCATAGGCAGTTCCTTCGTGTAGTCATCACCGATTCAATATCTTCACCCGATGAGTCTATAGGACAGCGACATATGTTTGGGTTATTTTCTTCGCGAAAGTTCCGAAATGTATAGTCATCTTGGACTGGCTAGTTAGTGTTTATTAGGACATAGCATATATTGTGGCGCACGAGATAAAGGTGCACGTAAACAATTTACAATCTCATAACAACTATCACCGCAGGTATGTGAGCGATACAGTAGAATCGGTTCCATAATGGCATCCTTACCTTGAACCCAAGCTTTTCCCAAGCCACTCGAGACGCAGGATATTCCGTAATATACAACATTACACGTCTCTCTGCCGCCCCCAAAAACGTTTTCGGTAGCCATCTTTCTCCATTCAATGTGACATTTTCCCTCACCGCTATAACCAATAACTCCCCAATATCTTTAACATCCACATACTGCTTTGCTCGGAGGTCTGGTCGGCGAAAGGTTGCATCACGGTGGTCTTGCCAAGCCTGTAGCTTCAGCAACAAATGTGCAAAGAGCGGCATTATTGGGATTTTGGATGACCACATGATGCGACTAGCGTCCACAAATGGGATGTTCATCACGGGAGGAACGAGGATGTCGACCTTACAGCTAACACTGAGCCGCCCTGGAATGCGCTTCCATAGCACCTTGTAGGTGTTGCGCCAGTTTTTAGAGGGAACAAGGTAGTAGGTAGAATCGCGAGCGACAATGCGCCGCTTTAGTTCTTCCTGCTCATAAGCCGTACTCATCACGACAACATCGACGTCCTGTATCATAAAAGTGCTGTGGTCAGCGAGATGAAGTCAAGGAGCTCGGACACTTGCGTTGGGAGTTCTACTCGCACCCCACAACACTGAAGCGACGCTGCCCACGAAACAGCAGGAAAGCCCGTATCCCTTAAGGATGGCAACGGTCTGTTTTGCAACTTCCCGGACGTCAGCGTCCGAGGGAGTTCCAAAAGCGTAGTGACTGAGCATTGGTATCGCATCCATCGGTGACACAGGGTGGTTGCGGAGAGACGATAAAGAACAGAGCGCCAAACAAGCGAACGAGAGCTTATACAGCAGAAGCAGGATTTTTTTATCAGTAGCTTTGAACGGAAGACACATATCGGACCTATCCCGAACGAATACGGATATGGTCCACCTTTAAGGGGTGAAGAGGAATCCTCGATCCATTTGTATGTCTCTTGTTCGACGAAAAGGCATAAACAAATGTTCAGGAAAGGAGTTAGAAGTTCCCTTGATACTTATATGGAACGAGGCCTAGGGCCTGGAGGCTTGTCGGGGGCTTCTAATCGAATAAGAATGACAGTCGCTCCTTCTCTTCGGTTTTGAGATAGATATGATTCAGAGAAGACGAAAAGGGCATCACATGAGATGCGCACTGAATCGTCCATGTTCAATGGGTCATGTTTGAGCGGTAACATCCTAACGACGAGAATCGAACCAGGATTCTGTCTCGCGAACATGCACTCGCTGCTCAGTCCACTGTACTCGGTAGGCTCTTTCGGAAGGCATCCAGATATGAGTCACAGAACCCGTATACAAGAAAATTTAGCGTACCATAGAATATCTCAAGGACCCTCTCTCAAGGTCAATATATAATATCGATGATCCTTGACAATGACATATTCTTATCGTACATATGTTCGAGCATCAGACAGTCTTTCACGCTCAATTATGAAGGATGGTATATGATAGCGTATCTTAATTACACTGCGAAACATGAGCTGCGATCAGATGAGAGAAGACATAGTGACTGACTACAGTCTTTCTCTCCGTTTGAAAGATGAGTCTACTAGTAGTAATCACATGCAGAAGAGAAAGCGGATTGGATAGGTTGAAGAGACTGGATGCCTGTGGTGACAAGGAAAGAAATAAGTTGTCGCAGGGCGTCGCCCTCTAGTTCTCTGGATCACGCGTTCATGCCGCTTGGTCACGCATGCCATGGCCAACTCTTGCCAGTACCGACGACGGTACCGATAATTAATGATTAGTATCTGTGCAGACTCTGCGAGCCTCTAAGCTCTATCACGCACTATAACCTCGTTAGTTTTGAACCAACCCTGTCCCTCAGGACGACGAGTTATCTAGCAAAAGGTCCTGAAACAGCGAGACGACGTCCCACGTGCACTTTCGTGCATCCTCTCATCCGCCTTGTGGACTCGTGGACTCGTGAAGCCTTGTGGACTACCCCAGATATCCTGGCCATGACCTCCGTCACTCCTTCCGAAGCATCGTTCATCTTGGTAGGACCAGAAACCTCTCAAACCTTGAATGAGAGAAGCCCTATTTCCGACATTGCTCCTAGTATACCCACAGGGAGGCCATCAATACCAGAGGTCAGTCATCACACCCATCTCGGTCGACTTCAGGTATTCAAAGCCTGTCATCGACACAGCAACATCTTTCCAACGACCTTTCTTATGCTGTTGGCTCGACACCATCTTACGCGCATGATTGGTCCTCCTCGGGCGTCGGAGGAAAGTTACAAATCCATGGTCGCCACTTCGTTGACGCGTACGGACGGGTGTGCGGGCTAAGGGGTGTGAATCTTGGAGGATCTTCCAAGACGTGCGTACTGTATAGTCATGTATGTGTAGTGAAATTGATTTCCTCTCAAGTCCAGTTAATCACGACCACGACATCTTTCCTGCGAACCACGAAACCGTGACATTTGTTGGAAGGCCATTTCCTTTAGAGGAGGTCCATGAACATCTGTCAAGGCTGAGGAGATGGGGATTGACTTTCGGTATGCTTGTTCCCATGTGATCGAACGTCTGGTTGAATGTTTGTTACAAAGTGCGCTTCCTCGTCACCTGGGAAGCGGTTGAACATGCAGGGCCGTAAGTCAATATACACATCGAGTTGCCTATGCTTCATCTGACTCTCTTGGATTCACTGCAGTGGAATTTACGATCAAGAATACTTAGACTACCTTCGTAGCATTCTCATTCTTCTCCCATATTACGGGATGACTGCATTCGTCTCTTTGCACCAAGACGTATGGTCTCGTTATTCTGGAGGCTCTGGCGCTCCGGCGTGGACACTGGAAGCGGTTGGATTTGACCTTCATGCCCTTGAGGAATCTGGCGCTGCGTGGCTCTTGGGTGTCAAAGGTGGAGGCCACACTGAAGCTGAGCGCGGCATCTGGCCATGTGGGTATCAGAAGTTGGCCGCAGCGACCATGGCGTGAGTTCTCATAATTATTATTTGGCATTGCTGACCCGGCGACAAAGAACCTGTTTCTGGGCCGGCGACACTTTTGCGCCCAAGCTGCGTGTGAAGTCCAAAGACGGTAAAGAGATGTCCGTACAGCAATTCTTGCAGAACGCATTTTTAGATATGTGGGAGACCGTTGCGCGCACTGTTGGAGATCTGGACGGTGTGATTGGCTTCGAAGTAAGAGAATGTGTCCTCACGCGCACGCTGCACGCTGATCTTTCATCTGATAGTTGATGAACGAACCTCATAGAGGATATATCAATCTCCCCTCGTTACACGAATTCGACTATAACACAGACCTGCATCTATCTCACGTCCGTGAGTATTAATGTTGATATGTATCCTCGCCTAAACTCAATTATCACATCCAGCCTCCGCTCTCCAATCATTTTTGTTAGGCTCAGGATATCCAACCACTGTCGGGCATTGGACTCGCTCTTTCCCAATGCCGACTCGTCTGACCTCCAACAGTGTTCTGAATTCTGCGAGCCGAAAGGCATGGCGCGCCGATGGACCGACAGGCGGCAAATGTATATGGGAGATGCACGGAGTGTGGGGTTACGATGCTAAGAAGAAAGATGGCATCGTTCTAAGGGAAAACTATTTCGTCAAGGAGCCGATGACGGGAAAGAAGGTGAGTACCAGAGTGGCGATATCGACTACAGTCAATGACAACTTCCCTGTACAAGGTTGATTGGTACACTGATTTTTATTATCCCTTTATCAATCAATGGACGAACAGAGTGCGGAGTGCATCTCTCAGCGAAAAGATGGTATTTTTGGAACCTATACCCAACGAAGTCAGTCCTTCCCATCCATCTCATGCCACATCTCAGCAGACTCATCAATCACTCTAGTTTTGTCCATCTTCTTGGACTCCCGACCAGCAACCCGCCAACATGGTTTACGCTCCACATTGGTTTGCCCACCATACGCCACGACAATAAATGGCATACTTACTTTTTGCGCTAGGTATTGCTTGAATACTTTGTTTGCGAAGGCATACGGTGAGTTCAGTGTCAACGTGCAAGGCTTGTCGCGGGTGAGTGTGTTTTGTCCCGATAATGTCATCATTTCTGATCGATTATTGCAGGGGATGTTCCCCTTGAGGGCATTTTATTGGGGACACCGCGGAGCTCGAGACAACTTCTCATTGCAAATACGCAACATCGTTGAGGCTGGATACAAAGTGCTAGGCGAAAAACCTGTGATCATCGGCGAGTGCGGTGTACCAATGGATTTGAAGTACGTCCTCAACTCGAGATCCAGACGGTCTGTGACTCACATGGGAGACGGGTTCACAGCAAGGGCGAGGGATTCAAAACAAACGATTTCAAGTGGCAAAGGCGCATGATGGATGCCATGATCACGGGCCTCGAGCGATCACTCGTTGGATTTACGTGAGTTCTCCCTCCGATATGACCCGCTCCCGACGTTTGCTGATTTCGCTCAGGCTGTGGAATTACAATCCTGACAACGACGACGTCAAAGGCGACAACTGGAATGGCGAAAACTTCTCTTGGTTCAGCCGCTCGCGCTCCCTGTCCGCCTCAGAGCTCTCATTTGAACAGAACTCTGAGGGATTGGACAAAGGAGGTCGAATCCTCGAGTCCGTGGTACGGCCGTATCCCGCCAAGACTGCCGGCATCCCTGTGCATTTCGAGTACGAAATGTCCACGGGCACGTTCACATACGATTGGGCCGTGCCGCTCACGGGACCCCCGCCGGCAGACGACGTTCGCCCAAGCTCTGGCAGCATTCATTTCCCTCCTGTCTACGGCCATCCCGCCATCACCGCTCGCGAGACCGAAATTTTCGTACCATCCATGCTCGTCAAAGGACGGAGAATGACCATCCGCGGGCTAATGACAGAGGATAAGTATGTCTACGACGAAGATAGGCAGACCCTGTTTATCTTGGTCGACAATCTGCGGCCCGGACAGATATATTCTATCACTGTCTCGTTCGATCCCCCACACAGCGGATTCGAGGTCAACAGCTTCTGGTCGGACTTTGGAAAGTGGATTCTAGCTGTTTTCGCTGCTCTCGTCGCCCTGCTGTTGTTCTCTGCGTGATCTATGTACTAATACCGCTGCTGCTCCTCTATCGTCTTGAAAGCAATGATATAGCTTAGGGCGGTCTTCTATTCGACTGCCTATTGTCATACCTAAGTCCAAATAGATCCGTATGCCAGATGCTGGCCTGTGGACTGTCAGTGGAATGTGTTCCTAGCTTTGAGGCACATGGTTGTCAGTAACCCGTCGATACGGTACCTTCTCTGAAAAGAACGGTTATATATAGACGTTGACTCACACTTCCGGGCTATCTATTGCTCTAGAATTACATGTAGCGTCATGGGGTGGCCTGGTATTCCCAGGTCCATCTTCGAAAATTATCCGTGTTTCCTGTATGAGTGCTATTAATTCTCATTGTGCGCGCAGCCTGAGAGGGTTTCGTTGGCCGTCAAATAACCATCGATATCAGGTGAAAGTCTCCACCTGTTCAGCAGACCTCAAGCTAGACCTCGCCGGCTCGCCGCTGCTCCTTCAGACAACGACGGTAGACCAGCTTGCTCTTACCTAGCCACCCAACTGCAAATTTGTCCTCGATGGCTCTTAGGTTGCTTCCGGGGCTGAAGAGGAGTTTGAGTCCCGCTTGGCCGATCGCCGCACGTTTCACCTCTACTCTCACCGCGACCGCTGGTGAAAACTCCCTCGCGATCCCGTCTCTCAACACATCCTTCTCCTATCAATGGCTACGGGATTCTTGTCAATGCCCGTCATGTGTTCATCCTTCCACACGTCAGAAGCTCCATCGCACTTCGGATATTCCCTACAATGTCGCCCCTGCTAAAGAGGGTGTTCGCGCCGGGCAGGATGGCGTACACATCAAATGGACAAGCGGGCATACCTCGTTCTATCCTTCCGCATTCCTTGAACGCTACGCCTCATCCGAGAGACTGAACACCTTCCACAAGGATGTCCACAAGCAGTCGTGGAACGCAAAATCGATCTCTCAGTCTTCGGATCTATTCTTGAGCTACGGCTCGCTGCGTTCCGATGTCGGCCTGCTCGATGCTATAACCCAGCTATCGAAGTATGGTTTACTTTTCTTGACCGGTGTACCGAATACGGAGACATCAGATGAGCGTTGTGAGGTCAGGCGGGTGGCAGATACGTTTGGACAATTGAGGTCGACTTTCTATGGGGAGACATGGGATGTCAAAAACATTGTGAATAGCCGCAATATCGCGTATACCAATCTCTTCCTGGGATTGCACACGGATCTCTCGTATGTGCCTCTTCCTTTTCTTCGCGTTGAGACAGTTTCAATTCGCTTCATCGCATCTGATCCCCTTCAGCATCACATCTGCTCCTCATACTGTACTTTCAAACTCATTTCTCAGATTCGCTTGCCCTGCCTCGCTAACTTCAGTGCCGCGTATCATTCAGGTATTTTGAACATCCGCCACGGTATCAAATCCTCCACTGTATTCGCAACAGGGTCAAGGGAGGCACATCCATCTTCGTCGATTCTCTCCATGCGGCAAAAGCGCTTCGACAGATTGACCCAACTGCTTTTTCGATCTTGTCTTCCACTCCCGTGTCCTTCCACTATATCAACGATGGGCATCACCTGCACTACAACCATCCCACCATCCAGCACTCTCCTTTGGGCAACGAGATTTCGTACATCAATTACTCGCCTCCGTTCCAGGCTCCATTACCACGCGACACGCCACCTGGATTCTACACGGCCCTGGAGCGCTTCAGTAACTTGATGGAGGGTCCAGAGGCTAGGTTCGAGTATACACTGAAGGAGGGTGATGTGGTCATATTCGATAATCGGAGAGTCTTGCATGCAAGGACGGCATTTATGGAGGCTGAGGAAGGCGCGGGCGGCGAAGAGACAAATCGGTGGTTGAAAGGATGTTATTTCGAAGCCGACAGGATGGCTGATCGAGGCAGAATTCTCAGAGAAAAGCTAGAGAGCGTGGCACTATAGGGCTGAGATGTCTATGAATATGTGGCGTGGGTGATGTTGGTGTCATATGAAAGGTCAGAATTGGAATCGCAATGTATACTAACGGCTATGAGCCCTTTTACTTCTCACATTTACGGGTCGGATGGCTTAGAAGGCAGGCGGAGGTGAAGGGCGGGCACCTATAGGCATCCGTTGCATTGATCCGGATGTTTATAGATACTTACTGTAAGGCACCCACCTGTCGTCATTGTTCCTGTTTCCAGCGCTGAAGGACTGCGTGCTTTTATTGCAGGGTCGCATCTGACCTCATACTAGCACCCAGACCTATAGTCTTTGGTCGAGTCTGCATCACACTTGAAGATCTTTCAGCGTTGATAAAGCACTACGATACTGTCGTCTCCGATGTCTGCAGTCTAGCCAAGCTGATATTTGAAAAATATTTCAACGCAATCCAGTTTTAAAACCTTGCAGTGACTGAAGAACTTATAAGACCGATGTTTCGCAAGAGATTGTCGTTCCGGACCGGATGATTTGTCGTCGAGGTACGCCCTTCTCGGTCTTTGTACCTCACTTGCTTACTTCCATCATTCGAATGACATCTAGCTTGATTGTCGGTTGATATTGATGTGTTTCTTTTCACGGAACAAGCACAAGCGCCCGTAGCCTGACGTATATAGACTCCACCCTTCTAAATTTGCGGACACTTGTGTTACCCGCTTTGCCATGATCCGGTTCTCAGCTATCAGCACCCTCCTATTTGGACGCTACGCTCTTGCGACTGGCATTCCCCGCTCTCAGACGCTAGCATTAGAAGTTCTCAGTACACAGGTCCAGGGAAGGCTCTACGAAGGCGAACCTTACTCAAAGCCATGCTTCGAAGACTTTGACTCAGCAGAATGTGAATCTCTCCGTGCAGGAAACGCTAATGACAGTACGTTCGCTTCCGACTCTGCATGGCTTTCTCACCTAATATTTTTCTTTCAGCGTTCAGGGCCGAGTTCTTTGGGTCTTATACTAACACTAATTGGGAAGCTTGTGAAGCCATAGCTGGGGATCAGTGTCTCCTAGACTGGACGAACATCAACAGTTCAGTCCCCACGCTAGCCCCGAACGCGTGTCGCGCAGGCAGCATATCGCCTTATTATGTAGGTCGCTTTGTTCTCATATTGAGGCAAAGAAATTGAATGATACATCCTTCGTATAGATCGACGTTCGGAGACCACAAGACGTTAGTGCTGCCTTCAACTTCTCAAAGGTGACGAAGACACCTCTGATTATCAAGAATACAGGTGTAGGCACTTCTTATAGTCTTAATGGAAAATCGCTTAGCCAAGGGTCGTAGCACGATTACAAGGGCCGCAGTAGCGCGCCAAACACTTTGGCTTTGTGGGTCCGTGGTCATCGCGTGAAGTCTAAATTCGAACAACTCATTGTCATATTGTTTTACCGCAGACGCACAATCTTCAGAATGTATGCATCGTTATTTTTATGCTTTGCCGGACGACAAAAAAATGACAAAATATAGATCACGTATAACCCAAATTTCGTCGCCGATGGCTGTAGTCAAGCAAATCCTGGTGTGACCTTCGGGGTGCGTCCGCGATCCAAACTAGCTATATTAAATCATGCCGTCTTGACGGAACAAACAGGCAGGAGTCCAGTGGGAAGAAGCTTATGTTTTTGCTGAAGCGCACAATATCACTTTAGTCGGTGGTAAGTTCGCTTTTCCCGACTTTGGATTGATGCATTGAAAATCATACAACGACAGGGAGTGATAGAGGCGTTGGCGTCTCTGGCGGTTGGGTTCAGGTCAGTCTTGCCAAATACCAGTACGTTTGATCCTCATACACATGAATAGGGTGGCGGCCACAGTGCCCTGTCAAATACCATGGGATTAGGGGTAGATCGGGTGGTAAGCCTTATCATAGGGAGTGGATTATCCATTGTCTCATGATATTGTCTAGCTTCAATTCAGATTGGTCACCCCTGATGGCAAATATGTGACTGCAAATGAGTGTCAAAACGAAGATTTATTTTTCGCTCTTCGTGGCGGTACGTGAATGATGCCATTTCCCTACAACGACCCTTGTTAATCAGTTAATTTCTCTGTGGGAAGGTGGTGGTGGGACTTTTGGAGTGGTGCTTGAAAGTACCATGTTAGCATCACCTCGAGTGACACTCCAAGCGGTCATCATATCTTGGGCTAACCCGAACATCACTCTTACTACCACCCTTTGGACGCTCCTCATAGACCACGCTATCACTTGGGCGGATCAAGGGTGGGGCGGATTCGTCAATGGAGAATCTGTTATCTATGTCTCGCCAACATTGAACAAGACGGCAGCGACAGAAGCCATGAAGCCCCTAATAGAATTTGGTCAAAATGTAACGAATGCTGGAGTTACGGGTGCTTCAGTTGTTGTGGCCGAGTTTCCGAGTTACTATTCCTTCTTTCAAGCATTTGCCAACGTCAAGTCCTCAGTACGTCTATCTGAAAATCCTCACTTGACGTGCATTCAACTGATGACGAAAAAATATACATAGACCGTTGGAGACAATTTGGCTCTAGGATCACGCTTGGTGCCCCGCAATAACTTTGCAACCAACACATCCAAAGCAGAACTTCTCGACGCACTGCTCAATGCACATGCAATTGCACCAAGTCTTCGCATGCTCATATCTCCTCCAACGTCTTTCCCCGGCGATAACACAACGAGTGTCACAGAGGCTTGGAGGGATTCGATTTACCACGTGACACTTATTCAGACATGGTACTGGAACTCTACAGTCGACTTCAAAAAACATGCGTACGCCAACTTGACCAAAGCTATAGACTATGTTAGGCAAATCACCCCAGATGCAGCTTACCAAGTAAGATCATGCCTCTCGTTCTTCTGTCGTTTTCTGATGGCCTTGAAATAGAACGAGGCGGATATACATGAGCCCAATCATGAAGGTCAGGCGGCCAGTCATGTTGATGTTTGTTTCCCTTCTGAAACATATACAGTATCATTTTGGGGAACACACTATTCACGACTTTTGAGCATCAAGAAAAAATAGTATGTATACGGCTCAGCTTCGGCAGCTTGTGATTTCTAAATGAATGGCGTCACAGCGATCCTGATCATCTCCTGGATTGTTGGCATTGCGGTGAGTGTATACGGTACTCAGCGATGACACGAAACTCAATGAGCAGCAGTTGGATGGAACTCAAGCTCTCCGCGCTTTGCGTGTTATCTCTGATTTTACTAGTCAATCGCAGCCGATGGAGTCTCCACGATACGCAGAGTGTGGCACGACATCTAATGAATTCTCCATTTATCTCTAAATCGACGAATATGCTACGTATATTCACTCTATCCCAACTTGTGATATTCATCGGTGTCACTGCATCATTGAGTGGCCGTCTCCAAACTCCTGTCGCATTCCGGTGGCCGGAACGTGAAGGTTGGATGTCTCTAGTATTTTTGTGACACGAATACCTCTGCCGATATGATTGCAACTTCGATAGGGTCAGCTGTTCCATTCTCAAGGGGAATTTTGTCGACGATCGAACGTCTCCGGTCCGACCTTGTCAACGCGGTCGGTATAAAATAGTCTTCGCGTCGTCCTGATAGCTCTCTACACCACCTCCATAAGGCACAACATGCTTACTGTGTTAGGCTTTACCTTGCTGCTGATGCTCAGGGTGGATGCAGCCATGCACCATCTCCTAGTACCCTCGTATAATGCCTCTGCTATATACACCTTTCAGCTGGATGATGAGACGGATCAGTTGACTCTTCTTCATAATAATACAGCGACAGCAGGTGGCGCTTGGATTGCTCTGGACGTGGGATTCGTTTTCTCTAGCTATGAGTCGGGCATTCGTATTCATGAATTTTGATGGTAACAGGAATCCAGAAAATTCGCATACCATACTGCGTGGACCGAACCGAACGATACGCTCGCTGCGTACAAGATCAATGATGATTTCAGCGTCACTCACATCAATAGCGTTGACGCGTGCGGGCCCCCAGGCCTTCGTCATCCCGTTGCATCTGCATCTGCGGGTGGGCGAAACACGTCTGTTGTCTACGCAGCGGACTTCTATTCTCCCTGCGCGATTGCGTACGAACGTCTCGACGATGGCTCTATTGGAGCCCACCTGCAGACCATTGCATTTGGCCGTCTATCTCGAACACATGATATCAAGTTCTCGCCTGATAGATTGCAAGCGTACGTCGCAGATCTCGGAGGGAACCAAATTTACACCTTTGACATTGCGGAGAATGGGACGCTCACTATCGTTGGCACTACGGCTTCGAGCAAGGTAGGGGCCAATACGCGCCACCTTGCTCCCCACCCCAATGGAAAATTCTTGTATTCTATCAACGAGGAGGGGTATACGTCGGACGTCTTCCTTGTGAATAAAAGCACCGGCGTGCCCACGTATAGTTTCACGACCCTTCCTGCAGTCCCTAATGGTGCGTGAAGTCCTTCGAGCGTTGAAATGCCCATCTTAGAATGAAAACAGGCATCAATGAAACAGACCACTGGTCAAATGAGGTGATGCTACCGCTAGTCATGGTTCTCCTGACATTGATACCTGTTCTCAGGTCCAGATATCTTCAGACAACAGGACCTTATACTTGTCTGATCGGTCTCACACCACCGGTGGACCAGGTTATATCACCGGCTATGCGCTCGATACTGAGGGATGGGTTGAGAGACAACTGTTTCAATTCCAGACTCCTAATGGGGGAGGTATCTCTAATATTATTGCTGCCAGGTATGTCGTCTCTTGATCACTTTTTTCTGAAGGAGTATTATGATAAATATCGGGCTCATAGTCCATGGAGCGATAACAGCAAGGACCTCGTCACACTCTCTTCGAATGATCAGACGATCAACGGGTCGTTCGTCGCTGTGTACAGATTAAGAGACGAGAATCTATTGATGGTGTCAAGAATCAAGTGTGTACCTTCGACTTCTGAGCCTAGTCCGCTTATGTCTGATTTCTACGATTTAACAGCATCACTGATGACCCGTCTTGCTGTGGACCGGTCCTATGGGTTGATTAAATCTAAGGCGAGAAAAAGGAGCATACTAATGAGTAAGAATGCTGGTTTACTGCATGCATGTAAAAATCGCGCCCCTACTCTGACATGCACTTGGGTTCTTCAGCGACTTCGGGGGCAGGATGAGTGAACTCCCTGGCATTATGCGTGGCACTACACAGGTCTGGGGTAGTGGTAGTTACTGAAAAAAAATACAACAATACAGGCTACCCGCTCAGACCGTCGTACAACGTGTGCAATATTAATACTCGCTTTGGCTTGTTGCTGAGGAGACAACTTTCTGTTGAACCGGTTCAAACTTTGCTGAAAGTCTGGCACAAAGCATGATTCTTATATTTCATGCTAACATTTTTGTGCTCCATTGTCTACGAAACAGGGCATGTTGGTGGTGCTAAGTTTTTGGTTCTTAGTATACGTCTGTGCACAGCTCAAGGGAGCCTATGCGTTTCGACGCGTCTCGCATGACACGCCAAACATTACGTTGGCTCATTCTCACCACGTGACGTTCCTCGCGTCGAAATCTTTGCCTTTTCTTTTGCATGTTTGTATTTCGTTGACCACAACTCTCCAATCCCATCATCATCTTCTGGCCAATTGATAGAGGTCCTAGGAGTCACTAGTACACAAAAAAATGGCCTCGACTTCACAATCTGTCGTGTCCCTCCCGGTCGTACTTACGACGCGGACACAATATCCCCTTCCTAGTCAAAAAATCATGATTCCTTCCACATGGAAACGCTACCAGCTATCTCAGCTAGTGAACAAGACTTTGTCGCTGCCAAGGGTTGTGCCATTTGATTTTTTGATTCATGGGGAGATATTGAAGGGCAGCTTAGGCGAGTGGTGTGCGGAGAAGGGATTGGGGGTGGTGAGTATTATTCGCTTCTTCCTCAAAAATTTGACATAAATCTGTCATTTTATTACCAGGAACAAACTCTTGAAATTGAGTATATCGAGTCGATCATGCCTCCCCAGCAAATGTCCTCGATCCCACACGAAGATTGGGTGTCGTCGATATCATGCCAGCTCCCAGGGTAAGTCCCCTCTGTGTCTGATATATAACCTGATATATAACCTTCGCTTTTCCCTAGACATTTTCTGACAGCTTCCTACGATGGAAATCTCCGTATTTTCGACTACTCTCAAAAGCTGCTACATAGCGCTGCCGTCCATGCTGCCCCCATCACCTCATTCTGCCTCATTCCCAGCGCATCCCAATCGCCTTCAGAGCGCCTCCTCGCAACAGCCTCACACGATCTGACAGCTACTTTGACGCGTCTCACAACTCCAGAGGCCTCCAACCCGAGCACACAAGCTCTTGCAACCCTCCATCTGCACACTGCGCCGCTGATATCGATATCATCTCATCATGCTGGCACGCAGCTGCTTACTGCCTCTCAAGATGGTTTTATTGGCCTCTGGGATATAATCGTACCAGAAAACGACGAAGTGCCGCTAGCACAGGTCGAGTCCGCAGAGCGGAAGAAGCGGAGACGGGTCGGCGATGCTCAAAAACCGAAGCGCAAAGCACCACAGGCTGTACTCAAATCACATACAGCGCGTGTGTCAAAAGCCCTATTCGCGTATGAAGAGGGAAAAGCAGTAAGCAGTGGGTGGGACTCTACAATTAAGGAATGGGACCTCGAACTTGGGATCTGTATCCATACAATCGTGAGTATTGCAATTTGTGGACATGTGCACGCAAATGACCTGGCTTTTACTTCCTGCAGACCGCTTCTGAAAAACCATTTACGTCTCTTGCACTTCCAGCGCCGCAATCGCATCCCAAAACTGCAATTGCATCTTCAACAGACCGTACAACGACCCTCTTCGATTTACGCAGCACCGCCTCCACGTCCTCCTCTCTCTCTTTTATGCACCCGTCGACACCATCTTGTCTAGCGTTCGCACCCTCCGCCGGCTCGCAACAGTTTGTGAGTGGGGCGTACGACGGCGTCGTCAGACTTTGGGATCTGAGAAGCGCCGGGCGGGAAATGGCAAGCTTCAAGGTCTGGGGCGGCACGAAGAAGGTTCTAGACGTAGATTGGGTGGAGGATGTTATTGGCATTGCTGGCGAAGGTGGCGTGGAGGTTTGGAGGGTGTCAGAAGATGGTAGTGCAGCACAATGACGGAAGTCCCTGCTGCTCAAAAGTAATCATGTGTGCTTGTGGCGTCACCATGAAACAATGATAGAGCCTCTGGCTATGAAAACGATGCAAAGCAGTCGATCTAGGAGACTCTTGGGGAAAACGCGACAGAAGTTCGTGATGATGAGTAGTGGGCGAATCATGCATGTTTTGAGTAATACAATGATACTATAGGATAACAAAGCAATGCGATGGGAAGCTAGAAAGCAGGGAGGTAAAATATGACTGTATTTGACATACTTGAGCCAGGTAGCGTACCACTTGCAGGCAGTTCAGGGTGACGAACTTGCATTGGGCCCACGACCCTTCAACACGACTTGTGCGGCTTCCGCCCAGGTTTGCTCGTTGATCTCTTCCTGATGCTCCTGATAACATGAGACTGTGGGTCATAAGTGTAATGATATGGACAACTGACATACTTGTTTTACAGGATCCTCGTTGGGCAGCCCATCGGCTTCTCTTTGCGCTAACATCTATCCTGAGGTCAAACTGCCGGGCGACTAAGAGTGTGGATGACGAGACAAACCTCTGCAAGAAAGCCACTGTCAGAGTCAATAAATGAGCTATTCATCAGTGCGACACGGACCTCTGCCCCTTCTCAGAGTATCCCTGTGTACCATGACACCTGTGCCGATACCCCAAACAGAAATTCCCACAAGAGTGAGAACAGCGCCTCTATGAAGGATATCAGCTAGAGGGGGGGCCATTCCTCGCGACGAATTATACGATATAGAGATATGGTCAAGGTGTGCGAGAAGCTAGAACGTCTAGAGAGATGTCAGTTTTGAGGACGTATGGCTACCCTGCGCGCCTAATTCACACGATCGTTCGTACGCTTAGAGCACGTGGCGATCGCAAGTTGTGTCGAAATTTTGATTTGACTCAGCTCACAGTTCTGTCCTTCCTGTTCTCACTCTTGGCTTGTACAGCTTGCTCGTCGAGACGGTTGAGCTGAAAGGTAAACCACACTGTATCTTATTGAAAGGCACAATCAGACGTTTCCAAGTTCTAACTATTTACCCATATTTGACCATAATATTATTCATCGCTTGCCTGGAAATGCGTCGGAAAGGCTTACCTCTTTCATAGTTGTACACCTTCAACATCATCGAGCTGATAAGGTCGCTGGAACTTGGTACCGAATGCCATTTGGTCTTCCCACTACCCGCGAAGTTCGCAAGGTTGCTCGACGAACATCAAATATCCTGGAAGAGTACGGCCTTCATTGCTGCCTCATAGGCAGCGCAGCGACCTCATTGTGGGCACCACAAAGGTTCCCAATGTGAGTTCAATCAAGATCGTCTCTCTCCCAGATGCAGCTGACGAATTTAGGATCTTGATGTCGTCGTTATGACTAACCCAAACGAGATCGACCCAGAAAATATCAAAGATATCCTCGAGAATGAAGATAGCAGGTTCATCAGACGTCCATCTCGCCTTATAAATCGTTCATACACAGTTCTTGAATACTGCCTTCCTGGCTATCAAACGCTCGGCCGCAAACTCAAGGTCGACATTCTTGTTTCGGGTTGGGGCAACTTGGATATCCCTCGTATCTCATGGAGAAAACTTATCGACATTGATGATATACCCGTCATGCCTATTCTCCCTCTTCTCTTTCTGAAAATGCAAGGTTGGGATGCGCATCGTATGTCTCCACGTAGGGATTTTCAGGCGAAGGAAGAAGGCGATATCCAGGACGTGGAGCAGCTACTAAATATCGCTTGTGAGCAGGGTGCTAGGGTTCGAGATTATCAAGGGACTTGGATACTACGTCATATCTCCTATGGGAGAGCATCGAACCTGAGTTCTAAATTTTTGAACGCGGTTCCTTCGTCGAGCAGGGCAATGTCCAATCTCGGTTTATATTTTTCCTAGTCATGCGACTAGTATGCACTTTGTTCTTTCAGTATGTTCATGCTTTCTCTGAAGTATGGTCATTTCTAGTTTTGTCCCCTCTGGGCTGTAATCCGTCGAGTCGGTCTCAAGTCAAACGAATATATATTGCTTGATCGCGTTCGCTTTCCGTATTCTACAATAATGTCTATAAGGTGGTAAAATCAGTTGGCCGAGGTCTTTTTTCTGGGTGCTTGCGAGCTTCTGACTCATATACGCAGCCAATGTTTTCTATGTGTGGGATCAGCCCCAGAAGCCTTCAATTTTGCGGCCTGCCTCCCTTGTACAGATTATTTGAAGAATGATCACTGGAACTATTCAGCCATAAAAATTCTGACGGCCTTCTGGTATAGAGGCGACCAGGCCAGATGATTGAGTCACAAGAGAAAGCTATGAACTATAGCTTAAGAAGGTAGGAGGACACTAAGGGAGAAAAACATCTCCCATGCACCATACATCACCATCAAACAATAGACATACTTACGCGTGGTGATAACAGATGCGGATGATCGCCAATTAATTCAACCCTCTAATAACCCTCCTCACTGCGGTTCAACTAGACATATGCACTCGTGATCATAGAGACTAGACCATCTGTCTGGTGTAACGGGAAAGGTGGCTGCTGCGCAGTTGAAGGCGCTCGGAGACGTGACAAGACGTGCTGTACTTAATCTGTATATTCGAGGTTTACAAGCTCTGTTACATTGCCTCTGGATATCTGTACGGAAATTCTTCAGAACTCGTTACCCTCCAGAATTAGCATTGGACATCTTCTCAAGCATATCCTCCCGTCGACAGTGATGGGGGCAAGGTATCTGGCTTCGCTCCGCAGGACACCTCTATATCATCTGTCAACTCCAATTCGATCGTAGAGCCCTTCACAAAAGCGTCCCACTCCAAGAAGCAATTTGATTTCCACAAAGCTCCATCAATAGTTACGCTCTGTTTGTCGTGGCTCTTTATCAGCACTTGTACGCCCGAACTAGGAAACTAACGACAGACTTGAACGAACACAGTACCACCCGTGCCGTTGGTGGGGTTTCCACGGAAGTTTTTCGCTTGGATAGTGGTTGTAGTGTTGAACAGTGGATTGGTGAAAGAGATGGAAGGAAAGAACGGAGATGAGAGGAGTAATTGACGTGTCGCCGGCAGAGGATATAAGCCAGCGAGGTAGAAGAACGCATAGCTAGCCATGGCACCTGCGAACATCTCTGTCGACTTTGACCACGGAAATAAGATAATGGAGCCTACCAGAATCTTAATAACATCGTGTAGTTCAAGGGTCAATCACTTGTGAGATACAATGAATATGGCTCACCATCATTGCCAGGCAGACCGTTGATAGACGTGTTAAAGAATTGAGCAATTGTCTGTCGAGATCTCTGAGTACTAAGTCCGGGTCGATTCGCGTAATGGTACATGAATGGAATTTGCTGCCCTGGCTCGTCCGTTACGTCGAAATAGCCCTGCACATGTTTTCAACACACTGACTTCACAGTTTGTGAAAGACTCACATTGTCGATTATGAAATCCAATCGCTCGATGAAACGTGTGTTTCCTCCTTGTAGCTCGACGAGCTTGGCCGTATCTTGTGGGACGTACTACACATTGTTACCCCCGAGAAAAGACGCCCTAATTGGAGACCGAGAACATATGTTCCATTAATGGCGCGCGCACCTGAGAGTACTAAGAACGTAGTTGTTGAGATGAAATCGAACAGATGAACGCAAACATCACATACCAGAATAGGAGAACCTTCGTAAAATCCGTCCTTGTTAGCGGCATTTAAGAAACAAGTCGCATGCTCTGGATCATTTACACCGCTACAATGTCTGGGGTCAGTGTAGTTGAATGTGCCGTTCACAAAACGGGGCTAGAGGGTTTGAGTTTCAATTTTGTATATTGGACAAAATTCAGTTTCACCTGCATCATCCCGAGAACACTCGCAGGTCCACCAGGCATGGTAACGTTTGGGTTCCACACATTAACAAAGTTTCCCGCACGTGCGGCGTACTGGCAAGGCGTTTATGAATTTGAATTAGCCGACAGTGTAGACATTTATTTAGCGGAAAGTGAGTATACCTTCACTCCATCGTTTGTCCTATTCAAGACCTTCGCGACTTGGGAGATGGCGAAGTCTCCAAATGCGTGCTAAGACAGAAATATTGAGACATGAAAGTGACATTGAGCGTAGATACACACCTCCAGAGTTCTTGATACTTGCTTTGAATTAGTTCCCCCTCGCTCGAACAGGTCCTGGGGAATGTAGTCTTCAATCATCCCGCTGTTATTCATTTTGACATCGAGAAAGAATGAGGAAGAACGCACTGAATTTGATCCAAGCATCCACCTGCCTGCCTTGCAAATCCCAATTCGGAGGAAGTTTCTCCGCATCAGCCAGCAACGCATTATACAGCCCATCGGAGGATACATTAAGGCTCGATGCATAGCCTGCAAACCTATCAGCCAAATACATCAGATAATCAGAGTCGAGCCCGCGAATATCAGATTTCAGGGCGCATACTTGACGAGGAATTCTCCGAGGATGGGGTCCGCATCTTCAACAAGCCAATGAGAAATGGGATGAAGCAAAATTCAAGGAACTATAAATGTACCGCTTCCACCCTGTATGAAATGTTTCGCGGTTGCACCACGGCATTCGGGAAGCCAGCCTGTCCAAGACGAGAACAGTCTGGATATATGCAATCAAAACAACGCATCAAAATGCGTACCTTCATGTTGCTGAATATTTATCAAACCTCTTACGATCTGCGCAAATCGCACCGGGTCGTGCAGAGAATAAAGTGGATATAGCGTGCGATAGGTGTCCCACTGCAAAGCCACGATGATCATCAAGGGGTGAGAACATGGGGTGTCAAACCATGAGAAGAAAGACTAACATTGCAGTAAAAAGAGTCATAGTACGGGTCTGTTGAGTTCCAAAGTGGGTTTTCGCCGGAGTCTGGTTGAATCGAATCAGGACACGCCGAAATGAAGTACAAGGTCGTTCTAACTGACAATCCGCTGGACTGATATGTGATCTGTATAGCTGTACCGGTAGTATATCAGCGGGATATCGACCTTAAATTTGCCGTCAAAGACTGACCGAGCTGTACAATAGGACTCTCATGTCTTCTTGCTCGGCTTGCAGTTCGTGGTTACTCGCAAGTTCAACATTTACCGTGCCCAACAGCTTGTTCCATTCAGCGCGCGATGCAGCACTCACAGCGTCGAAATCGAAGTCAGGAATCTCGGATTCGGCATTCGCACAAGCCTGATTAGACGAGATGAAAGACACGCCAGTGCGAACAAGAATGGTTGTCGTGCCGTGGGGAAAAGCAACCAGAGCGCCAATCTCAGACACAAAGCCTGCTCGGATGTAATTCCCTGTGAATAGACGAATGCAGCAAAACTAAAAATGTCGACACACCGTAGTACACTTGTTCCGGCGACACGGAGTTCCGGATCGGAAAATTCGCGAGCCACACGCCATATTCCTCTGGCGCAACTTGCTGGGGAGACGAAGTTGGGCTAGAGATGCGGAAATCAACACAAGTATAGGCACGATAGCGACCAGGGCCAAATGATGCTGCGAAAGATGCGCCTCCTGCATTGAGAATATACACGGTGAGAGAATACGTGCGGAGGAACATGGACTCCGTTATCAGAGATAGAATGCGCACCAGTAACACGTCCTGACTCCGGGTCGATCAACATGACAGGGTCGGTCGAGCTCTGTTGACCATCGTTCGTCAGGTCTACTGCTATGCGCGGTAGGTCGAGCGATTTGGAGGGGTATGTATATCGCTGAATTGAGGCTCGGCGAGTGGAGCTCAGTTCGACACGGACACCGTTCGACTGTTGTATATCCAGCTAATCAGGGGCGAATATGCATAAAAGGATTGTGTCTGTACTAGATTGGTGGAAAAATATCCGGGCGAAGCAAAATCATCGGGAGAGCCTACATATCAACGTGATCAAAAAGTTTGGAGATCCCGCAACATTTGTAGCTACCATCCGATAAGACTTTGCGAAGAACTTTGCGATCAGCAATAGATGTATTGCATAGCTCGAATGTTGCACAGGCCGGCAAGGGAAATATTTTGAAGTTTGAGAGTGGGACGGCCTGGCAAAGACGGTGAGATGGGAACACGCGCAAAGATAGATGATCAGGATGAAAAAGATCGAGATCGGTGGCACTATGAAAAGACTTGCGGGTCAACTACTCACACCGCCAGTCCCACTGTCATGGAGCTGAGAAAAACCAGTCACATGGAATGATGCATTTCCATCGTATCCTGCGTGCTAATCAAAGAATTAGTTAAGCGCAAGAGTGAAGTATATGTGGGGAGGGTAGTAATAACTACTAATGGACTATCACATACGTTTCCCGGAGAGTCTGTATCCATCCCAACTTTCACCATACCATGCGGCAGCGTTGCGCCTAAAATAACCACCAAATCCACAAATACGAACGCGGCCAAATGATGGAGCATTAGAGCGAAGAACAACGAGAATAGAAATGGCATTGCAATAGATGTCGGAAGCAATGATCGATAAGACGTACCGGGAAAGACATGGCCTCCATTGACAGTGCCGATGAAGAGGTTTACAAAGCTTGCAGGGTCAACACTGCCAGAGAGGATGGGTGCAATGCTTTGACGTGAAGCGACTACGTTCGTGTTTGTGTTCGCATGAACGTTCCTGATTACCAGAAATACACTGAGAAAAGCCGCGAGAAAGACGTGGCTCACAGAAAAGCCGCGATCATGCATCGCTCACGATGAGGAGACTCGCTAGAGGGACGCGTCGAAGAGACATATCGACAACCGAGGCGGGGAATATGTATGCGGACAGAAAGAAGACTTGCCATGCGCTGGAGAACAGAAGCGTAGCGCGCGTGACTGGCCTGATGACAACCCTGCCGCGTACGCGGGACGAGACGTGTGGGATCATATGAGGGAGTCGAGTTGATCACCTGATGAGGCGACATCTGCCTGCGTTTACAATCATACCTTGACGACATACACGATGATAGCCACAACATACAACCCAGACAAGATGAGCTCAACAGACGAGGGAGGAGGAGAAATGCTGGGCGCCAAGCAGGTGAGAGTCCAGAGGAGTCCAGGTATCTTCTAGAGAAGATATGAAAATGCCGGCACCAGCCCAACTATCAATTGTGTCCAGGCCGTCAATTGTCAAGCGCAGTCTGGACGAGAATATGGAAACCGTGATCATCGAAGGCCGCGGATACTCCACGGATATAGCTTTATAGAAATTAGAGTGACATCCATCGGTGTCTGCGCGGGCACCAATTATATGGTATTGTAGACCAGAAGCTCGAGGAACCCTGCAAGATCCTATGCTCTGACTGATTTGAGCGACGTGAAGAAAGGAACGGATGCAGTCGATAGTTTGCTGTTCGTGAGGCTGGCTTTCCCCCGTAAGTAGAGCATGCTGCAAGGTACCTCCGAAGACGTCCATCGATGTTGTGGTGTTCGTGAGAGAGTCTGTTTGTGTTTGTTTCTCACGGATCTCCCTCATCTTCTCCTTGCACCACCAATTCACGGCCCGTATCACAGCTCACCTTGTTCTCAGTGTCCATAACCCAACGCTTACCGACATATCAGTAGAGATGGACAAATTTGAACTTGAGGAGAGCATCTGGGGTTCACAACGTCTGAAGAGGTATTCTGACAGACCCCTACTTCGACGAAGCTTGAGGCTATGAGCCGCCCGCAGATTAGAGTCTGTCATTCCCTGAATTGGGTTTACGAGACTTTTACGGAAAGAACTTCGCTGTGGATCACTCGATCCTGCCTTGTGGTAACAACAATACCCCACGGGGCCCCACAATCAGGTCTTGTATCACCTGTACAATGCTTGGTGCAGTGCGCATATCTCTTTCCCGAGTGTTGGCGTGCGTGTCTCAGGCCTGTATTGATGTCTTGTTCGGCTTCAGGCGCTAGGCACATCCCCAAACAGACTGGAAGAACCACTATGGCAAGGCTATTACACCCAAATCTCTCCACATGATCTCACCCTCAACAGTCGTCAGATCCACTAGCACGACTATAAGGCAGGCTCAATGCCGCTTGACTCGTGTCTCTCCCTCTTCCTCCTTCCCCCGAGAACCACGCCAACATGACTTCATCGTCCTCCATCGAGAAGAACGACATCACTGTTGTTGAAGACCCTTCGCAGAAACGCGAGGACAGCGACCGGGTTTCTGTCCTCGACTTTGGAGGCGATACATCCCTGCCTCCTCCCCCAAACTTGAGCCCTGAGGAAGAGAAACGGCTCTTCAGGAAGATAGATCTCAGATTAATGCCCATCCTATCCTTGATGTATCTACTAAGTTTCTTGGATCGGGGTGCGTTGATTCTCAATCTCAAATAGTATTGATGCTTGATGTAAGCTCCCCCTTGAATGCAGGAAATATTGGTACGTCGATGAGCCTTTTCGGTCTTGCGGCACACGAGGTTTAGATGGATATGGGCAGGCAACGCGCGTCTACAAGGACTCGAGAAACAGCTTCATCTCGTTGGCAATCAGTACAACATTGCCCTCGTGTGTCCTCATTTCATTCACGTCATGCGTATCCCGAGACCTAACAACAGCTTAGACAATGTATTTTGTCGTACGCGAATTGATATGATATTGATCATGCCACGAGTTCCGATCCCTCTTTATCATAGCCGTATTGCCTCTTCGAATGTCCAGCCAAGTAAGTATATATTTATACGCATCGTCAATACCGTCTCATTCAAGCTTTGGCATGACAGTCTCGTCCTCAAGAAGTTTCGCCCATCACGGTGGCTTCCAGGTATCACGATCGTCTGGGGAATAGTAATGACCCTCATGGGTCTCGTCAAGACGTTTGTCACTTTCTTATCCTGTTTTTCCTCGTGATTCACCTTGAGAACCTCTCAGGTACCCACAGCTTGTTGGCGTTCGAGTATGTTTAGGGGTTGCTGAAGCTGGCCTTTTCCCGGGCGTAGTATATTAGTATGTCCATCCACTCTAATTATATGATTTGAATTGAGTGATTATAATTGTTTGATCTAGCTTAACTCTATGGTATCCCCGTGCAATGCTTCAGTTTCGAGTCGGCATCTTCTTTGGTGCTGCATCCCTAGCCGGTGCCTTTTCGGGGTTGCTCGCATTCGGGATCTCGTTCATGAGCGGTACTGCAGGTCTGTTGGGTTGGTCGTGGATTTTTGTAAGCATTAAGGCCCAGTCTTGGACACGGTTGATAACCGAGTTTGCGCCTTCGTAGATATTGGAGGGCATTGCAACTGTTCTGGTCGGAATCCTAGCTCTCTTTGTGCTTGTCGACTTCCCTGCGACGGCTGGCTTTCTCACTCCCGAGGAGAGGTCGTACATTGTGTGGAGGAAAAGTAAGTCTACCCTGATTTCATCGTTCATTATTTTTGCGCGAGGACTAGACTGATTAATGTTGACCCTGTTTCCATGTAGAATTTGATAACTCCTCAGTCGGCGAGGAGGAACGTTTCGCGATGCGCCACTTGTTGTCGGCTCTGGCCGACTGGCAAGTCTGGCTGCACATACTTGTCTACATGTCCATCATTGGTCCGCGTGCGTGCCTTTGCTTATATTCTAAATTCCACAAATTTATCCATCTTGTAATTTCTAGTCTACGGGATCTCTCTGTTCCTTCCGTATGCTCGAGCGGCTCGTTTAGTCTTGAAAGGCATCTGAAGTTTGATTCGTGTATAGGACGATCATCAGTAATTTTGGATTCACCACTGCAATCAGCCAACTCTTGACTGTGCCCCCGTATATTTTTGCGAGTAAGTCGTTCTTGCTCTATGACAATTTTGATCTGCTGATAGAATGGTGATTAAATTGTCTGCAGCGATCGTCCTCATCATATTCGCCATCTGGTCAGATTCAATTCAAAAGCGTTCGCCGTTCATCCTCGCCGGGCTCTCTATGCTCCTTGTCGGCTTTGCGATCAACATTTCCGACACCACGTCGGGCGTGAAGTACTTCGGCACCTTCTTTTGCGTCGCTGGTGCCTACGCGAGCTTCCCGGGTGTTGTTAGCTGGTTTGTCTATATTGACTGCGCTCTGGAATAAATGTTTGATAATGTGCATAGGCTCGGCAATAACCTTGCCGGCCAGTACAAGCGTGGAGTGGGCATGGCCTTGCATATTGGTATCGGCAACTTCAGTGGCGCAATCGCCTCGAATGTTTTCCGATCCCAAGATACGCCACGTTTCATCATTGGTCGTACGTTGATCATCTCTTGTTGCCGCTTCCTCTGTTGATAGTTTGCTTCGATATCATATAGACGGCATTATGCTGATGTTTGTTGGCATCGGTTTCGTATCGGTGCCCATCGTAGTCCTGCTCTATATTCGTATCAATCGAGAACGAGACAGGGTCTTGGCGGAGGGTGGTGTAAAGTATACAGACAAGCAGTTAAGAGAACTGGGCGACCGTGCTCCTGATTTCAGATACATTCTGTGAACGAAGAATAAATAGTCCCTTGAGCGAGGGCATGTGTATCGTATGTACCACGAAGTATATGATTAGCTGATTCATGAGAGCCCTCAACTGCACATTTGAGGTAGATAAAAATCCCAAGCCCAGGCGATTCAACTCGCTGCTGTAACCGTAGACCATCATCCAAGTGCCATCGAGATTGGGGTGGTCTCACAAGATGCGTATCAAAACCTCGAACTAGCATTTCCAAATTGAAGCTATCAGTGATGCCGACAGTACATAAGTTGTTTGCACTAGTAGATCTGCAGACAGCGCGTCCTCCTGGAAACAACAGAGCCTTCACAGCTTAGTCTTCTCTGTCTTCTTGATATACGCCAACCCGCTTCCAATAGCCACCTGCATGATCACCCGGTTTCGTAAGTTGTTCATGGCAAACACAATTGAGTTTGACAGACCTTTCCTGATGTCGTATTCTTCGTCTCAAATGCCACCTCCGTCGTCCCATCAGGACCCGCGCCCAACTCCCAAATCGACGTCTCAAGTGCATCGCCGGGCTTAACAGGCGATGTGAATCTCACGCCAAAGTACTTGAGTGCATTCGGGTCGCTATTCCCGACTGCAGAGACGATGGCGCGAGCCGCAAATCCGTAAGTAGAGAGTCCGTGCAAGATGACGCCGCCGAAACCCGCAGCCTGGCCAATGCGGGGATCTGGCACAAAAGAAATGATTAATTACCTCCTCCATCGCGTGATATAAGAATACGAACCGATGTGCAAAGGATTGTAGTCGCCACTGAGACGGTAAATGAGTGCTTGCTCAGGTGTTGTGTGGTCTTGCACGACCCAGTCGGGCTTGCGGTCCTTGGGAACAGGCTTTGCTTTGGGAGGCGCTGCTATCGATTTAGCAAAGCGTTGACCGGTGATCTTGGCTCCCAGATTGAAAGAAGAGGACTAGCGAATGGCGATTCAAGATGAGTTGTTCCAACGAAAGATAGACCGACCCACGAAAAGCTTAGCATAAGCTGTTCCATGAGGGTCAACGAGAGTGATCTCATTTTCCATGATCACACCCGACTCTGTAAAAAAGAAATAAAATGCCACGGTTGGAGTATATATGCAAGATATTTGCTTACTGTTTTCTTGAACTGAAGACAAGCGCTTCTTCATCTTCCATCCCGGGCCAGATGCAAGGGGCAAAGGCTTCAGAATCTCGATTGTCTGCGTTGCATGAATCTATCAAAACCAAGCGGTCAATTGAACCATCAAATTTATATTCCTACAGAATCGTTCCAGGGAGTTTGATCAAGCATCAGACATACAATACGGTTCGGGTCAAACTTTGGGAGGCCCGGGACGGGGCGAGAGGAGCTCACTCGATCGGAGAATAGATTGATATCCTGATCATCGCCTACGCCACAAAATCAGTTATATATGTTTCAGTCCTAGTAGTCTTGGGTGCGACGTGTATTCCACCTGCGCACCTTTCAAAAAAAATGTAGCTGGAAATGTGGGAAATACAGAGAACGATTTGTCTAATTTTCAGTTGAGAAGATCGTCGAAAAATCAGTTGGACAATTCTAATTGACACACCCAGTTCTGACGAGTGAACATGTCAGAATATCAAAGCGGCATTAGATCCTCACTTCGAACAATGCAACGCACCATAGGCAAGGTTGTAATCCGATTTCTTTGCACCGATTCCTATTGCATATACCAGAACGTCCCGCTTGTTCCAACCAACCTATCTCATGACGTGCTTTTTGTCAGGTCTACGCCGTCAAGTCAGCGAGACATGGACGCGAGATACGTACAACCTGGTCGTCATACTCGAAACCAATAGCGTTCTCGAGCGCTTGAGCTGTGCTCGACATCTGGAAGTTAGATTCTTGGATGGAAAGTGTCTCGCAAAAAAAGCTAGTCGAGGTGACACTGGAAAGCAGCCAACTTGCGTGCGGGGTATTTAGGCGGGGCCCCGGATTACCGGCTCAGAAATTTCCGAAAGCCGGTAGTGCGCGTAACGCCGGACTGGGCCAGCCCGGGCGGCCCCCAGCCTCGCCTTCGCTTCACTTGACGGACGCAACTGGTACGCACTAAATCTATCATTCACTCACTCATCCGTACAACATGTCTCTCAAACGTCCTCGATATAGACCATTGAACCAGACGGTTTCCATTGCCTCTCTATCGGACGGTGGTTGACGAAGACCTCAGTACCCCAGCTACGACGTCGCATGAGTAGACAGATCACACAGTGAGTAAAGGTGTATCGATTTTTATTTCAAGATTCAATCCACTCCTTCCGAAGTTAAGCACTTAGGCCACGGCCTGTTCTCATCTTGCACACTCTTCGTATCCATGTCAGACCCTCCCTGGATTCCTTGGGCAGGCCATCCCTTCGACTATTGGGTTGGGACGAATGATCCCGATGAACCAGTCCGGCCTTGCGATGACCTTGGCGACATCATCCTTCGTGCTTCCGACAACCTTGACTTCGTAGTCCATCAAAGCATCCTATCGAGAGCATCTCCGTTTTTCAAGAACATGTTTTCCTCAAACTTGACTGACTCGAGTCTGGACTTGCAACGCCTTGATCTTCCCGTAATTGTCATGGCCGAGAACCAACACACCTTGGATATGTTTCTAAGATTGCTATACCCAATGGCCCAGCAGACTGTCGATGGTATCACAGACGTCACGACAATCTTGCAGGTGCTGGACAAGTATGAAATCGACAGCCTTCCTGCAGCTCTGGAAGCCTCTCTTATGCGTATCGCAGAGGAGAAGCCGGATTTTGTTTGCGCGGTCGCCTGCCATTTCAAATTACCGAAACTTGCGAATGCCGCAGCGCAGCTACTACTGCAGCACCCAGTTGTATCCATTTCCTCTCTTTCCACTGGACTCGTCGAAAATTATGAGGTATCATCTGCCGTACGGAAAAGCCATTTCGAATATCGCGCACATTGCACCCTGACGGCCATCGAACTCTTGGAACACTACAAGCCCTATTGTGCTAGCTATAAGCAGGGATTTTTGGGTTCTTACTACGTCGCGGCATGCAATTGCGTTCGTGAAGGTCATTCTCGATATCGTAACGACTCGCGGTACTCCGTCATATGGGTCCTGGACTATCTGGATCGTTGTCGAATTGCATTGGAACAGACACCCTACTGGAAGATAGTCCTCGACCCGAGCATCATCATCCCGTCCGTCATAAAGGCGATGAAATGCAAGGTGTGCAAACATAATGCCGAGACAATGGGCCAGCTCAGCCAAGAACTTGCTGAGAAGATTCGATCCTCGGTCGCCCGGGTACGCTGACGACTCATCGGTGTTCTATGACATTAAATGTATCTTTTCAGATACCTTTGCCTTTCGACGAGTCTATATTCGAGTCGGACCAAGATCAGTGATTCGTCATTCCGCGTTCGACTTGCGATGTTACCTATGAATAATTTCTTGGTCTGAGGTCAGCATCTCCTCTATCCCACGGGCCACTGTAGAATAAACTGATCGGCGCCACATTGCTTCCAGTATGCGTATCTAATTGAACTTATTTGTCCAGTTACTCAAGCTTGTATGTTTCGTACGTGTACTGATAGTGCCACTTCAGCATGGCGGTATAATCGAATGGTGGAATCCTTCTACAATTCACAATTCTTCCTTGCTAAACATCGCGGCCTACATACTACAACTACCATCATAAAACACAGAGGTGATAAAAAGAAAACAGACGATTTGGGCTATCGAGGCGTTCTAGGGGCCTTAACACAGCTACAGGGCTTCGGAGCGGGAAACAAACACAACTAGACATGCAGATACTGTCCCTTGTCTTTTCTGATCTTTGTCATTGCTGCAGGAAGAGGTTCAGATAGAAGCAATGTGGAGGCGGAATGCAACCAGATCGTACCTGCAATGATGGCACTTCCTACACCGCTGCCATCCTCAGCGTGGTGCGTGATGATGTTCCTGATATAGCCAGCGATCAATGCGATTGTACGAACCGAGCCGTTTTGTGTACTCTGCTCACCGTCCTTTGTCCCCAAAGATATCCTGCAACCCCTCGTGGACCCGATCCGCGAAGCCAGGGTATTTCTAGGCCATGGCGTCAGCTTGAAAGGAATAAAGATTGTGAACGTGAAGTACTGCTCACGTTGTACAACGAGCCATCGGCACCGACTGAGCAGCCTTCCTCCAGGTATCCCATTTTGCTCACGATAGCTGCGATACCACACGCGCTTAGCCGTGCGGCACGGCGCCCGACCAGCTTTGCCAAAGCACGGAAGAACTGGCGCTCAGCAAGCGTCGTCTCGAGGGCGAAGAAATGGGAGAATATCCCTATGATCATGAGAAGCTCCTCTGTCGGGTCACTACAGATTGAGTAAGAAGAGGCGGTCTCGGATGGAAAGAGAGAGAGAGAGAGAACCCCACCTTTCCATTAGCGAGAGGAACGCAGTGTCCAAGGCATAGGCTATCTCAATTTTGTATGTGTTTTGGCCAAGGAAAAGAACGCCGTCATCGATGAGCTCGCAGATGACGAGACGCAGAATCTCGCCAAGGTAACGACCTGAGATCAATTTCTATAGAATAAATCAGAAAAGCAGCATTTCGAGATAGGGGAACAACAATAAACGTACCTCAAAAGCCTGCTCACCCGGCTTGTTTGAGCTCTCGTCGATCGTCAAATCATACTTTGTCCTTGGCAGGTGCTCATGTTCGAACGAATCGAACGCGCCCTGAAGTCAATTAGTAATGGAGACTCTGAATTTTCGGGGTGAATAACGAGAGGTAGAGACGTACCCATTCACAATTGATGGCCATTTCGTCATCGTCGTCGCATCCTAAATTCTTGATTTTAGGGATGCCACCAATACGCTCCATATAGGCCGCATTGCACCCAGTTCCGAAGATCACGGCGATCTTCGTGCGTGGGTTGACGTAGTGTGAGGCAATGAGCGTGCCAGTCGTATCGTTGATGAGAGCGGTCAACTCTACAGGTACGTCCTTGAAGATTCGCCATTTGATGAAATCAGGTACCAAGAAGAAACGAGAAGTTCTTACATGCTTCTCTAGACTTCTCTTAAACATCTCTGCGACATCGTGGCCTTCCGTATCGGCGGCTCCAAAGCCTTTGGTCCAACGAATAAGAACACCTTGGTCGATGCGTTCCTGGCTATTAGTTACATAAGAAGATCCATTAGTCAAAAGGGCGCAGGTATCAAAGGACGTTTAAAATAGGCAGATACTTACGTGCACGGATACGAGAACTAGAAAAGACGAACACCTGAGTTATTAGCTGACTTGCCATGAGGAATGTAAAAAATAAATAAAGAATTCATATAGGCCGACGTAAATGTGAAGGAAATGTAGTAGTAGATTGATACAATTGCCGAAGCTCACCGTAAATCCAAGAGGCAAGCGCTCTCCCTCTTTGATGGTCCCCTCATCCAAGTTGGTCGTGACAAACGTCTTCAGGCATTCCGCGCAAAAATCGAAAAGCTTTTGTCCGTCTTCCTGTTTCTGCTCCTCGGTAAGACGGTATTTTGACTGCGTAATCTCGAATTTTCCCTCGCCCTGGAGAGTGACAAGACAGACACGGAGATTCGTTCCGCCTGTAACGTCCGTGTAAATCGCTCCCCAATCCGCATTTGTGAGAAATTTGACTTACCGAGGTCAAGAGCAAGGTAATCTCCGGTTTCCGTGCCGGTGGGCCAGCCGAAGACAAAGGTTGGGATCATGGGCTGAGGTGGTATTTCAATCAGCGAACACGATAGAAATATGATCGACGGGATGGATCCCGAGTTGAATGGCATGCGAACGTAAACCTATGCATTGAAGCTGAAAGCCCATAGTTACGTCGAAATAGACCAGCATGAAGGTCTTGCTAGACAGCCTACACACACTGTGCGAGCAAAACATATCGATCATAATTAAGAGTGGTGATAGTCATACTCTGAGATCTGCGATGCACTCCGGGAGAAGAAGGTCGGAAGTGACCGCGGGATATCTCCGAAGCCAGCTGCAGTAAAGTCAAAGACGCGGGCAACACTCACGACGGTCTGACCCGGTTTCTCCAGGCCGATTTCCAAAGTATCCTTGAATGCCTCAACAATCATCCGCATCCTCTGCGGGGTGAGAGTGAACCTGTGCGGGTGCAGATGGTCATGATCAGTTGAGACCCACTTGTAGAATATCAAATACATACAAGCTCTCATATTTGCGAAGGTGATCTGCCATAGTCCTTTGACATGTCTATCAGCTCAGAGGGATAGCAGCGAGATTGAGCACGCGCGTACTTCTTGGTCGCATGAGGGAGATCCTCCTCATCCTGAGTTCTGGTATGGATCGCCAGTACCTGCCCGGTGGGCAAGGTGACGCTACCACTTCCTCTGCGAGATGCTGGCATTGCAACGGCTGTGATGATATACAGGGGTGATGGTGTTAAGAAGAGAGGGGACTGGAGGGCTCCTCAGAGTCGACGGGAGACTTGCTCCAAGTGCCGGCGGAGAGCAGCAGTCGTGGGAACATACTCCCAAATGCGTCATCTGCTCGAGTTGCGTTCTGTTGTCGCTTTACGCTCCTTCTTCTCAGTTTCCGCCGTCCGACCATGATTGGGCTCAAGGGCACCCTCAATGTATGCTTTCTCACCGTAACTCACGTCTGCTACTGATATGTCTTTACGGCAGGTTATAGACAACTCAGGGGCCCTCCTCGTCGAGTGCGTCAACGTCCTCAAAAACAAAGTCAATAACGGCTGGGGCAGCGTTGGCGACGAGATCGTCTGTGTAGTCAAGCGTGCGCGCCCCGTATCTGCAAGTGCACAGCTTTCTTCCACTGCCCTCAAGGTACGGCGAGGCGACGTCCGACGTGCTGTCATCGTTCGTACCAGGAAACCCATTCGGCGTCCAGACGGGCGGTGGATCCGCTTCGACGATAACGCTGCTGTCCTGTTAAACAATAAGCGGGAGATGCTAGGTACACGCATTGGTGGTGTGGTCAGCGCGGACCTTCGTATGAAGGGCTGGGGCAAGATTGTCAGTATAGCACCTAAAGTGAGTACGCGTTTCCATCACCTGAACAAACAACGTGCTTACGTTGAACAAGGTCGTTTAGTTTGTTTTTATAATCATAAAGTATAAACCCAACGCTCCCACTACACCTCTACACCAATCGCAATATCAATTGATGACACACGCGCCTATCCAGTGCCATTCAACCTTTGCCCGCCCAGAAGGACGATCTTCTCAAACCGACCATAAGCTGACGACAACAAATCTAGAGTTGGGCCCACAATCATACTAACGAGTAAAACTATCCCACCTGTATTTGCTTGTGATATAGCAATACGTATCACTTCTTTTCATGCCTTGAGTCCCATTTGACCACCGAGAGCATGTGTTCGGTATCACTCAGTATCGTTTGGCGTTGGTGAGTGTTACACCTTCAAAAATGTTGAGTAACGAACGGCCGTCGATAGTACTTTAGAAAGATACAAAATCACACTCTACTCAACTTCTATATCAGAACACGTCGTATCCGACATACAGGAACCAATGGCACGGCAGCACCGATCGCCACCTTATAGTACACCTTCCCATTCAAAACGTTCTCGAGCCGACAATCCCTCACTTTCCGGGACAACACGGTTTCCGCCGCTCCCGTCCGGCCTCCACCAACTCCTCTCCCAGCTTTTAATACCCCTAGCTTCTAGCTCCAGATATTCCAACTGCGGAAATATCTCGAGCCACAGAATGGCCAGCAGCCCTGGATGATGCGTCTCGACAGAGGCGCCGTTCCCGGTGCTGGATGGAGCCCGTGGCGTCATCGTCAATGCTAGATAGCGAAGCTCGGAAAATGCGTGCCAGTCGCACTCCTGCTCCGTAACTGCCATCGACACCTGCGTCAATGGAATGAGGCTGATAAGTCGAGAATATCGCGAAGCAATATTAATGTACGCACGACTGCTTCGAACAACACATCCAACGGGCAGTCTTTGCCAACCTCAAGGGACAGGAACTTGAGGCTTTTGGCGAACTTGGCGATCCGCGGAAATATGCACGCCGGAGGGATGAGATTGTCGAAGCTGACTTGGGATGCCACGGCAACAGGGATGTGCAAGCTAGATAACTGGCATCCCTGGTGCAGCATCCGCTCCTGCAGATAACTAAGATGGATGGGTCCACCGCAGTAACCATTGACCCGAATCCTGCGAAGGTTGCGGCAGTACTGTCCCAAGAAGAGGAGCTGCTCGTCCCAAGCAGATTCGAAAGACCTAAGCCTCGGCCAGACAAGGTTCCGCAGAGAGTTATCATGCCAGTCCGCGTAGAAGTAATATGCGCCCGAGTCAGGGAAGTCGTGGATGGTGAGTCGTCTCACAGTCTTAGCAGTTAGGTCGAAAAACCACCCCAGATTTGTCTTCTCGCGGAAGGACGGGGAGAACTGTAAAGTGAGATCGGTTCGGTTGACGAGCTTGCGCACATTTTGAAGAGTGATGTTGGACAGTGTGAGAGGCAACGAAGGCCAACATTTGGCAAGCCAGTCGCTCAGTGGACTGTAGCATCTCAGCAGCCTCATGTCAAGTGCAAGTCCCTCGAGCCGAGTGCTGGCCCGGAGGACCTCTACAAGACCACAACCTGCATACTTGTGGAGGGACGAGACGCTATTGCCGACCATAGTCAGTCGCCTGATGCCTTGGCACAAGTTCTTTTTGAGAGCAAATTGGCAGAAGCATTCGATTTGTTTAGGGTACCTCTTGAGAATGACGTCTCGAACGATTAGAGGGGTAGCGATACCGGACAGGTACATAGAGGTGTTTAGCACCGCGCGAAGTGTGTGTTGGTCTAAGTACGAGAGCATATTCCTGAGAACGTCATCGTGGAGGTTTTGTGAAGCCATGGCGCACTAAAAGTTTCTTCATCAGCATCTGCTGATCGTAGGAGGAGATAAAAACGAGACGAACCTAGACTTTATAAGAATAAGTCGAGATCAACAGGCAAGCGCCGTTATTTCAACTGGTTTTATACAGGGCAAAAGTGGGTGGCCGTGGTCCAACCGCACAATGGTCGAGACTCTTTGCCTCCGCCACATCAGCGTGTGGCCTGTGCACCAGACGAATTGGTCGTAAGCGAAGTCAACAAGGTGGCTGTACCGTTTGCTTTGTTCGTGCTTGGATCATGGATACAAAACAAGATGGCGAAGTACCGCGCGCCAGTCTAGCCAGTAGTCGGAGAGTTACCAACCTTTATGGATTGAAAAATGACCGGCGACGAATGCAGAATCGCCACAAAGCTGCAAACAAGGATTTTCACCAGGGACGATATTGGAGACCAAACTGTACCCTCAGATGCGCGAAGTCCGACTACTCTTTGTGAATTCTGCGAACAAAGTCATAGAAGCCAGAAGGACCTTTCGACTAGTTCAGCACTGAAGTTTGAACGAGCTATGTTTTGCTCGCATTCAAGGGAGTCTAGAAAGTGGGGTAGAGTCGCATTAGACCGAGGCACATTGTATCACGAAGGTGGGGGAGAGGCACTTACAGTGCGTCCAAAAGTCACTTAAAACCGACAATCCTGCAAACTCAGGAGTGCCACTCACACCGGGCCGGCGCGCGGGGCCTCAAATATAGACTCGGCCCGAGCACTCCCTGCAGGGAGGTCTCCTCATTCCGCGCCCCGACCCATTTAGACTCGTTGACTAACAGGCGTAGAGGAAGAAGTCACGAGTACCAAGAAGAACATGCAAAAAAGCTCAATCGTCTTCTCTTCTCCCGCAGCGGTGCCTCCATACATCTAAGTATCTTACGAGGGACCCGGTACGAGTGGGTATAGGTATACTGAATATCGTATCGTATCGTATCGTACTCAGATACTGGCTTTATCAATAGTACTGGTAGTGGTAGTAGTGGTGATAGTGGTGATAGTGGTGATACATGCCGACGATCCCTAATTCGAGACATCCCATTGGTGTCGGCATCGGCATCGGCATCGGTATCGGTACCCTGGGCTATGATAGACAAGTGAAAGACAGACCTCCTTAACAGTGGATCGGCGGACGCGAAAAGTAGAAGACGAAGAAAGGAATGGGAGAATGGGAGGGGGGAGACAGAAACCAACACAAGAATGATACACGGGGAAGGGAGAAGACACTAGGACATACGCGTAAGCTACATATACAATACGTGCGGGTGGAGCGGGATGGAGCAGCAGGTCGGAAGGCTTGGCGGCGACGGCGTGCGTACATATGAATATGTAGATTACTTCGATAATAGGGGGCCTCGGAGAAGCGGGCGCGTGAGCGGAAGTGTCAGCCGCGGTCGATGCGGCGGTAGACGCGTTTATCCTGTTTGTCGTCTTTGAGGTGGAAGAAGGAGACTACGGGGAAGCATGGCGCATGTGGAGATATGGGAGACGAGAGCCAAAGGGAAGGCAGCGAAGATAGAGGAGGACAGGAAGCGGGTACACGAGAGCGTGTGGGGTGTGACAGTAAACAGTAAGCATAATAACTTGGCGGAGGGGAGAAAACAGGGACAGAGACGAAAAAAAAGGACGAAAGTAGGGAAAGTAAGAGGTATGGAAGAAGGGAAGACGGATCTTCGCCTCCGTAGCACCTCACGATCTCACTAGCAATTCGAAAAACGATCAAAAAAGGGGATCGGCAGAAGAAACAGAGCACTACGAGTGCCGCCTGTGCTGACCTCGACGGTTCTCCTTCGGAAATTCGCATTTGCGATGTCGGCGTTTGCATTGGCTGTGGACACGCGCGGCCATCAGCACACCCCCAAGCAACGACAGCCTCGATATGCGGGCGCAAGGAAACGCACCTGCATGTCATATCCTCGCTGCCCTGGGGAGGTGGACCACATGCGATCTTGCGCTCGCGGCAGAACAAGCACGCGAGCGCGGGCTTCTTTCGTGTGGTACCTGGAGGTTGCGAGACTTTGCGCGAGGACGAGCCTGTGCGTGCACGGGAGGATGGCGGCAGCGGCAGAGTTTGTGCGAGCGGCTCAGCGCTGGAGGGGGTGGCGAGCGAGGGAGATGACGAACCAGGGCTGGAGGCGGAGGACGCGGACGGCGTGCTGCTGCCCATGGGCGGGGAAGACGATGTTGAGGTCGAAGCCGAGGAGGCCGAAGGCTCGTGTGGCACCGCGGTCGACACCTGTATAGAGCGCTACGGAGACCCTGACGGTCAGCGCTGGAGCAGCAGGATGAACATGGTAGACGAACGCACCTTCCGCGGGACTGGGGCGGGCTGATCCGGACCCGGGAACGCCGCCGGGTCCGCGACAAACTGGTACTCGCTCGGCACATCAGGCGCGGGCGATGCAAAGTCTTCATGGATGTCCTCGTTCGGGAGCGGGAGGTGCGCCATCGGGGGCGGCGAGCAGAGCACCAGCGCGACCACCTGTGTTGGCGAAGACGACAGCGACGACGAAGAGGGCGGTGATAAGACGGACGGTTGTGGCGTGTTCGCCGGCGAGCCCGAGGCGGCGTCGGACGCAAGACTGGGCGCGGGGCTTGGGTCACGTGGTGCAGGAACGACACGTAGAGTGATGCGTTGCTCGTCGAGCGCACGATCGAGCCCAGACGCAGAGCCTGGGGAGATGAGGACCGGGCGATGGAATGGGAGCGGGGCGGCGTGCGGGGGCGTCCAAGTGAACGGCCATTGTGGCAAGGAGGTGGAGGCAGCGAGCGGAGATTGTGCGGAAAAGTCTTCGAGTTTTGGGACGCCGGGGACGAAGGCGAGGTTGGGGGCGGTGTAGGATGTGGGAAGGGTCGCGGCGGCGGGGAGAGCGTAGCTGGCTAAAGAGCTAGAGTCGGTGCCATACTGCGTGGCGACGTCGATGAACTGCGAGGGGAGAGAAGGGAAGTAGCTGTAGTAGATCTGAGGATCGGAGGTCTGGAGAGAGGGAAAGTCAATGGCGAGGACTTGAGAAATGGCGGATAGAAGGAGAAACGCACCGGGTGGTTGAAAGACTGGTGGACGTGCTGGTCCTGTGTGTACGGATAGTGGGGGTCGAGGACGGGGTGGGGTTGGGTGTGGGGAGGCCAGAGGGCAGGAGGGGCGGGGACGGAAGGCGAGTAGAGATAAGAGGAGGGATGATGATGATGTGGGGTGGCGTAGTGATCGGTTGTGCCGTCATAGTGATAGAGGGTGGGCGCGAAGGATGATGGTGCCGTTGGAGTGTCGTCATGGGCGTCGAGACCGCGGGGAACAGGGGCGGCAGTGACGGAGGGAGTGTGGACCGAGTCGGGAAGAGCGGTGTGGCCCGAGGAATAGGACGGCGGCGTGGGGGCAGGAAGCATCCTGGCGGTCGGTTCGCGAAACGGAAGCAGATGGATGGAGAATGGAAAATGAAACGGGAAGTCGACCGGGTGTGGCACGATCGCGGGCACGGGCCAAGGGTGGCCGAGGACGGGTGTGTGTGCGGTGAGAGGGCTGCAGTTGCTGTGGGAAGGGGGAGGGCGGGGAGAGGGGCGAGGAGTAGTAAGTACTTGAGCGCGAGCACTGAAGCACATGCCAACGCGTGCCAAACACTCCAGAAAATAGGGACCCACTCACGCTCCCTTGACTCAGCCCTAGCCGATTCTTCCTCCCCTCCCCATCGATCCCATCATCGCGCCCTGATGGCCGACCGGCGAGCACTCCCCCGCCTCATCCCCGCCCTCATCCCCCCCCCATCCATCTCGCACCGCGTACACGCCCCCCTCCATCCCCCATTCGACCCGACAAGCCAAAATCCTAATGTCTGCTTCCGCCGCGATCGCCCCGACATCTGCGATAACAATCCTCGCCTTCCCACACACACCTCTCTCCTCGGACATTGATCCGGCCTCTGTCCTCTCCCCACGCCAGCTGCCCCCACCAAGAATACATTTCCTGCTCAGCCACCCCCTCTCTTCCTCCCCTCCATTAAAATCCACTACACGCGTCTCCGTCCCTCTCGGCCTCGCACAAGCTCTCCACGACCCTAGTAGTGCCCTCTGCCCCGCCCTTTCCACCCGTCCATTGCGTGCAAATGACCAGTCTAAGCCCACTTGGGCCATATTGAACGACCTACGTACTGTACGTCCTCAGCGGAATCTTTTTATTCTAGTGAATATATGAAATCACCCGCCGCTCTTTCACCTGACTGCCAATTAATCCGTGGCGTGACATCAACTGCCCTACGCACGCCTGCATACCTCCTGCCGTTCGCTCGACGTCAACCAGCACCAGCGCCCAATGTTCTCGTGCGCCACGACAACCATTCAATCCAACAGTGCAGGGTCACTTCCTGACCTGCCTCGCACGCATTTCTGCCGCCCGCACGCCTGATTTCTCTCACGTCCCACTGCCCGGCCACTAGTTCCGGCCGCTCCCGAGAAGCCTTGGCCTTCTCGCCAAAGAGACTTAGGGGCTCCCTGCACACGAGGTTGGCCTGATGTCCAGATAACTCGGGCGCAGCTCGTATCAGCTCATATCGCCCCACGGTGCACAGCTCCCGAGGCCAGGTGAGGCGCGCTCCCCCTCACGTGCGGATCCTGCGCATCACAGCTGAGCGCAGCTGGGGCTTCCCGACTTGGCCCCATCAACGTGATCGATCGCCGAAAGAAGTAAATGAAACGCCAGAGATCTGCGCTCGCGTCTTCCATCGCGAGGCTTCTCTCTGTGCGGGCAGATTAAGCACGCAAAAGTAGCGTTGTACGTCTTCACGACACCAGGCAATCACACGCGAAATTTACGTACAATGTCTCCTGAGTTTTTGAAACAGGTGCTCATTTCTCGACGCCACTGTCCCGACGTTCGCGATCCCAGCCCACATGAACCGCGCTGTCGCCCCTCAGGTTACCTCCGAAATTGTGACCATCGCAGTCAGCGTGTCCCACACCCCGCCCACCGAGCTCGCGCCAGCCGCCCGCGTCCCTGCCGTACTGCCAGCGTCGAAATCCATCTCCTCCGCCTCGCCCTCCAGTTCTTCCATCATCGCTAGGTCTGCATACTCGTCCGACAGCCAAGCCTTCACCCACCCCGAGTCCTCCTTCTCATTATCGCGCAGCACGAACTGAAACGGCTCGACCCCCGAGCTCCCCTCGCCCAACGCTAACTGCTGCCCCGCACGTAGTGGCGCGCGCATCGTCGCCGACGGCGGCGCGTACATGCAGTGCACGCTGTACTCTGCGGGGTCAAAGTAGTGCAGCGAGACCCACAGGTCCCGCGTCGAGTGGTTCTCCAGGAGAATGGCGTACTCCGTCTTGTCGTCCCCTATGCGCAGGTGTCCGTCGCTTCCGAGTGGGTTGGTGCGTCCTGCGCCGAGGCGGCAGAATCGCATGGTCACGCTGTCCCCGAGCGGGCGCGCTGGGTTATGCCTGCGCAGGTGCATCTCGAATCGCGCGACGCGATTGAGCGCCGCAAGCGCATCGCCCGGCAAGCGAATGGGCCAGGACACGCGGGGCGTAGGGATTTCCAGATTACGTCTCTCCACGGTAATCTCATGCTCCTTGAGAGACACAATCAGCACGACGCGCCTCTCGCCCTGGACCTCCTCGCCGCTGACTTCCTCCACGGCGACCTCGAGTCCCTCCTCCCTTCCCTGCTTCACGATGTCGTTCACCAGCCTCTTCGACTCGATCGCACCACCGCTCGCGATCGAGACAGGATTTCGATCGTTTGCCCAGAGCAGGACGCCCGCGTAGGCCCCTGGCGCAGCCTCGTCGAGGCTCAGCGGGACGACGGATGACCAGACCGCATGCACGTCCCGTGCGACGACGCGTGCGTGTGGGGCCTCGCCGACGCAGAACTTGTGCGGGTACACCGCGAAGACGGTGCCCGGCACGACCCCGTGCATCGCGCCTGCCTCGACACGTAAGATCGGTTTCTGTTCGTTCCCTCCTGGCTCATGGATGGGCGTGCCGAGCGGAACGAGGCGCCTGTTGGCGCCGAATGCGCGGCCGTTGAACAGCGCGCGGTGCTTGTGCCGACCCTCGCACTGCGGATGTTGGATGCGCCGCTGAATGTTCAGCGAAGCGGTCAGAATCGCATACGTGAGCCGTGGCAGGTGCGCGGCGCTCAGAGTGGCGATGAGCGCGGAGGTGAAGAGGCCTGAGGAACCGTCGTCGTGCTCGTATGCGAGCTCGCCTTGGAGGCATGCCGCCAGGAGGACGTGCGTCGCCAGGCTCGAATGCTTGAAGGAGATAGGGCGGGAATGCCGCGTAGTATTGTCGAGCTCGTCTTGATTTTCGATTCCTAGCACGGAGCTTTCCCGGAGCATCGCAAGTACCGCCGCTTCGTTCTCAAGGGGTGGCGCCAGGCGTGGTCTGAATTCCACAGGTGCGCGCGTGCCGCTACCAGAGTGGCAGCAGTCCATGATGACGGTGATGTTGTCACCCTTGGCCTTGCTGAGCTCGAGCAGCAGGTTGCCCAGCGTGTAGTCGCCTATGTCGGTTATCATGGCGAGAGTTTTAGGGTCCACCGTTCCACGATCGGTAGGGCATATCGCCTCAAACTGTCCATCGTCAGTGCTCCATGACGGAAGCGATGGATACTGAGATCCATGGCCGGCATAGTAGAATATGATAGGGTCGCCGAAAGCGATGCTGGGGTTGTGAGTCAGATGCTGACGGAAGTTGGCGATGATGCCGTCATGAGTCGCGTGTTTGTCGAGAAGGAGGTGAATTCGTGTCGGCGAGACGTGCAGGTGAGATTGCAGGAACGTGCTGAACGCTCGAGCATCGTTCACTGCGCAGGAGAGGTTTCCGAGTAATTCGTCGGGGTAGGTGTTAATGCCGACGATCAGGGCATGAAGAGGAGATATCATGTTGTGGTTTCTGTTGATCAAAGTGGTCATCGTCAGGTATCGCCGTCGCATTACTTCAGAGGTAGACACTTTCTCTGATGCACTCGTGGTCCACGATTTCTATAACGTATCGCATGATCATTATCACTCATAGCCTCCACGTTTGATTGAGACTTACCTAGTTGGCCCAAATTTTCAAATTTGAACGTCGATTTTCGATACAGGCTCAGCGTTCAGCTCTCGATGTTCAACCCAATGCTGTGTGATCGATGCCAGAGTCCAACGTGCCGCCGAGCGGCGCATTGTAAGTCATATAAGGATTCAGATCAATTAGATCACTCTGATGGTTGGGTGCACGGATAACTTACACATTCTATGCAGATAATTTTGGGATGCCTTTATTCCCCGATTAGCGACTGTCGCTATGTTCAAGGCGGGATTGTGGATGCCAGGTGCAGAACGTGTTCAAGCAAGACGGTCGATGTAATCCATTTAAACTCAGATCCACTCCCGAAAGTCCCACAGCGCGATTATTCGCTGTCAGGCCTCTCATATAAGGGACCAACCCGGACAAAAATCAAAAACTTTACCTTAAAACACCTGCTTTTCAAGTATGCTTTTATACTCAGAAATCCAGAGAAGGGAGCAGGCTAAGATCAATACCATTGTTGGATTTACCCGATTCCCAGAATTTAGTGATAGGCAGTCTCTTCCTTGGAATATGTTCTTCATGTAACCCTTAGGCATGTTGATTCAATTATGCATGTATCTAATACTTAACCTGACCCCACAGATAGAGACCTGTCTATATGGTCTGAACTGAAATATTTCAGGGTAAGTAAGTATTAGTGGCAAGCAAAGAATGGAATCCACAGTATAAAGTAGGTTATGGGTTTATGCAGATGCAAGAGTAATGGGATATAACAAGAAGATATACAAAGATCTGGACACTTTCAATCCTATATTATTTGCCCCAGTGTCTAACATCAGCAAACTAGGAGGCATCTATACTAGCCTAGACAGGCACTCCTAGGCCCCTAGATGCCTTTAGTGAGTGCCTGATTAGACAGACACACTGGTGTCTAGATAGCCATGTCTAGATACATATGGAAATTATTGGATAATTGTCATCAATAAAATGACTGCAAAAATCAATTTGTACCAGGCAGGAATTAAACCTAGAACCTCTTGAATTATCTACTAGCTAAAAGCAATGTTAAGACAAGAATTATCCACTCCACTATATAGCCATAATGTACTACATTAACAACCAATATATAATGAGTTTTTTGAGACTTTAGAAATAATTTTGGAATGCCTGAACTCAGTGAGGTGTCACCTACTCTCGCACTCTTAGTACCTATTCATGGAAGAATTATGGCATATAATACATCATTGGAAAGCTATGATGCAAGGAAGCATCTCAATACCACTAACAAGCTAATATCTAACTGATAGCTACAATGACAGTCTGATACATTACTAGGGGATTTTCTTCTCAGCTCTTATCTAAGGCTATATCAAAAAACTCTCAAGCAGCACAGGCATTCTATACACAGCCCTCCAAAAATATCCTCTTAGTCAGCTTTTTGATAGAGCACCTATCTGTCCAGATCTGGGCATACATAAATATTTAGCAAGATATCCCTAGATGACCTAAGCATTTGGGAGCATCTGGGGCTCTGGAATTGGCTGGGACCAGTTATGAGTTTGCTGATGAAGGGAGGCAATAATGAGCCTTTACTACTAGGACCTTTTGGGTTTAGTCATAGGTATACAATAAGACAACTCAAATTTAGCTATTTTGAAGTTGATGACTCTCTAGAACTTGTCCTACCCACTATCTTGTAGACACAACATTGTGGTTCATGTTGACTACTATGCTTGCTATAATGTTGATAGACAAATTAATTGGACCTAATAGGGAAGAGATTGCACCAATGGTTGTGTTCAGCCTAGGTATCACCAGATACATGTCTCAGAGCTCATATGCGGTCTTAGCTAACTTGCTTCCCTTTTACACAGTCATCCCAAGCTATTTATATGTGTGCTATGCTCTTACTCATAACTTGCGAAGGAGCTAATATCAAATACAGTCTGGTCATAACAACTGTGAATTGACATTGCAGGACTGATTCTAATTTTGTAGTGCATTGTCAAATGCTCAGTATTAGTGATGTACTGTGTTTTGTGTCTAATAGATAATCATGTTGGCTGCTAAGCAATGTAAAGATTGATTACAAGTGAGGCAGCATGTAATGAACAATTTCGTACTAACACAAGGTGTCTGAGGGATTGGTATCACAAATTTGCTAGCTTGTGGTGGATCCGAGTAGACTTAGACCGTCCGGTTGACCAACAACATTCATCTTGGAATGTTGTGCGAGCGTCAGCAATTGATGTCATCTTGCGGTAGAGGGAGTGTTAAGCACGTGCCTGGATCGATAATCGCAGATAAATACGCGTCGAGAAAGCCCCTCTGTCCATCCACTCCCACTCCCGTCCACCATCCCTGAACTTGTTCCTCCAATCAACCATGTCCGGCGCACACACCCTTCCCGACCTCCCTTACACCTATGATGGCCTCGAGCCTTACATCTCCCGCCAAATCATGGAGCTTCATCACAAAAAGCACCATCAGACCTATGTCAACGCTCTCAACGCTGCCGAGCAGGCGTACGCAAAGACCTCCACTCCCAAGGAGCGTATTGCTCTTCAGGCTGCGTTGAAGTTCAATGGCGGTGGTGCGTGATTTAATTGCTCTTCGTTTGTCGCTCTGCGTTATCTCGTCTTCATCCTGCTTAATAACGGTACTGATGGCGTCATCACCGGTCCCCGCGCACGCATACAGGTCATATCAACCATTCTCTGTTCTGGAAGAACCTTGCGCCTTCCGCTGCTGAGGGCAAAGGACACGGCGGCGAGCTCAAGGCTGGCCCGCTCAAGTCTGCCATCGAGCAGAAGTGGGGCTCCTTGGACACTCTCAAGAAGGAGTTCAACACTGCTACCGCCGGCATTCAGGGCTCTGGTTGGGGTTGGCTTGTACATTCATCATTTTTGTCGCTCCGATGCTTGCGTATTGATTCTCCGATCATGATAGGGATACAGTCCTACGAGCAAGTCGCTTGAGATTGTCACCACTGCTAACCAGGACCCGCTCCTCACTCATGTCCCTATCATTGGCGTTGACATTTGGGAGCATGCGTTCTACCTGCAGTACTTGAACGTCAAAGTCGATGTGAGTCGCCTATTTGATGCAATCGTGCTGACACGATCATCTTGTGATTCTCGATCGATCTCTTTGCTGATGTCGGTTTGCTCACATTAAGTACCTAAACGCTATTTGGAACGTCATTGACTTCCAGGAGGCTGAGAAGCGCTTCGTCGAGGTTTCCGGCGCTAAGCTGTAAGCTTGATCAAGGTCGAATCGGGCCTCAATATCAGGAGGAATGCAATGCAACGGAAAGAGAGGAAATTGTATGCAGCGTTGTTGTGATTCTTGCTGTTTTGTAGTCTGTTGTACGATTCAAGAAGTCCGTGTACGTGCAATCGAAATGTCGTGCTCAACTTGATTGTTACTTTTCATGACACTATGCAACGCTAGGGCTTTCGATGTCTCACGTGTACGACAGCCAGAGAGGACGAAGACAGCACCGTCCCGCGTCTGACTGTGTTGTGAAGTCTAAAATCATATCACATCCTCAGGTTTCTCAACCCTGTTTTGGTAATCTTCAATGTGTGATGAATACTGCAAGCTATATGATCATGATACGGAACCGATATCTAAGGCACGTCCATCTTTGACTTGATGAGGTTGTCACATTCTATTCAGAGCACAAACCCGCAGAAGCAACCTCACATCTCGAAGCGTCAGAAGCTTTCAAAACCACACAGAATTGTAATTTAGGACTAGCATGGCCTGAATTCTGCCATCAGCATCGACTGCAACAGCCGCTGCCCTCCCATAAACCCTTCCATTGCACCCGCATCATCGCAGACAACGATTCCAGCTCGGTACATGCGGTACAGCGCCCCTCGGATCCGTACTTGGCAAATCCAGATCGCCTCTCAGCCATGATCCACCTCAGGAATAGTCGTCGGAATGTCCTTCAAGACAGAATTCAATTCGTCGATCGTCCTTTTGTCCAAGCGGGAGCCCGGATATCGCATGAAAATGCATTCCAGGACTGTTGTCGAAGTGTTGTCTTCCCGATGGTTAGTCGCAGAGGCGGCCCAGTGAAAACATGGTGGCGAAACGTCGACGTGTAATGATCTCAGGGTATGTGGGAACTGGGTTGATTAATAGCTGCTGCGACATGTGGATGGCTTGGATCGCGAAGCAGTAGATTGTTGCTGAATCCGAAATCTGTGGCGGAAACCCGGACTCGTGATGTTGGTACTCCCACCATCGGCAAAGCCGTCTCCTGATGCCTTCTGATGACTATTATGACGCCGATGGCCGACCTCCCCTCGTCTTCTTATACACGGCTTGAGCTGTCTTGCCGCACGAAGGCGTTCCCAACCCCTCGAACATGCCTCTGTATGTCCTTTACTATCACGCGGGCTCCCTCAGCTTCGAGCAAAAGCAGACGATCGCCAAAGAAGTCACAGATGCGCACTGCGCTGTGACTGGTGCCGGCCCCTACTTCGTCAAAGTAGCTTTTCAAGCATGCGAGCGCGGAGATTTCTACACAGCTGGAGATATTGACCAGAAACACGTTCGCTTTGTTGGATATGTTCGACGTGGGCGCAACCCTGCGCGGATGCAAGAGCTCTTGCAGCGATTGTATAGAAGTGTGAGAGTAGGACAACCGGACGAAACGGTCGATATCGAGATGCATGTCCAAGAGGCCGATGCAGACGTGAGTGCAGCCTATTGAAATCTGTATCCGTAGTGTAATGAATTGAACTGATCTTACGTCTGTAGGTGTGGACGTTGAATGGAGTTAACTTGCCTCAGCCGGGAAGTGATGAAGAGCAGAGATGGAATACTGCTTGTGGTGTTCCTAAACAATGAGTTTCCGAGGGCCGGCCGGGTAAGACGCCTCGATTTTTTTTTTCTTTTGAACATTTCGTTAATGGACACTTGTTCTACAAAAATAGCTACATAGAAGCTGAGCTTCCTTGCCACATAGATACCCCGAAAAAACATACCGAATTGAATGCACCCATCCTACCGCCTCTATCCTGAAGCGTTTATTCTGCGTCGTTTGTATAGCTTGGCTCGACGTTGAATCCGATCCAGCTTCTATCGTCCCTTCCACTTTGTAATGCCTCAATATACCGACTTACAATGTCATCATACCAGGTTGACCCGGTATTCAAATAGCTCAGCACGTAGTGCGTCAGATTGATACTCGCGCCAGAGAATATGAGCACGGGCGTTGTGAATTGACGGCCACGGAGGTAGCGCAGGATCGTCTCTCCCGCTGAGAGGTTCAAGAAATCTGAGTACGGCAATCCAGATTCACTCGAAGATTCCCAGCGGGCGTTATCAGAGATGAATCGCAGGCGACGTGCTTGGTCTGCGCGACGGAGGATTTCTGTCGGTGAGGAAAGTATATCGAACCGTGGACGACCGAGAAGAAGAGTAGGAGGACTGACTATCATTAGCCTCAATCCACACCTTCGCTGACGCAGTGGACATAAGCGTAACGACCGTGATCCCTAGCGAATGAGCATGGCTGATATGGTGCTCGTTGTTGGTAGGATTGTCATCAATCCATATCAGGAGCAGGTCTGTGGTTTGAGGATTCGCGATTGACGAAGCCAGCTCAAGAGAGTTCATTCCTTTGTGGAAAAAAAAATCAAAAGTCAGTGAGCGTGGCAGTCGATAAGTTCATACTGACTTCGCATTACGCCTATTTGATTCAAGGCGTCGAGCATAGTTCGTTGTCCCACGAACTGGTCAAGGCTGGAGGGAGTGACGCCGCCTACGGCGAACTCATCGAGACGTAGGAGAAGAATATCGCGTGTATCTTCATCGATACGAATGTTGAGCCAATGAGAAAGGGAAGCACAGAAGGGCTTTCCAGGGCAGCACGACACCTGTTCAGTCATATTAGATGAGTATCGAAGATATAAAGGAATATTGACAGCTTGACATACTTCATTTCCAATTGTCTGGGTCCAAAACTTTCTAACTTCTTCACTCGCAAGAAAAGATACCGCTGACGGCTGGCGATCCGTGACTGATCCAGCCTGATTCCCCGAGGACATATCAGATACCTGCAGCGCAAATGCTAATATGGAGACCCTCTGGGAAATCCGTTTCTCGTCGTCTTGGAGCTCATCCAGGACAGTCGAAGGACTCAGGAATGACAGGAGCGCCACGCGCTTCGAACGTTTGTCCGTCCAGAGTGATAAATGCTCCCTGGTACGGCTGAGAGTCTCGCCTAAATCTTGAAGGCAGGAGATGGTTGCTGGGTTAAGACGAGGAGAAACTACCGTCGAGGGTTGTGACTGTGATGAGATCGGGAGTAATGGAGAGAGAATGCTCGAGATTCTGGAAACTGTTGTCTTGAGTTCGCGAATCGTCGAATTCCTAGAGTTCGACAAATCAATCCATTTCTGGATGGCGACTGCAGTAGAAAAAATCGCTTGTACGACGGATATAGGATCCATGTCAGTAACGATGAGAGTCAAGCTAGATCAAGTTGGTCAGCCGTTGTATGCTGTGTCTTGTACAACAGGCGCTCGCGTCTACATAAGTCCGATTATCCCGATTAGCCTATCGAGATACTCAGCAACATCTTTCAACAAGCTACCTACATAAGTTCAAGACCTGTCCAGATTGAGACATGCTCGAGTCGCATCAGTGTTATAGATTATCACGATTCACCTTGAGGGTGATGGCTTGGGCTACATAGTTCATGTCGGTTCTGTTGACTTCGCACTGACAAGCGAGATTGCACTCAGCTGTCCAAGGGGATTATGAATATACAGCGAACGGTACCGGTGAGCAACAAGTTGTATTTCATCAAAAGTTGGAGCCAAACTGATATACGAGCAGATAAGGATCCAAGGAAGTGCTACATTAGAACTAAAGCAGACGTACTAAGATATCTAGGGAACGCTAGCTTTTAGAGGCTGTTCTATTTCCTTGAAGTTGTCGTCATGTATCGTGACATAACGATCAAGTTGGATTTCAATTATGGAAGAGCTGTGGTCCCTAGCTCTCGTGGCAGTCTGGTCTGCCGCCCGCTCATGTAGGTGCTCGTTAGTGGAGAGAGGTTTATCAAAGGTCATATCCCAGGCCGTCCTCTGTAATGAAATCAAGACTATGATGATGAGGGGATAACTTCCCTGTATGAAGTATGAACTAGAGGAAATATATGAAAGGGCAAGAGCGACATACCGAGACATTAACTACGATAATAGGCATCATTTCGGTAAACAGACTCCCATGTCCGAAGAAGGGCGTAGTCATCTTTATATGTCCGCGAAATTGACTGATCATATACACAATCTGGGATCGGGTAAGGCGGATAGGGGACAGGACCAAGAGAATACCTACCCATACAACACAATAAAATGCACCCGACTCAGCAAGGAGAGCAAGCACGGCTTCCACCTTGACCCTGCGACCCCCATTTTCAAAATGCCGCTTAGCCCTTCGATGATGCTTCCTGTAGTAGATAGTCAATCTATGGATCTTATATACACAATCCATTCTCACCATGCCTGAAATGCGATCAGGAAGGTAGTAAGAGCGTTTGTGGACAGGGTCAGCGCCCAGACAGCAGTTTCACATGCTAGAGATGCTCCGTTCTCAACTTTGTGTCGATGAGAGGGTGCGCTTGGTGTTAAGACTGCCTGTAAGGTTAGTCCGGCGCTAAAAAATGCAGCAACTGAAACCATCAATCAATTTCGATGACATCAAGACAGCTCAAGATCACGCACTGGAAGTGCATACGAGAAGAAAAATGGGGGCAATAACCATCTTGATCTTGCGGTTCCACAAAACCCAGGCCCTCCAGACGATGATGCCGTCACTAAGGAGGTACTGAAGAAGATTCAGGAGTCGGCGAAAATGCCACAAGGAGGTTGAGAAGGGCTGACATTGATGATAGGAAGATAGCTTTGGGCAGTCATCATCTTGACCGTTTGGCTGCTGCGCGGTATTTCAAAGGAACCTTTGTATCCGCTGTTGAAGCAATCCACGGAAAGGTGCACGGTGCTTAGGCTACCTTGAACTTCTTTCAGTGTGATCGCCCAGCTCAAAGCATAATGGGATGCTGAAACTGTAAACATGAATATAGTCGCGATCCACATTGCCAAGTTCACCCTCAATTGCAATCCCTTGAAGCTTGTACCAGGTTAGGGTCTTTATAGTATCACACAAGTTGGAGCTTACCCCAGAAAGTATGTTGAGAGAAAGAAAAGGGTTCCGGAAAGGCCTGCACGTCAAAGTCACTTCTAACCGGACGCGACAATACTGCACTGCTCACCACAAAAGGCAGTTCCAAAGGCCAAAACAATCATACGAGTCTGAATTGACGAGTACTCCGCTTCTATATGGGACATGACGAAAGAAAAAGAGACACCTTCGCATCGAGAGTCCATTGAGATGATTGTTCTAGGTAAGGCTAGATTCAGTTCGCTGGACGAGACCTTTCGAGATAGGAAACGTTCAGTAAGAGTTTTGGGAGAATGCGGTGTCCGTCACGAAGTAGTCGTCCCTATATAGCATATTTGAGGGTGCGTTGAAACGGTCAACAGATACAACTCACCTCTGTAATCCGAGCGACGAGATCATCAGCCGGCACAAGATTTGGTGCGAAGGCTGTTGTGTTTCATCCCTAGGAAATAACTTGGATGGTCAAATTGTTGGATCAATGCTATGGGAATATTCTTGCCTCTTCCTGATCACTACGAAGGAGATGGAGACGAAAAACCCAAAGAGCGATCTGATGCTAGGCTGAATCAGATATTATGTTCCGAGGGATAGAGAAGGTATGGCCGAAGGAGATGTTGTGAAGCGCACCTTCCTTCTGAGATCGAACATCCACATGAATCGTCCTCATCCTAGTCAAGTCATTATTAGCGCTGTTACCTGCAAATACAGAGACGGATAGAGTTAGCCGGAAGGATGGCAGTTCGCGCAAATGCTAAGCAGTGTGTTATTGACTTGTCCCAACACAATATACCCGCAGCTATCCTAATAGACATCGTGATCATCCCCGATGACCAGACCATATCCGTATCCTAGGGGCTACTCGCGCGACATACCCGCCTATTCCCTCCTGGAGCTTGACTCGATCGATCCAACCCAATCCCCCCCTCTCTCGTGATCTCATTCGAGACAGAGTTTCTCAGCAATTTCCCTTCAACATCGCCACATCAGTGTCGCAAACCAGACTATGGACACCTAATACTAGAAGAAGCAAAAAACCAAGACAGTATCCACGCGAGCGGGCCAGAGTGAGGCCAATGACTGCGGCAGATACTTCGAATATACGCTATTGCGCTTGACAACTCTGAAGCGGAGGTACGTGCATACGCTAAATCCTTAATACATCAGCATGTAGATCGCATTAGCAAATGCGAATCATTTGGGAAGAAGGTTGATATAACAGTAATGGATGCGAGTCAAAAAGTATACCGAGAGAATTAGAGAAGGGAGTGAAGAGGGCGCGAACGAAGTGTCAGGACACACGCAGCAGATAGAATTGTACTTGAACACCCCATGATCCGCAGCCTGAGCATGGTGATTGTGCTACTTTCTGAGATCAATCCACAAGACAAGAATCAGTCATACAATATACGCGTGAGGGTAAATTTGCGTACCAATCATGTCGATAGACAAGCAAACCGCTCACAATATATTGTTTAATATCCAGCGTCTGATGCAAAACACGGGCGCCCGCCTCGCCTTCATCTCCCTAGACCTCCCTCTCTTAATTACCCCCATACGTCCTCTTGATGGCCCAAACAGCGCCCGTTGCATCGGCAGGATTTGAAAACCTCACTTTTCACCACTCACAGAACATCTCCTCACCGACGTGTGAATGAGGGATGTCAACTTGAAATGAGATGTGGTCACGAAACGAAATGGTTCTCATCATCGAACAGTGGGGTGGGAGGATATACAGTGAATTTGCAAGCTGTGCGCTGCGCGAGCAGCTTTCACTTCACGTGACGCTGGAGATCCTGGCCGCGGAGCCCGAATACTGCCTGAACACAGTCGTCCCCAACTGTGTTTTACGCTCTCTCATCATGGATGCAATATTAGAACCTCTAGGATCAGGATCTATCACAGTGGGAGGCTCAAAGCGCGCAAAACGTGGACCCCTGCCTCATACCTCCAGCGATTATAAAGACCATCTTCTTGCAGCACAAGCGCTTTCTAAACACCTCGACGCCATGGGCTGCCATCACGCTTACATCGGCGGATTTGCTTGGTCTTTGTTGGGAAGCACGCGACCAACAGTCAGTTATTTCTATGCAAGTGGTATCAGCTGCTGCTCGTTGTAATGATGATGTCACTAGCATGATATAGACGTCTTAATCGAAACCGAGGATATTCTAACCGTCCGCAAAACGCTTGATAGCTTGGGCATCCACTTTGCAATGGATACATTGAAGCTATACTTCGTAAAGGTTGGATTCAGATCAGCTTTGTACTCGATGTCTATTATCGAATTTCGTACTATTGTAGAACCTTGACGGCATAGATCCCAGCGAAATCATCGTTCGACAAACCAAAGACAATGTCCTTATCGAAACCTTACCAACTGGGAGGTTGGGACTTCCGAGTGTTGCTAAACCTGTCCTATATGTCACTGATTATCGTGAGTCTCTTGTTGCTGCCTCCTTCGAGTCCCAGCCGCTCACGCCTCGATGCACAGGAATCCGCATCTTGCATCCGTCAGTCCTCATTCTAACCAAACTCAATCGCTGGACGAAAACGTACACCTCCACTCGCCCGATGACCATTCAAAAGAACTCCTCGGACAGAAATGACATCACATTCTTAATTCGATGGCTTGCTGAAAATGATCTCCGAATCCAATTCGATCAGTATCAGGGAAAACCCAAGATAGACTTACTGCGTATGGTTCGAATATTTCACGGAAAGCACGAGGAAGCGGTAGAGTTAATGGAGAAGTTGAGGAGGATCCTATCACCATCAGACTGGGACGAGATGGTCGCACTTCCCCTGCCGAATGACGAGTCGCTGGTTCCTCCAACAGATTGATTCACAACGAGGTATGGAAGGCAAGTCGTTTACAGGTTGACATCTAAAGCGACCAGGTTCACTTAACTCAACGGCCTCTAGGTTTCAAGACACCGTTACAATCAATGTTACGTCAGGTGAAAACAGGCTCGCACAGCTCCGCCAACTCATACGTGCGCTTTCTCGCAGGGACGCTCCTATATGCTTTCCGCTTGTTTTGTTCAAGATGTTGGACACAAAATCCAGGAAGGTTATCGAGAGAATCATAATTCTGTAGGTAAGATCACAACCATGTCAGCGTCATGTCATGGTGCCTTTTGCGTCGTCTCATATACCGGTTCACTGCCACTCGCATTATTCGATCTTACTTAGAACACCTTCCTTCAAATCTCCCCTGTTGGGATGTGCTGCTGTCGGATAGTTAATACCTACCGCCTACCGGTGACATTGAGCTTTGCGACTAAATATCTACCCAGGTCATAGCGGGAACGTGCACCTTTGTCTCTCGCCAAGCATCCGGTATTTTCCTATGTATATATCCTTCTTCTCTATACACTAGCATATGTTCCGAACACAGACGTTCCAAATCCGCGTAGTCTAAGTAATATGGTCCTAGCGAACACCCTGGCAACTTGGGGATCGCGGACAATATCACAGAATTATCACTGATGTGTCCTGCAGTCCTGTTCGGGGAGAAGGTTCACTCTTTTTATGTATCTACTTCCCACACATTGTGACCAGTCCATCGATCAATTCAAGGCGCGAATCTGGCTGATACCTATTGCTACGATAATTATAACTAATACACCGAGAGCAGACGCAAGTTTAATCACCATAATGATAGTAGAACCCAAGAAATAGAACGACAACAACCGGCCTTCATCAACGACCATCTACGAAGTCCAACGCAGAATCAAATTCCTTCACGAGTCTCTCAGGACTGAACGCCTTGGTTCTCTTGACCACATGCGACACGCCCTTCATCAAAATATTCCGGCGGTTGGCTTTATCTTCTCCCTCTGTCCTGCGGCTTCCCGAGCTCTTGCTGTCGCCACCATCCGAGACCTCCAAAGCTGCATCCTGGAACAACGACGATTCGCCCATGAGAGACCCTGCCGTCGAGCCGAAGCTGCTCGAAGGGGCCAAGACCGCGCTCAACCGGGGACGGATGTCGGATGGATCGTCCTGCGTCAGGATCATCGGAGAGAAGGTCGGCTGCATCGAAGACGATGGCGGCACGATTCGAAGCGGCTGCGCCGCCGACGCGTTGCTCAACAGCCTGCTTCGCTCCTTCTCCCTGTCCCTGTCCCTGTCTTCGTCCTTCCTGTCCCGCATCTTCTTCCCCAACCTGCTCTTGCTGAGTTTCTTCGCGATCCCGTGCGCCGACCCGTCCTCTCGCAAGATTTCCATGGCCTGAGGTTTGTTTCTCCCCCGCCCATCCTCGTTTGTTGAAGCCAGCGAACGCGCACGCACGACGCCGCCTGCAGAAACGGTGCTCGTCGTGGTGCCTGTGAGCGGCCCGTTCGTCCCATGGACGACAGAGTGGGCGGTGAGCAGCGCGGGAGAAAGGGCAGAGAGGGGATCGAGACCGCCGTGCCCCGCATCGAGAGCAAGCGGGGAGTATGGCCGATTCTTCTGTGAGTGGATGGAAGACATGGTGTTCAGGAACGTTGACGCCGGCTTGCCCGGCGTGTGCGGCGACAAGGACTGGATCGAAGATGGGCTTGAGACTGCCGAATGAGGTTGCGAGAGGCGGCGAGACTCCGCAAGGTGAGGAAATGGGGTCAGAGGCTCTGACGCGGGCTCCAGGGCACGCACGCGACTCTGCCGCTCGAGGTCTTGCATCCAGGCGTCCCACTCGATCTCACTCATGAGCCCTTCATCGCTGTCTCCGCCGTCGTCTGACCCAAACTCCATGGTCCCATGCAGCTCGTCATCAGCATCGCGCGTGACCACGCTCGGTCTTCGCATTCTCTCTGTCGACGCGACTGAGAGTGTTCGCTGACGTTTGTCACCCCACTTGATGTAGCTCATCGCCTGGCCAATGTCGCCCATGCCTGCCCTCTGCGCCCGCTCCGTGACGTCCCTTCGCCATTCTGGATATGGAAGCGGCGCAGCCGAGGCGGGAGAAAACCTGTTGCCCGAGGTGGATGCTTTTGCGGAGGCCTTGTTCGGCACAAACGTCGAGCTGACAGAGTCTGGAGCGTGGCGGTGGAGGATGCGGAGAAAGTTGGCGTACGCTGTGGCTGCCGTAAGTGACCATGATGGACGAGAATGGAGTAGAAAGACTGACCGACGTCTTCGAGCAAATCGAGAATGACCCAAATACCTTGTGTATCGTCGTCGAGGGGGATGTCGTGCACGGACCCCATCCCAGGTCTGGAATCTGGCCTACTCTCCCCACTAGAGCCCCATCGCCTCTCCTTGTGGCCTTTGAACGTGTCATCTTTCGACCCTCTTCGACCCCACGGTCCTGACCCGTCTTCACTTTCTCGACTCTCGATCACATTGCCGGTCCACGGATCGTGCCATGCATCCGCCATGGGAGAGACCGGAGGCTCGTAGGACCGATCAGGGCTGTAGGTGGGTTCTGCAGGAGCGAATTTTGCGCACACGACACGGGAGCTCTGGGGAGTGCCTGCCGACACGCCTAGAACGTCTTCTGCGTTGCGAAGGGCTCGCAAGGAGCTCAGAGGGGAGGAATGGATCGGAATGGAAGACTGCAATTGGAAAAAAGGTGAGCAAGCGTCCCCGCTCTCGGTCGGAACACGCACAGAACGGTCCTTGAAGAGGTTGAGCATGCCTTGGTGGATGATGATCCACCGCTCCCGCCACTCGAGCTTGGTTTTCTTGCGCTTGCGGATCACAGGCGAGGTGTCTGCGGGACTTTGACCGGGCCTCGGTCTATCCTTTTCCGCCCTGAGCTCCTTCTCTGTCCATATGACCCTGAGCGCTTTGACCCTGGCTTCGAAGTAGGGCTTGACGTACTCGGGTATATTTTCACGTGGAAGGCGGACGATGGCGCCCGGAGGATGAAGCTCCAAGAGCTCGTAGGGGCGAAGCTGATACCAAGAGAGAGAGTAGTCGTCTTCCATGAGCTGACCGGTGGAGAACATGATGAGGGCATAACGGGTCGTAGCGTGGGCGGTAAGAGGAGAGCTGGTAGGTTCGATGAGGGGCTTGGAAGGGAGGTGTCTGGAGGAGTCGATTTCGAGATCCGAGTCGTCGTCGAACGCATCGCCGAGATCAAAAGATAGCTCGGAGGGGTTGTCGATAGAACGGCGAGAACGAGAGATGGAAGCGAAGGTGATGGGAGATACAGGGCGATGTCGGGGGGGAAAGGAGAAGTGATTTGAAGCGGGCTGGGTGGAGGCTTTGGAAAGGATGTACTGCTTTACTTGTGCGACCTTCCAAGAAGTATCAAAGTGGGCGACAAGCCACTGATCCATCGCAACTGCGGGACGGATGATGATGGGTGAAAAGATGAAGATGATCAGGAGAGAGACGGACCGAATCTGCATGCGATGGACAACGGGACTTGGACCTGCTTCTGAGGGTGCAACATGGTTGGCGGTGGGAGCGAGCGAGGAGTGGAGGGGGGGATGGGGAGTCTAGGCGTGAGGGATCGTAAAAGGAGACATGGAGGATGACTGGGGGTAAGTACTGCTCTAAGGGGGACGGGTGTGTTTGTTGGCGGAGGACGTGCGATCAGGGCTATCGGGGACGATCCGGCAAAGGGACTTACTTGCGTGCAGAGATTGGAGGGAGCAGAAACGGGACGATCGAGCAACGGTGACAAGGCTGCGCGTTTCAAGCTGAAGGGATGGAAAGGTCCAGACCCCTGTGGATACCGATGGTGGGTGAGTTGAATTAATGGAGAGCGCGAGGTGGGGGCGCGGGAGAGATAGGATTGTGACGGCTCTCCTCGGAGAGGAGTCGGCACGCTGGACGACACGGCCACGTTTCGGTCGAATTGGAGGGCGCGGATCGCGCTGAAACGCTGTTGGGTGATATTAACGAGCTGCAGCTGGCTGTTGTTGGAGGGCAGTGGGAGGGGCAGCCCAGCGCGCGCGGACGGTTGCCATATCGAGCGCTGGGTGATGCGACAAAGGAAACAGCTGCTCGTCGAACGGCTCGGACTGCCGGCGACGCTTCCAGGCTCGAGCCAGCCCCTTCTTGGCGGACACACAACAGTCGCTCCGTGCTGCTCCTCCTCGCCCTCGCCCAATCGTCCCTACTATAAAAATGTCCTCCCTCGCGTCTTCCCACCACCGCGACTAGTCTCCCCCATGTCTCCCTCCTCCCCTCCCCTCGCCGTCTCCGACCTCCCCCTCGAACTCATCCTCGCCGTCTTCTACTGGTGCACCCTCGCTTCCCCCGACGCCCCGCTCACAATCAGCTCCGTCTGTCGCAGATGGCTCCAGCTCGCACGCTCCTCCCCCGAGCTCTGGACTCGCCTTGACCTCCACTTCCACTCCCTCCCACACAACCCCGACCCTGCCCAAGGCAAACATTCTCTCTCGCACGCCGTCCAGAAGGCTACTGCCTGGTTCGACAGATCAGGCATAGCGTCCCTGGACGTTCAAATCACCATCCGCAACCCCGCTGCTCGCCCGTGCAGGCGCTCTCCCTCTCCCTCGCCCTCGCCCTCGCCCTCGCCCTCTTCACCCATCACCATCCCCTCTGACTCGCCCCTCGCCTCCCTATTTCAAACACACATCCACAGGATCCGCACACTCGTGGTCCACGCCCCTTCAGAGGCAGGCATACAGCCCTTGATCCGCCCCTTTCACTTCCCCGAGCCGGCGCCGGCGGACGATTCCCCGCGATCCTCTCTGCTCGAGCTCGAGCTCGAGGCTACCGACGATTCTCCTCCGGCCCACCCTCCACTCACTGATTCCGCCGTCGCCACCCTTCCCTTCGTCACCCCAAAACCCATTTCTGTTCACCTCACTAATCTTGCTGTCCCATCTACATGGCTCAACCTAGAGTCCCTTGCCTCTCTCACGGTCACTCACCCCATCCTCGCCCCTCCTCTCTCTCTCACCCACATTTTTGCTCTCCTCGAAAAATCTCCCGCCCTCCAGTACTTCTCCCTCCACTCTCGCATCTTCGAAGCTCCCGCCGCGTCCTCCCTATCTCCCATTCGCACCCTCTCCCTCCCGCACCTCCACTCCCTCCACCTCACCCTCAACAACACCATCGACGTCCTCCTTGCCCTCCGCACCCCCACCCTCTCTACCCTCTCCATCACCGACCTCGATGGCCGCGCACCGTGGACAGGCCGCGCCCTCAAGGCCTTCCTCACGTCCCGCCCACCTCTCAAACACGTCAAGTTTGAGCGTCTCCTCGGCATCGAGCACGGCACTTGGGAGTGGTGCCTGGCACGTCTCCCGCTCCTCGAGGGCGCCTCGTTGGCCTACTGCGAGCGGGGCGAATACATCGTCGCCGCCCTGGCACGACGGCCCGGCGACAAGCCCGAGCCGCAGTCACTCGCACGCGCACGCGCAGAACCCACGGAGCTCTGTCCCGGCCTTCGACATCTTTCGCTCGTGCAGTGTCCCGGAGTCTACGACTCGATTCTGCCCTGGTTCCGGACCATCCGGCCGCAGCTGCGCATGGATGTCGTCAACTGCTCGGACGCAGAAGACGAAGAAGGCGGATGGGAGGGGTGGGATGGGCTGGCTTCGCGCGGTTGGGGGGTGCACCTGAGATAGACACGGACGTAGGCCGGTCCCGCCTGCCTGTATCGATCGCGTGCGATCACCATCGGAAATACAGTACTACCCCCTGTTCAAGGTGTGTGAATAAGCGGCCAGGGAGGGCGACGACGCCCGATACGTTCCGGAGGGTCCAAATTTCGAGACTGCCGTCAGCTCCAATATCTTTCTCTGACCATGTTGTGGGCCTACGCGTAGCATTGTTGACGGCAACGCAACGGCTCTCCCGCGTGTGTATCCGAAAGAGCATCCTGCCGACGCCTTGGGTGCTGCTCTCTCTCTCTCAATCTGGTCTTTTGAGACGACCTCGTTGCTTGGACACGATTCAAGTCATCCCTCTCTGGCCTGTGCCACCGCGTCGCCAAAACTTTGACCTCAATGGCAGTAAGAGGAGAACTCCCCATTTTACGAAGTTCCCGGGAAGCTCACCCTACATCAACAGAGTCGCCCAATACTAACGTGCGCGGGTCAAACCAGCACAACCTTGTCCAAGGCGTCGGGGTCCCGAACGTCGGTCTGCGGGACCATGGCCGACAGACCTCGTGGGTTATGTTGCCCACACAGAGATCGTGGGTGATCGGATTCTAGAGAGGGCTGCAAGATCACTCTGCAGCAGCGACCCTTACAAAAACAACTACAACTATGATTCGACTGTATAACGCTTTGAGAGTGTCACAATCAGATCGACGACAACGGTGCGGGACACCTATCCACCCGTCGTAGCTCGATGTGACGTCGACCAACGGACTCGTGGATACTGTCAAGTTCTTTGGCGACGACAACTAGGCTGGCCCAAGTAGCGTCCATTCGGTATCTCTAAGTCTTCCGAATTTAGGTGCGTCTGTTTGGTTGCGGTCCACCATTTATTGCTGCTCACAATCAATGTTCAACTAAATAAGGGGGTTCCCCCCCCCCACCCCCCCCCCCCCCCCCCCCCCCCCCCCCTCACGCGCCATTTGGCCTCTGACAACACGGTGATTTCCACATGCGCATCCATGGCCATCGACCACATCCTCTCCATTTGATCGGAGACCATGGTAACGTAAGGTTCTCCAGCCTCGCTTTCGGTGAGATTCGTCTACCACTTTTACGTAGGTTCAGCGCTTTGGACGTCACTGGGTTTGCGCCTAACTTGATCGACATGCTCAAGGCCAGTACGAGTCTAGAGAAAGTGGCCGAAAACGACTTCCACATCCAATGTAAGGGTCGTGCCTCATGTTCACTGCGAGCAACCTGATAAGCGTGCTCGTAGGTGTCACGTACGCGGCTCGTTTTGACTGCATGGTATACCGTCGTCAGTGGGTGTGTAAGCGTATTGCAGCGCCTCGTCCCGATTCTCGGCATAGCGTCCAAGAACTCAATGAATCCACTGTTCAATCAGTAATGTTTGTCAACGTGTCAGCTTTTATTAGGTGCGTAGAGCTGTACAGTGTCATTTCGATATACGATGCATACGAATTTCAGATTCATCTGCCCCGCAAAAGCAGATGCAATAGCATGTCTGAACAGACGCTATTCGTTCCATCCAATGTTATCATCCAACAGGATATCAATTGTGCGTCGTCTACCCTTCATGTCCGACGAATTCTGGCATATACCTGTCCAAATTTTTGCCCAGATGCTGGATTAGCATTTTGGCGCCATGCCAATCGACAATCGCTCTCTCTTGTCACCCTTGCACAACGAGTTCACCTGACAACAAAAAAGCAGCGTGCCTGCACTCGTGAAACTCCTCAAAGCCTCCCTCGTTCGCGATTCCAACCAGATGGTCGCAACTGGTTAAGTCGCGAGTGTACTCGCCGTTATGCAGCAGTGCCTCATCTGATCACGAAACAATGATGCCTAGGGATTTGAGCTGTTACAGGCCGATTTTCGCACTGTTCGCTCGTAAGTCTCATCCCCCCCCCCTTCTATGCCGACTAACCATCATCGTCTAAATGACGTTTGAGATCTGACCTAGAGCAGTACATTCAGCTGATCTCGATCACTCTTCTTACACGTCTGCAGACCAGCAAGGCAGACATCGATGTGTATTATGTCGTATATTTAATGCACACAATGGCCACTCAGGTCGAGGGGCTCGCCTTGTGGGATACGTCGGCAGTTTGTGGACTCACGCAGCTCGCTCGCGCCAATCAAAGCAGCGAAGACCATAATTCAGTCCCAGGGGTCTTTCGTTTAAGACATGGTGATGGTCTCGTAGTCCGCTCTAGGAAGACGTGAAATGCACTGTGTGATGTATTAGAGAACGTGTTGAAACTGGTCTTCGACACGGACACGCAATATGTCCACTTTAATTTTATTACAACCTCCGATTTCGAGTCGAAGATGATACTCCTTTTAAACCTATACGTACACGATAATCAAACGAAGTGCATTGGATCAAAAAGAAGGATGCCTGGGTCACCACCTAATACACCTCGATGGCCCTAGTAGCTGCTTGTAGCGCGTCCGCATATTTCTGGAATTCAGGCTGTGAGCAGGCAAGGACGCGCTGGAACATCATCTTGAATATATCTTCCAAGTCGCCGATGACGGGATACTGGGCCTTGCTGTGCCCACGCACATTCAGGCACCACCGTTCCACCTCCTTTGCGTTATCCTCTGCATAACCATCCCACTTACAACCGTCGATATCAGCTTTCCTGAACGTCAATTCGCAACGAGGACCAGTGGCAAGATGAAATGCGCTTGTGGTGGCCAAATCGAGGAAGAGAGCGACGTGCTTGGGTTTGAAGTGCGCACCGTCCTCACGAACGATAAAAGGGCAGGTCAGGCCATTAGCGGCTGATTTCTCGGCTGCTGTCGATTGAACTTTGATCTGGTAAGGAATCATGATGAAGTTGGATAAATTGAGGCGCCGCTTAATATCTCCCTTATAGCCCACTAAAAACCCGTCCATCACTGGCTGGCTAAACTTGCACTGCACCGCGCAAGTGCGGGTCCAAAGATCACGTAGGAAGTCAGGCTTGAGCTTGCTAATGTTGGTGTCGACTTCAATAAAATGAGTAAAGTTGAGCCAAACATCGCTGGCCCAGCTTATGAGGTTGTTGCGATGCTGCCGTTGGGCCTTTTCGTTGCCCAGACCAAGATTGTCCCCGAGCAAGGTAATTAAAAATTGGTCGAGTCTGACAGGTGGGATCGCGAGAGCCCGTCGGCTCTCAATCATTGGCACGAATTCGCCCCCTCTGGGCAAGGTCGCTTTGTCGCGTGTGAGTATCAGGAGAAGTCGACCACATAACTCCCCCTGAAGACCTCGATCAAGCACGACTCCGTTGATGATAAGCTTCTCGAGCAAGGTCTTCATCGCGATGTTGTAGGTGTCACTTGCTTGATTCAACACCTGTGTGGCAGCAATAGCAAGGAGCGGTTCCGAAGGCGCTTTGGTGACAACAATACCGCCGACGACGCCCATCAGAATTCGCATGTGTCGAGCCACGGCGACCACGGCTACCCGACTCGCAGCGGCGCTTTCGCCAACTTCGAGCAAAACTCGATTGGCAAAGGCAGCAAGAACGTGGTCTTGGTCGGTGGCGTCGAATGAAGGGCCACGGAAAAGCTTTATTATAGCCAATCGTACCAGATCCATGTGCGTTTCGCTTGTGGCCCAAAGCTAGTCAAGTGCCCATCAAGACATAATCAAGCATCATTTCAAACGGGCACTTACCGGTCGGCCAAACTGCTTGAGGTTTTTCAATGACAGCGCGTCTTCAGGTTTCTTTATTTGCACGTCCATCTTGAACTGGTCCAATCCAAGGTAGACCCAGACAGGCAAAGGTTTGAGTGCATCTCTCAACCTAAAGGACGAAGCAATATCTCCGGTCCCTGCTAGGAGTGGCACAGACGAATTCGTATTGAGAAGAAGGTGCCAGAATACTACTCCATGAGTATCTTCGTAATAGTCGGTAACCTTGATGATGCGTTCCAAAGCGATCAATGACATGTGTGCACCGGGAGGGCGAGGAGTTTTCATCGTGTCCTTGCCCATATTGAGGAGGGTGCACTCATCGAAAGCGAAGACAAACCGATCGTAACTCAGCGTTTTGAGCTTCTGGGCTAGATCCATAAACCTTGCCTTGACGAGAAGGAGAAAGACTTCATGATGCCACGTAATGATGCCTTCAAACTCCTCATCTGCCGGGGTTTCCGATTGAAAGCCTTTGGTTCGAATGTGTTCGAGCTCGGCTGTGTTGTCTGCAAGCATCTGTTCTGCGCGCTGGACGACATCGATGAAAAGCTCTTGACGCTGTTCTGCCGGAAATTGCACCTGCCATGCTATCATAGCCTCCTTGGGTGAGGCCGATTGGCCGATCGTATCCTTCACAACCTCCAACAGTGCCCCATAGAAGGCTGCAGCCAGTTCCTCACCCTAGCCGAACATTAAAGATGCATACTCGTAAGATGAGTTTCCGGGCTCACTCTGAACTGGGGGGCGCGGTTTTTTGCGAAGAATTCGTAGACGCCATGATCGCGAGGGGGCCAGCCTTGTGTCACCTCCTCGCTGCCTCGAAAGCAAACACTCAGAGTTGGGATCTGTTGGATGATTTGAATATCAAAACGAGGGTCGATTTTTGAAGAAAGCGTACAAACGCGACTGCCTAATTCTTCAACCAAGCGTGATTTCCCGGTGCCACTAGACTGCAGGATACTGATTATTTTGCCGTAGTGAATATCGCGCTTGTAGATGGATTTATACTCCTCAAGGGCCTCAAAGAAATCGTTGACTGCCTCGCCCCGGTATTTTTCATGGAAAGCCCTGTCTAGCCTCTTTTCCTTCTCGTAGCTGTTGTAGAAGAAAAGGCTGATCAGTATGGAAACGAACAGGGGAAGAAATACTGCCAACTCACGGAGTATCCGGTGGCAAATCTTCATTGATAACTCCACATCGAGCACGTCAAACGATACGTAGAGCATGTAGAGCATGAGCGACGTACTGCAAGCGTCCAAAAGAAATTCGCCAGCATGATCGCAATCGAGAATGAGCTCGGTAAGATCGTAGTCGGACTTCAACGGTAGAGGAGAGTTCGTATCGCCTTGACGGAAGAGAGCATTCAAGAGAGCCGCCGGGAGTTTACCCTGAGGTAGACTCGCAAGCCTTTTCATAGCATCTTGTGCAAAGGACCGGGGGTGTTCCAGAACCTGATCGGGTTGACGAGAGCGTATGGATTGAATGATTTTTTTCAGATAGAGATAGAGTGTTAGGATCAATTGGACGTGGAATTCATGTACATTAGATTCGTCGAGGGTCGTGAACCAGTGGATGACCTGTTCTTGGACATTGGAGGTAGTGGTACTAAGATTCATTTCTAAAACCCTTGCCCGTCTTGCATTCGAATGCGTGAGGTGAGAGTTTGAAGTTGCACAACTCCTCTTTGGGCCCTTACGCCTACCATCTCGTGTTTTCCCACACCTCCCACCACCCTCCTCTGCGCCTTACAGATGCTCTACACACTTATTATGCCCCCTACTGGTTCTCAGCCGACAGGGGGAAAGGCCCCGGGTGGATCAATACCGAAACCACTAGGGAAAACTCAACCCACAACCTCGTTACCGCCAGAAGCCACTTCCTCCCCAGCCGTGGCGATCACAACACTATTTTTTAATTTTGATTTTAATAAGCAAATCATTTATATCCCGCACGGCGCAAGGTCAGTGGCAGCAGTTTTACAGCCAGATTCATAACGATAGGCCAAGCTTCGGAAAAAAGGACCCAGTCGGAGCATTAAATTTGAGATCTAGACAGCGTACGACTGGGGAGAGGAGTGAGGACAACAAGCGGAGAAATCGGCATCTACCTTACATGGCCAAAATATTTCAGCGCTGACACCATTTGCTAAGCATGCTCTCTTTTTGTCAAGGCGCATCATTATGAATCTGGCTGTAAGGAGGCGGTCGACGACATCATGACCAGGCAGGAGGTGCTCGTGCGGCAGATTTCCCTGTTCAGGTTCACAAAGAGGTGCTTCGAGCAGGTCATCCTGCGCTGGGAGATGAACACTGCGCCCGAGCCCCAAAAAGAGGTTCAGCCGCCCCCACCACAGAAAGACTTCTCTTGCGCTCTCCAGTTCGTGCTCACGCTCACACTGACGCACAGACGTGCGCACAGCCTCAGCCAGCCGCTCGAGCTCCGCCGCCAGGGGGCCGAGGAGGAGTCGTACTTCAACATGGATGACGACGACGACGACGATGACGGCTCGCTGCCGCTCCCTAGCACGCCGCTGCTCACGCGTCACTAGTCCGCGGACCAGAACCGTAAGCGCCAGCGCGTGCCCGGCGTACCGATGCCCCCCGCTCCGCATGCCAAGCATCCACCTCCCACATGCGCCGCTCAGCGGCAGCCTCATCGACCACCACGACTCCTCCTTGCGCGAGCTTACGCTCGACCTCAGCCTCAACCTCGACCGCCGCATCGTGCCTCTCGGCCCTCACGGCGGCGACACGGAGGCGGGCGCGGACGCCGCGCACACCGTCGCGCCCATGCTGACCCCTACGCGCCTCCGACGCTGCGCCTCTCTCATCGACTGATCGTGGGCGCACGCCCAACGCCGACGATGCCGGCAGTGGCGGCGGTGATGAGCAGCCGAACACGGGCGGTGGCGGTGACGGTGGCGGGAGGTTCATACCGCTATCACATGTACGCGCATCCCCTCGTTCTCTCTCCCTCGTCCAGCGTCACTGTTGAGGCCCCGCCGTTCCTAAACCGTGCACACACCGTCTCCGTCCCTCCACGCCCCCCGCTTCCATCGCAATTGCACTCCTCGCCCGCGCACAAAGCATCATGAATATTACTGCGCGTTGACGAGGAGGCCGTGGAGCCGCTGGCAGCGGAGAGACGAACTAGGAAGAAGGAGGCCGAGTGTTACCAAGGTTAGTAACTCCTGCTCTCCTCCTTTCCGTCTGCCCCTTGCCCACCACCGAGTGCCCTCTACCCCCTTGAACCCTTGAGCTCACGCACCCGTCTTCGCTTGCCACCCACATTCGTTTACGCATGACTCCTCCAGCTCACGCACGCACGCCCGACTTCTCGTCAACTCCTCCGCCCGCCTCTCCCTCATCCTGCATCATTGCCGACACCGCCCACGCGCTCGACCCCGCATCCTCACATCCTCGTCTTACCTTGTCCTCTTGACGATGCGACCCCTCAGTCCCCACACACACTCGACCCCGCACACGCTCGACCCTGCACACGCTTAATCCCCCATTTGTCGGCCATCCCGCGCTCGTGGCTGAGGAAGTCGAAGAGGAAAGGCGGCGGCGGCGGAGGATGAGGAGGGCTGGGAGCTCAGATGGGCATAGACGATGAGAACGTCGTGATGGATGCAGGTGCACGCATGCCGGAATGGGCGGTTCGCGAGTGTTGCAGGGGCGACGCTTGTCTCCTCGACACTACTCCTGCCCTCCTACTCGTCCTTTCAAAACCCTCGACCTTCACTCCCTCAAATCCCCAACTGTCGACTGCCCGCGGATCGCACCCAGACCCTACCTCGAGGATAAGGAACGACTGCAGCGGAGAGACACACTGGGAAGAGGGTTGAAACGGACAACGAGGACATCCACAATGGATGCAAACTCGTTGAGCAGGCCGGTACGTCGCCGTCTTTCGCGCCAGTTTATCCCTCTCCCGGACATCCGTATCCCCCACCCTCATCTTGTCTATCTGCTATGCCCACTCACCTGTTCTCCGCCACCCCCGCCAGCCTGCTCGATGCGCTCCGACACCACACCCTCGTTCTCCTTGACGACCATACACACAACCCCTTCGACACTCGACCTTCTTTCCCTCATGCCACACATCCGGTACCTAGCCCCAAGATTCGACCTCCTTCAACCTCAACGGCACACACGCATGCACGCTCCCTCGATCCCTCGATGGTCCGCACCACTGCCACCCTGCGTCCTCGAGCCCATCAAGCATCAAACTCTCCCTTGAGCCCATGCGTCCTCTCGACGCCAAGCGAGCACCACCGAGATTCCGACGTCCCTCTGTCGTCGTTGTTGCTCCACTGCGCCCGAGTTTCGGTCACACTTACACTCCGCGTTCGAGCACGGAGGATCGCGAACATCATGCTACTCGTACTTGAGCGCGTCGACGAGGAGGGTGAGGAGCAGCTGGTGGTGGGGAGATGAGCTATCTACTTTATAGTTGTACGTCACCAAGTTGTACAACCAAAACTATGCGTAGCTGCTGCAGGAGCAGTGCGTGCTGGCGCTGCACGAGCGGCGGCGGCGGCGAGCAGGATGCGACCTGTGCGAGGGCGTGCACTTGTCGATGGTCATCGAGTCCTTCTCCTTGACAGCCGACAGAGTCCCCAGCCCGTTGTCGTCGTCCTCAGCTTGCAGTTGAGCATGTTGAACATCGAATCATCGAGAATGCGCACGATGACGACATCCTGGAAGAACTGCAGCCAAGAGGTGTGGTGCACCTTCTTCTGCATGCTCGCGCCGTGCAGCGCGATCTGCTCCTGGAAGCTGGCGGACTTGTGCAAAAAGTGGCAGTAGTTTGCATTGTGCGTCGGAAACTCGGGGTCATCTGTCTCAATATGTCAGGAAATTCCGAGGACAATATGATTGGATGGTCGCAGGCACATGCATGCCGTCGGCGCTGCTAAAGAGGGAGGCGAGGCCTGAGGTCGCAAACAGATGAGGACAGGTGTGAGGGGCGGATGAGCAGACATGAGGATAGGAGGGGAGAGAAGGGAGGAAACTAACTGGATCCAGTCTGGTAGATGCGCTGTGCTTCGAGGATGAAAGGCTGCCATACCTCGGCGCCCTCGAAGATAAGGGCGCGTCGATGCCGTCGGGCTTAGTCTAGACGGAGAGCGTGTCTACAGCAGGTGTCAGTGTCTGGAGGAGGATGGAAGGAAGAAAAGGACAAGCAGGAAGCGCAAAAGTGCGAGAAGGAGAGAACACGACGCACCCTGCTACCGCTAAGAGACGTCGATAGAACGGATGCTAGTCTGGGTGATGACCTGACTATGTGCAGGCGATGAGGAGGGCCTCCTAGATGGAGTCGTCGTAGTGGCCAAAGCAGAATGCGGTGCTTGGGTGATCCAGTGCGAGTTGAAGAGCTCGTAGATCTATCGGCGTGGGCGCGAGGGTGCATATTCACAACCGCGTGACGGCAAAGAATTATTAAAGAAGTCTTAGGATCATGTCTAATTGAAGGATACCTGTGTTGGAACCAGCCGATGTGTCGGTGGAGCACGCTAGAGGCGGAAAGAATACTTGAGGACGAGTGCAGATAGAAGAGTAACTGTCAACGGCTGTCGATCAGTGCCCCCGACCATCCCATCTTCAATGACGAGGATCTGCTTGTGGTTGATTGGGTAGTCCCTCGTCGTGCGTCGGGCACAAGCCCCCAATGGACTCGGAGTACGCCATCACAAGGCAGGTTGTGTGCGCAAGCGGGTGGCTGAACGGCTCGAAGTCGGGCGCGGGCTGGGGCACGACATTATTCAGGAGGAACAGACGGGGGTTATCCATGAAACCGTGCGGGTCATTGAACAAAGTCGAGCTCCGCAACGTGCTGTGTCGCTTCCTTCCTTGTTAATTGCATTCGTCTCTCGTCTATGAAAACGTCATCTTCCTTTCGGCTCCCGCTTTGCTCCCCGTGCTGCCATTGCGACCCGCCTCGCACTCGCTCCTTGCGGTGCTTCTGGTAGTAGTGAATGAGGCCGGTCGTCTGCACACGACAGTTGTCAATTTGCAGCAAACGGGAAGGCCCGACAGCGAATGCAGCGCTGCAAAGAAAATCATGTACCATACCGAGCTATTGTGACCCTTAGTAGTATTACCGACACTTTTGAGTCCACCGATATCCGAAACTACTGTGTTGCCAATTAAATGTAAATATAAATATGAAAAAATCCTTTCTGTAAACCTCATACCCTGCTTCAACTTTGAGGCCCAGAAGCAGTGAGATTGAATCAGGGGTTCAATAGATATGGATTTAAACAGTCTACCCCCTAAAACCAGACTGTGTGAAGCACAGTCTGGGTTTTGGGAACCAAATCCGAGGTTGCACACAATTCTGTCTGATTCAATAGGCTTAAAATGTATTTTTAATGGTAACCTAATATTTTCATTAGTAGACATGGAGTACTGAAGATGTTACAGGCAAAATACAGAATTGAGGGAAAACCTCAAAAAACCGAGTCTCCAGTCCACAATTGTCCTTTGATTTCCATTGCAAACCCAATAAAATGCTCCTACATACACTACCTTTCAAATCATCCCCTAATTTTATTATTTGGATAAGGGGATCAAGAGATATGTAATTGTTTGTGATGTTGAGGGTATTCTGCAACCCGGAGACACAGTTTAGTCAGCATTGGGAAAGGGCGGCACACAGTCGGGAGATTGCGGGCGCACAGTCGTCACACTGTTGTCACACCACGCACAGTCTCTCTGTTGCGCCACACAGTCCGGCCGAGACCGCACACAGTCCGGATTTTGGCGTTAGTTCAGCGCCACACAGTCCGGATTCTCGGTGACAGTCCGAGATTTGGCAGTGAATCTGCGCCACACAGTCCGGCCGTGCCGCACACAGTCCGACTAGTAGTATTACCGACACTTTTGAGTCCACCGATATCCGAAACTACTGTGTTGCCAATTAAATGCAACTATAAATACAAAAAAAATATTTTCTGTGATCTTCATACCTAGTAGTATTACCGACACTTTTGAGTCCACCGATATCCGAAACTACTGTGTTGCCAATTAAATGCAACTATAAATACAAAAAAATAATTTCTGTGTTCTTCATACCCTGCTTCAACTTTGAGACCCAGAAGCAGTGAGATTGAATCAGGGGTTCAATAGATATGGATTTAAACAGTCTACCCCCTAAAACCAGACTGTGTGAAGCACAGTCTGGGTTTTGGGAACCAAATCCGAAGTTGCACACACTTCTGTCTGATTCAATAGGCTTAAAATGTATTTGTCATGGTACCCTAATATTTTCATTAGTAGACATGGAGTACTGAAGATGTTATAGGCAGAATACAGAATTGAGGGAAAACCTCAAAAAACCGAGTCTTCAGTCCACAATTTTCCTTTTATTTCCATTGCAAAACTAATAAAATGCTCCTACATACACTACCTTTCAGATTATACCCTAATTTTATTATTTGGATGAGGGGATCCAGAGATATGTAATTGTTTGTGATGTTGAGGGTATTCTGCAACCCGGAGACACAGTTTAGTCAGCATCGGGAAAGGGCGGCACACAGTCGGGAGATTGCGGGCGCACAGTTGTCACACTGTTGTCACTCCACGCACAGTCTCTCTGCTGCGCCACACAGTCCGGCCGAGACCGCACACAGTCCGGATTTTGGCGCTGGTTCAGCGCCACACAGTCCGGATTCTCGGTGACAGTCCGAGATTTGGCGGTGAATCTGCGCCACACAGTCCGGCCGTGCCGCACACAGTCCGATGATTGTCGCGCCACACAGTCCGACTGTGTCGGCACACAGTCCGACTGTGTCGGAACACAGTCCAACTGTGTCGGACACAGTCGGAGTTTTCCCTCCGACTGTGTCGGCACACAGTGCCCTCCAACGTCTCGTGATCAAGCACGCCGCCACGTCGCGTCGCGTCGATCCTCCCCGCACATTTGAACATCGAGCACAACACGCTTCCTCGGCCGAGGTCTCTTTGCTCTCTCAGGACATTTTGGATTTCATTAGTGAGCTTTTTCTTCTTCTGAACCCTTCCTCTGCATGCTCTCGACGACGCCAGCAGACAACAGATGCTCAGAGAAAGTGCGCACTGCTGATAGCGTTTTTTCTTACAGTTTGCAGCTGCAATACTCCGGGCACCCACTCCACGCTCTTTCCACACCCTCTTCCATCTCCACGGCTTTCTCTTTTCTCATCAACATCCACGACATCCGTGTCAGTGCCATTCTCTTTAAACGACTGCTCTGCGCCCATCCTGTCTCACGGCGCATGGAGCAAAGCGACTATCTTATCACGCGAGGTTGAGCACGTTGAAGAGAAGAACAAGGAGCAGATGGTGATAGAGGCAGAGGAGGGACAGCGGCTGTCGAGAGACGAGGGTGGAGCGACGGGACAATGGTGACGGACACACGCTCATCGAGCAGGCAGAGCGGTACGACGGTATGTACCTCCTGTTATCGCCCTTTCCGCCTGCCCCTCCCTCGACATCCACGCCTCGAACCCCCACGCATTCGTCTTCTCAGCCCCCTGGCTCCTCCTCGCATGTGTGGACCGACTACTCCTCTCATCCGCCCGCCCCTCCCTCGACTTGCGTACCCTCGACTGTTCGCACTCCCGCCCTCGATGCCACGCACTCCCGCCACCCAGTGCGCTCGACCGCCACCTGTTGCACCACGACAAGAGGCCCAAATTCGCCTCTCGCGCGCTCCCACACCTCCGCGCTCATACCCTTCGCCTTCCCAGTCCTCCACCACGCTTAGCCCTGTGGACCATCCCACTTCTCCATCCACCCACGACTCGCTTGAAACAATGCCGGATCAGCTCAATGTCGACACTTGGTTGCAGGACAAAGCAGGACGAGAATTGGCGGCGCGCTGTCCAGGGCGCCCAGTCGCTCCACGCGGCGTAAAAGTGCCGGTGGACAAGTCATGTTGCAGAAACGGCCGCGTGCTGTCTGCGGCAGCCAGGCTCCCCACAGCCCTAGTAGTATTACCGACACTTTTGAGTCCACCGATATCCGAAACTACTGTGTTGCCAATTAAATGTAAATATAAATATGAAAAAATCCTTTCTGTAATTTTCATACCCTGCTTCAACTTTGAGGCCCAGAAGCAGTGAGATTGAACCAGGGGTTCAATAGATATGGATTTAAACAGTCTACTCTCTAAAACCAGACTGTGCTTCACACAGTCTGGGTTTTGGGAACCAGATCCGAAGTTGCACACAATTTTGTCTGATTCAATAGGCTTAAAATGTATTTTTCATGGTACCCTAATATTTTCATTAGTAGACATGGAGTACTGAAGATGTTACAGACAAAATACAGAATTGAAGGAAAATTTCAAAAAACCGAGTCTCCAGTCCACAATTGTCCTTTGATTTCCATTGCACAACTAATAAAATGCCCACACATACACTACCTTTCAAATTATGCCCTAATTTTAGCATTTGGATGAGGGGATCCAGAGATATGTAATTGTTTGTGATGTTGAGGGTATTCTGCAACCCGGAAACACAGTTTAGTCAGCATCGGGAAAGGGCGGCACACAGTCGGGAGATTGCGGGTGCACAGTCGTCACACTGTTGTCACACTGTGCACAGTCTCTCTGTTGCGCCACACAGTCCGGCCGAGACCGCACACAGTCCGGATTTTGGCGCTAGTTTAGCGCCACACAGTCCGGATTCTCGGTGACAGTCCGAGATTTGGCGGTGAATCTGCGCCACACAGTCCGGCCGTGCCGCACACAGTCCGTTGATTGTCGCGCCACACAGTCCGACTGTGTCGGCACACAGTCCGACTGTGTCGGACACAGTCGGAGTTTTACTTCCGACTGTGTCGGCACACAGTGCCCTCCAACATCTCGTGAGAAGGACGAGCGTCATGAAGGTACGTCGTCGTCTCTCCTTGCGCCAGTCTTCCCCTGCACACCTGTCCCTCCGCTCGACCCACGCATGGTCGTCCTTTCGACTCCATATACGCCTGCCACCCAGGACCCCCACCCTCGACCCCTCGACCCCTTCCACTGTCGACATCATCGATCCTCCTGTCCTTGCACATTCATTTCTTCCCCTCCTCACATATATTTCACATTTTCAGTCATTCTGCCCGCCCTCTCTCGTTCTGCGTTATTATAGAGACCCCATGCGCACTCGACCTCTCGCCTATTTGCCTGCTCGAAGTGCTCTGATGCTACGCCCTTGTTTTGTCGTCCCCGCCGGCTCCCCTCTTGCTCCCCAGATCAATTCCCACGCTCATGCCAAAGGAATTGCGATATCCGCAGGGAAGCGAGCGCATTCCAGTCCGTGTGCGCCGCGCCGCACTCTGCCTCAAGCGGAAGCTGCAAAGACGCGGTGCGCATCGCGTTCCAGAAGGTATGCGCGCGCACCACCCTCTCCCCCACACCCACCCTGCACTTCTTCGTGCGGTCCTGCAAGCTCAGCTGTACAGCGTCATATAGACTCATCCTCCAGCCCCTCTATCTCTCCCCACGTCTCTACCCCTCCCACTGCCCTTGCCTGCGCGCGTCGGTGATGCTTGGCATCAAACAATCCACAGCGGACGAGTTGCGCAAGATGCACGGCTCGCGCACGCGGTCGAGAAGCTCGATGTTGAGGGTTCCGCAGTGGACAAGTCTAGCAAAGTGCAAAAACGGCCGTGTGTAGTCTGCGGCAGCCTGGCTCGCCACCAAGCCCAAATTCGCCGAAGGTTAATTTGGGCTTGGTGGCGAGCCAGCTGCCGCAGACTACACACGGCCGCCGGCTTCGCCGGCAACACACCTGCCCTTAGCACGTTCTGCAACATCACAAATGGCTCCGAGCATGCATTGGGAAAACAGAACGCAAGTGAGTGCTGGACATGTTCGAGCGCCACGAGAAGTACATCCCGCACATGCACACAGCACACCTTGTCTATCAGGAACGTCACCGCACTGCGACGCAGCGTCAAGTGGGAGCAGCTAGGCTGGCCTGAGGTAGATTGGTCGCTGAAGAAGTGAGGGATCGTTATTGTTTGCACAGTGAGTCTCCATTATGTTGACATTGAGTTTGAGTATGGGTGGGACATGGCGACACGCTCCAACCGCCTTCTGTAGCACCCTGACACACACGGTATGAGAGGATCTGACATACTCTCCCACTCGTACTATCAGCAACTGATTTCACATGCTTTGTGCGCATATATACGCGCTCCCACTCTTAGCTATTTTTCAAGTACCCCTTCTACCTGTAGTTAGATTTTTTTTTCTCTCTCTGTATGTATATCACGACCCTGCAAACCATCTCTTCCTCTCCTAAAGAAGAGGCTATGTCTTTACACCATGGCCCCATTCACCCACACGACGTGTGGGCGAAAGTTGTGGAGAGAGCGTCGATCTGCGCTGACCTGCGCTGACCCGACCGTGATCGCCAGCTCTCGACTCGACCAGGTCCAGCTTCTCACAGACAACATGTCTCCCCGCTGCCCACGCAACAATGGATTGCGAAACCGGGACAAGCATCAATCTGACTAGTCTTGTGAGCACATTTCTAACCTACTCTTCGATGCCCTCTCTTCCACACACTCAACTTTGCGAACGGGACGATGGGCCTCCGCCGATGCCCTGAGAAAGCAAGCATCGCCGAAGGCGTGTACTGACGTTTATTTTTATTTTTATTTACTTTTACTGTCTGCAGATCCTAATCCGTCCCATCCCTGCCTCGTCCTCTAACCTCGTCCACACCTACGCCCACGCTCGCCACCGTCTCTTTTCCCGGTGCCATCCACGATCTCCGCCGCTGAGGCGTCCTGCTCCACCGACGCCCCTCCCCGCTCACGCTGCCCGATGACGGGCCAAGCATCGCGACCGTCCGAGCGCCAAAGACCACGACGATAACTATGATAACAACAACACTAAGGTAGGGCGGAGGCGGAAGGACAGGCTTGGAAGCGAGAAGGGACGGAGGACGAGGATATCCATGAGGTATGTCGCCTCTCTTCGTACCAGCCCCTCCCTGCACACGCATCCCTCTCGCTCTCATCGTGTCTGTCCGCTCCTCCTTCGACACCACGCCCGCTCTCCCGCTCTCCCGCTCCACTCGGTCGACGCCATGCCCGCTCATCCGTATCGCGCTCTTCCCGATCAATCCTCTCGATCCTCTCGACTCTCCGTACGCTTGCTTACTCGAAGCCCTACCCGCTCTCCCGCTCAATTGGCGCACCCCTCTCAAAGCTACGCCAGCTGGAGCACCTTCAACCTTATGATCCTACACGCTCCCGCCGTCGACAGAATGTACGCCCGATTGATTCTACGCCCGCTCTCCCGCTCTCCTCCCTCGACGCCATGCCCACCAACACCCACGACATCCCCTCCATCGCCGTCACAGGCTCCACAGAATACCTCCACCTCTTCACCCCCAACGACGACCAGCACAAAATCCCCCTCGACGATCTCGTTCTCAGGCCCCTCCTGTCCAGCCAAACCGCACGCGCTCACCCTCCGAGCCCGGCTTTCTCTCTCTCCCAAAACCCATCCTCAGGACAGCAAGAAACTCCCTCGAGGCCCCGTCCTCGCCCTCGCCGTCCTCCCCATTGTCTGAGCGATCAGACCGCTCAGACCCGCCCCTCCTCAACGTCCCGCCCTCCCCTATCCTTTCTGCACACTCCGGCACCTACGTCCACTGGGCGACCTCCACCCAGCCCCGCAAAAACCGCCAGACGAACACGACCGCATCTCGTCCCTCGGCCTCATTTCGCCCTCTGCCTCCGGCCACCGCCGCAAGGGCAGCAACGCCACTTTCACAAGCTCCATCAGTGGCAGCGAGACAGAGACCGACCACACCGGCGAATCCTCCAACATCGCTCTCAGCCCCCTCCTCACCGCTCGCTCTGATGCCAGCACGCTCGCGTCCCCGACACACACACACGTTGACTCGGCCTCCGACAGCGGCTCCCGCCCCGGCTCGCGCTCCAGCTTTGTCGAAAAGTTTCACTGCCTTCGCCCCACGTCGCGCTCCCCGGAAGGCTCTGACAGCATCGATACTGACGCATCCAACGCCCTCCCTCCTGCGCCCAAGCCCGAGAAGAAGGGAAAGGGGAAGAAGAAGCGCGAGGTCGAGCGCCTCGCCGCCATCGAGCTCGAGCAAAGTGCGAACAAGGATCCCGCACCGTTCGCCTTCAAGCCCTTCCAGCTCGCGAGCCACCTCGATCCAAAGAACATCGAGGCCCTCGAGGACCTGGGCGGTGTCGACGGTCTTTTGCGCGGCCTGGGGACTCACCAGACTCTCGGACTGGGTGCGGCAAACCTCGCGGCCAAGGCGGGCCCGCCCGATCACGCGTCGCAACCTGTGCAAGGCACTCGGAAGAGCAGGGACATTGAAGAAGGTTCAGAGGAGCAAGTCCCAAGCATCACCATCACAAAGCCCAGCGGGGAGATCAAGGGACTCCAGAGCACAGCCAGCTTGAGTGATGCTGCACAGTCCGCGTCAGGCAGTACGCCCGAAGCGTATGGGATGTTCGGAAACGCGTATACGGTGATAACGTGCTTCCTGGAAGGAAAAAGCAAGAGCTTACTGCTTTTGATGTGGCTGGTGCTGAGGACAAGGTCTTGGTGCGTATCTGATTGGCTATGCCTGTTTTGTCCGCGCGCCCACTCACATGGGGGTTGCCATCATCGGGCGCTTGTAGATCCTCTTGTCGGTCGCGGCGATCGTCTCGCTCGCGCTGGGCTGCTTCCAGGACTTCGGCACGCCGCGCGCCAGCGACGACTCCCCTGTGGACTGGGTCGAGGGCGTGGCCATCATCGTCGCGATCGTCATCGTCGTCTCGGTCGGGTCGGTCAACGATTAGCAGAAGGAACGGCAGTTTAAGACACTCAAAGAGAAGGAGGAGCGCGCGGTCAAGGTAATTCGTGGTGGCGTCGAGATGCTAGTGGACGTGCACGAGGTCGTCGTCGGCGATGTGGCGCTTCTTGAGCCTGGCGAGATCGTCCCCTGCGACGGCATCTTCCTGTCTGGGTATAATGTCTGGTGTGACAAGGTTGGTGCAACGGGCGAGTCGGACGCGATCAAGAAGCTCTCATATGAGGAGTGTATACGCATTCACGACGAGCGGCTGTTGGAAGATAGTCCCGCGGCGTCGGACGTTGAGCAAGCCGGTCATGAGGGTGCCGACGGAGACGTGAAACGTGAAGAAGGCGCGCCCGTCGGGGATGTATTTGCTAGGGCACACGGACCGCTTCATTATCACGGGAGCAAAGTGCTCGATGGCGTCGGCTCGTACGTCGTCATCGCCGTCGGCACGAAGAGTTTCAACGGTCGAATCATGATGGGTGCGTTTTCTTTTTCTCTACTTTGTTCATTCCTCTCATTGAGCCCGGAATTCAGCTTTATGGACGGACGCGGGAGACACCCCGCTCCAGCTCAACGACTTGGCAGAGGTCATTGCCAAGGTCGGCGCTCTCGCGGGCTTGCTCCTGTTCATGGCCTTGATGATTAGGTTCTTCGTCCAACTTGGCACCGGTGAATCCGTCCGGTGCGTTTTTGTGCGTTGATGGTGTTCCACGCACAGCTAATGGATGTTCCCTATCAAGTACTACGAACGAGGAAGGCATCGCATTTGTTCAGATTTTGATTATTGCTGTGATGCTCGTCGTCGTCGCTTTGCCTGAAGGTCTGTCCCTGGGATGATTATCAGGTGCATATATGCTGATCGGAATACGCCTTGCAGGTCTACCGCTTGCGGTCACGTTGGCACTTGCATTTGCGACGAAGCGAATGACACAGGAAAAGTTGCTCATGCGCATCCTCGGGTCCTGCGAAACGATGGCAAACGCATCTGTCATCTGCACGGACAAGACAGGTACCTTGACGCAAAACGAGATGACCATCGTCGCCGGCTCCGTCGGCGTTCACTCCAAGTTCGTGCGGCAATGTGAGGACAACAAGGCGCGCTCGAACGTCGATGACCTGAACACGTCGGACGACTGCAAGCGCGTGCAGGATTTCTCGCTCGATCAGGTGCAACTCAACAAGGTGCTCTCACCCGCGCTCAAGACGCTCTTCAACGACACGATCGCCGTAAACTCGACCGCGTTCGAGGACAGTGGTTCCTCTTGAAGGTACGTTCGCAGCCCTTTGTGCTCGCGATAGGTGCTCATGCGACGACATAGATTGTGTGGTTCATTTTTGGAGGGTAGTTAGTTGATTGGGGGCGCACGCCGCGAGCCACGTCTCGGCTGTGGTAACTGAGATCGGGCGCGTGGTGTCCATCCGCAGGGCGACCAAACAGGAGCTAGAGCAGTACACGCTCGCCCCGGCATCAGCATCGAACGAGTCCTCGCCCACCCTGTACTCGGTCGAGGAGGCAAAGCCGGCGGTGCCTGTGCAGCGCGCGAGCTCGTCGTCGGCCTCGAACAGGCGCGTGGACCGTCCAGAGGAGGCCCACTACCCGCTGCAGCCCAATCTGCTCAGCCAGCAGCCGCCCTACTCGGCCGAGTCGCCGTCGAGGCGTCTGCCATTCTCAGGGCGCTCGTCGGGCGATGGCCGCTTCCGCAAAGCGTTGTCGGAGCGCTCGAGCTCCGCGGGCCGCTCGCCGCCGCCGATTTTTGGTTAGATGCCCACGGGGAGCACAACGGGCGTGCTCAGCAACGACTCGGAGGTCGCGGAGGGCTCCGAGGACGCTTGGATGGAGCTCAAGGTAAAATTCGTATCGTGCGTCGTTCACCCCCGCACTCACGCTTTTTCGCAGCCCTACCTCAAGGCGCAGACCGGTTCGAGCGTCTACGCCATCCAGAGCGTTCTGTCCGGTGGCCGCTCCCTGACGCCTTCGCCGACGCTCAACGAGAACCTCACGCAGATCATCAAGATCGTGTACAGTATCGTCGCCGTCTGCCACAACAACCTCCCGCCCGCGTCGGCGCAGCGGGGGAACGACATCCTGCGCGAGCTCAGCGACTACACGAACAAGCTCAGTGAGGTCCAAGCCATGCGCGACACTCCCACGATGCAACCTCGGACAGGGTTGACTCCGCGTGGCGGCATTTTCGACGTCGAGCTCGGAAGCGTGTTCTCTGTCATTCCCATCCCTGTCCCCATCTCTATGCCCATGCTCATCTCTCCATCTGTCTTCTCGTCGTCCATCTGGAAGCCACGCTCGTTGTCGGCCTACCGCTGACTGCACACCTCGCAAGTCCAGTGCCGCTGTCGAACGACTGCTCCAACGCTAAGTTCTTTCGGCTGCTCAGCACGTCCGCGTCCTCGCAGTGATACGGCGAGTTGTCTCTGCCCGTGATCATGCCCCCGCCGCCGTCCTCCGCCCTTTTCCAGTCGCATAACCGACTGCGCAGTGCCTAGTGACAAGCTGGATGCTCGAGCGCGACGCAGACATCGCGCTCTGGATGAGCGGCTGCGTGCGCATGTGGATCCCGTGCAACTGCACTAGCAAACTCGCCTGATGTTCCACTAAATTTGCTGAGCACTCAGACTGTGGCTTAGTTCTCTTTGCGTTGCTAAGCAGGCATGAGAATTAGTGCGGACATTAACGATGTATACACGCGTCAGAATTCCAGGCTGTTCAACTCTAAGCGGTTCAGCCTTTAACGCTTTCCATGTCTGAGGAGCGTATTAATGCTATTGCCTCCTGGCTCGAATCTCTGCTGGAGCCCTCGCGCAAGCTCCACGCTCGACAGGTTGCCGCGCAAAGCACCATCTCCATGCTGAAGTCGAAGTTTTCCTCGCCTGAGTCGCTCGTCCAGACGTCCCAGACCGTGTCACCGCCAAGACCCTGTGCATGCTCGACGCCACTCTTGCCCGCCCTATCGTTCCGCCATGAGCCTCTCCACGCCTCGCCCCTCCCCGCCCCCGTCCCCCCTCAGTGCACGCACCCGCCTGCGCCTGCGATCCGAAGCCGCGTGCGTACGTTCCCTCGTCCCCTCGAGCCCACGCCCGTCGCATACTTAGTACCCTCGAATCTCTACACCGTTGATGTTGACATTCACGCTCCTGCCTTCGAGTCCATGTGCGCACGCGTGTCTTCCTCTCCACGTTACACACCTGCGCCGCTCAGTACCCTCCCGCTTATCGCCTCCAGCCCACGCTCGTGCGTCGCCTGGACCCTCCACGCTGCCCCGCTCTCGCCGCACTTGTGCTCAGCGCCCGCGCACAAATTATCGCGAAGAGAATGCCACGCACGCTTCAGTGCGTCGACGAGGAGGGTGAGGTAGTAGAGAGATGAGCTAGGAAGACAAAGGTAGAGCATTATCAAGGTCCGTACAACCCGCTCTTGTCCTTTCGGCCCGCCCTTTGCTCGCAGTCTCTGCGGCCTCCTCGATGCCATGCCCGCTCGCTCACTCGACCTCCTCGATAGTCAATCCCGCCTCTGATGCGTGCACATGCGACCCCTCAACGCCACGCACCCGCCTTCGCCTGCGATCCACATCCACCCGCACGCGTCCTGTCGATCCCACACCCGTCTCCTCTAGCACACACCCGCCCGCCGCCAAGTGCCTTTAACCCCCTCGACCACTTGGGCCCGCGCATTTATCTTCGCCTGCGACCAACATCTGCGTCCACACATCTCTTTCCAGCCCCTCATGCACGCACGACCTCTCGGCCCCTCCTCTTGTCGACCCTCATTCACTCCTCCATCGTCCTGCCTCATCGTCCTGCCTCATCGCCGAGGCCCCACACTCCACCCCGCGCACGCCCGACCTCTCTTTCGTCAACCATCCCGCCCTCGACCTAGTCTAACTCGCTGGCGGCAGAGCAAGAGCAAGAGGAAACAGCGGTAGCGGCAGAGAGATGGGCTAGGAAGAGGGGTGGGCATGGACGACGAGGATGTCCGTCCATGACGCATGCACACTCGCTGAGCAGGACGAGCGTCATGAAGGTGCGCCGTTGTCTCTCTTCCCACCAGTCCCTCCGCGCGAACATCCTGCTGGGACAGTGTCTCCACAGCTAGCTCCTTGATATCAGTCTACCGACAGCCCAGCTGCCCAACTACCTTAGCTTCTCCCCCACTACCTGCCCGGTCCATCATCACTGACCTCGACGACACTCCTAGTCTCGCACAGGTCACATCAGCTGTTCAAGCACGCAAGCTAGGAGCACATATCCGAAGTCCTGATCATATAGCCATTGGATTCGTCCGACAACGTACAATAAAATCACCTCATTGCATACATTTAGCGCGCTCGGGGCCTTCCACGTTCCCCAGTCCCCATGCGCGCCGCACCCGAGAGCAGACCTCCACGCCCGCCCCCCGTCCGCGACGGGCTCCTCCACGCACAAAATTGCCGCCCATGCGACCAGTGCCGGCGCCAAAATACGCCCACTCGCACTCACCATGCTCGCTACGACCCTGCCAGATCGCAGGGCTGCATCCTTGCCCTCAAGAATATCGTAACGACCGGCGGCGCCTTGCGGCTGCTGAACGCTGTCTACGACGTATCCGTGCTTCTCTCGGACGTGGTGAGCTCGGCGTGTTCGACAGCGAGCTCGGCGCACACCCACCATTGTCCGTGCGATGACCGGACTCCAGGCCATTTATAGATCCTCACCCACCCCGACCCGTTTCTCGCATCTCCTTGTCCTCTTCTACGACTCCCCGATGACGTTCCTAACGCACACCGCCGTCCGCGACGACGACGGCGCACCCTTGCTGCTGTATTATTAGCCTGCTGTCTCACGACCTGCTTTGATTTTCACCACTGACCTCCCCATGTCGTCTACTGTCGCCTCACAACTGACCTCGTCGTCTCTTACGACGACCTCTTCCCCGGCCTCTGGTACTTTTGATGCTACATTCGCAACGTTCACTCCTCCGGCTCCCTCCAGCGCTCTACCCGATCCTGGAAGTATAGGCGCAGGTGGTCAGACCGGCTCTGATTCAGGCTTTTCCTCCTCGCTTTACCGTGCGCCCTGAACCTCCCATCTCTTCGTTCGAGTGCACTGATCAAAGGACTCGCTTGTTTCAAAATTAGTCTACACCTTCCTGGGTATGCCTTCTACTCCTTCATGTCCGACCGACTGATGCTCACTCTCGTTCACAGCTACTCTTGTCCTGCTCCTCACCGTATCAGCCACCATCGTCTTCCGATCGACGCTCCTCCGCAGACGCCAGCGCACAGCTATCCTCGCGGCTATCGCTAATGGCACCTATGTCCCGCCTTCCCCGCCTTCACGCGCCAATCAGTCAGTCTTTGGCGAGAAGCCCAGGATGTACGAGGTCTTTCTGGACGAGGATAAGGCCCGCTCGCAGAAGTGGGCGTCCCTGGCAGTTTGTCTCTCAACAGTCTCCTATTCTGCCAGTCGTCTTATGTAGATTCATCATAGCCGACCTCTGCGACCTTGGTGGATCCTCCTCGTGGAACATCACTTTCAACAATCCAGTCGACCATCTCAAATATACCTGCCGAGACGAATCTATCGGGAGGGAGAATGAGGCGGTTCCTCAAGTTCACCATGCCCGGCTTCCTCCGATGGAGGCACTTGCGCCCATCCGAGGCCCATTCGTCTTCTATCGAGTCCATACAGCTTGAATTCCATCAGTCAACCCCATTTCAGCAATGCGCCGACGCGGGGCCAGTCCAGGTCGCTGTCCTTGTCGCCGTGCCCTCGGCCGCACGCCCGGGATCGCAATTCCACGTCCCTTCGCACCCACCTTCGCACCGATCTTTGCCCTCGTTCTCACGAGACAGAGCGCGTGGGACAACTAGAACATTATCGGTATCCTCAGACGACTCTCTCAAGCACGGCAAGTCCGTCGCTTCGCGCGCCGGACCGTTTGAGTGGGACAACGAGGTCCTAGTGGTAGAAATTGGGGTCGTCCATATTAGCGTAGAATCTCCGCTGAGCAAGCAGACTCACGAGCAGACATGACTTTATGAACGGACCAGCGTGTGTGTACGATGTGGCAGAATGCACGCAGCGTTCAATCGAATTGAATCGAGTCTGCTGACGATTTATAGCATGTCACTCGGCATGATCGGGAGTATGCCCTTCGCCGCGTTTAGCTCTCAGTTTACCAGTTGCTTAGCACCGAGTGAACGGATCTGCATCGTGAGGAGATGTGTAGGCGCCATAGCTGTCTACGAGCGACAGCTACCTCCGCACATGACAACGGTGGACGCAGGGAAAGTGCAACTCTGCGTTGATCCCTCGCTAATGCTCAGCGTCATCGTAAGCTTCTCATCTGCATCTACTGTGCCATGATGAATGACAGCCTACAGGCCGCATGCGGAATCTTTGGTTAGCATTTCATTCGCCTCTTTCGATTGTTCTGGAATTGTCGTTGTTCTCGTCACCATATTCCACCCTCTAGTATGATAAATGCGGCTATACAGAACATTGCAGGCGAAAGCTTCACGATTCCAGACGACTCTCCTCGGGGTTTGCGGCGTGTCTGGCGGTGCTTGAGTGGTGCCGATAACTTCAGGGTGGCAAATGTTGCGCTACACTCCTGCGACGAGTTCTACTTCCATTCGGGATTAATCCTCATCTTATGTGCAAGGCTTCCATGACTCCCTGTCGAACCTTGACCTTCGTGCTCGTCACTAGTCAGTATTTGTAGCGCAGGCCGCTCTCCTCGCTCGATCAACTAGTCTTCTTGCTTTTGTGTCGAATGGGTTGGGAGGGGGAAGCAGGAGAGTGGGAGTAGTGGCAAGGGCGGACAGGACGAGGGCAGAAGGTATGTACCCTCGCACCACTCAGCCGCGTCCTTCCTAGCTCACCTCCCCACCAGCAGCTGCTCCTCACTCCTTGTCGACGCATTCAAGCGCGTGCGGCATGATTTTTGAGATGATTTGCGCACGGGCGCAGAGCGCAAGTGTGGCGCGGCGGGGGCGCGAGAAGGAACGGCACCGAGGCGGAATCGGTCGAAGGGGTCATGGAGGCCGAGTGGTTGCGTTTGAGGGGCCAAGGGGGCGGGTGTGATGTCGAGGGGATGCGCACGGGCAGGCGTGAGATACAGGCAAAGACGAGCGCACATGTAGTTCCACGCAAAGGCAGGTGCGTGGTGCCGGTGGGACACATAACGGGCGAGCATTGGCTACAGGCCAGGGTGTGCATGCGTGTAGATCCTGCCAAATGTGGGTGCGTGGCACCGGTGAGACGCGCACGAGTTCGAGCGCAGTTTGACAGGAGAGCGTGAGAGAGGGCGTAGTGTCGAGCTGGTCGAGCTGTCTCGAGAAAGGGCCTGAGGATAGAGGGGAGACGAACAGAACAGAAGGGAGAGGAGATATGTGCACCGTGCTCCGGAAAGTGGGCGGACGTGCTTGCTTCTTCGCGTCTTTGATGGCCTTCAGCTTCGCAAAGCGAGCTGGACGGACGTTGGCTTTAATGCCGCACAGGACGATGGTACGATCGCGCAGCTCGACCTCGCCCTGCCGGATCTTCTTGGCGATCAAGAGGCCGTGCGCGTCCGCGACGTAGCGCCACTTCGCGGGCGAGGTGGTGCTCTCGGCAGCGCCAGCCGCATGGTGGTGCGTGTAGCTGGAGGCGGAGGACGAGGTGCGCTCGTGCGATGCGTGTGCGGCGGTGCGCAGCGTAGAGCGGGCGTGTTTGGAGAAGAAGGCGTCGGGCGGTTGGGTACCGGGGAGCGTGGTCATGTCCTCGCCTCCTAGGAGAGAGCAGGGGAAGAGACGCGGAGTGAGGAGCCGCTTCCGGGTGTGCGCAGGTGCGCGGGACAGGCAGGGCTGGGCAGGGAAGGGCAGGACTAGGGCTGGGGGAGGGCTAGCGAAAGTAAGTGATACGGACCTTTTTAATTCTAACCTAGTAGTATTACCGACACTTTTGAGTCCACCGATATCCGAAACTACTGTGTTGCCAATTAAATGCAAATATAAATACAAGAAAATATTTTCTGTAATCTTCATACCCTGCTTCAACTTTGAGGTTCAGAAGCAGTGAGATTGAATCAGGGGTTCAATAGATATGGATTTAAACAGTCTACCCCCTAAAACCAGACTGTGTGAAGCACAGTCTGGGTTTTGGGAACCAAATCGGAGGTTGCACACAATTCTGTCTGATTCAGTAGGCTTGAAAGGGATTTGTCATGGTACCCTAATATTTTCATTAGTAGACATGGAGTACTGAAGATGTTACAGGCAAAATACAGAATTGAGGGAAAACCTCAAAAAACCGAGTCTACAGTCCACAATTGTCCTTTTATTTCCATTGCAAAACTAATAAAATGCTCCTACATACACTACCTTTCAAATCATTCCCTAATTTTATCATTTGGATGAGGGGATCCAGAGATATGTAATTGTTTGTGATGTTGAGGGTATTTTGCAACCCGGAGACACAGTTTAGTCAGCATCGGGAAAGGGCGGCACACAGTCGGGAGATTGCGGGTGCACAGTCGTCACACTGTTGTCATCCCACGCACAGTCTCTCTGTTGCGCCACACAGTCCGGCCGAGGCCGCACACAGTCCGGGTTTTGGCGCTGGTTCAGCGCCACACAGTCCGGATTCTCGGTGACAGTCCGAGATTTGGCGGTGAATCTGCGCCACACAGTCCGGCCGTGCCGCTTAGGTTAGGGTTAGGTTAGGGTTAGGGTTAGGTTAGGTTAGGTTAGATTAGGTTAGGTTAGGTTAGGTTAGATTAGGTTAGGTTAGGTTAGGTTAGGTTAGGTTAGGTTAGGTTAGGTTAGGTTAGGTTAGGTTAGGTTA